GGTGGTCCAGTGCAGAATTACAGTCGCTGCAAAGAACAGCGACCCGTTGCTTTCAACTGACCAGTGACCTTCATGACGTTGCCTTCTTCTTGTATAACCGCGGGAGCGTGACCTGGAAACCACCATAGATGGCAACCCATGGTAGCAGTCCCTCTCTAAAATTGTTGGATTGCTGACCAATAATGCAACCCTCTTCACGACGGCCATGAAGGAGACCTTTCCAAGCTGTGATACACCTACGTAGCCGCGACCTTGCGGCCGCTTTTTCGATGGCAACGCTGATAACCACTACCGGAGCAGTGCCTCCATCGCCGACCAGGAAAAGGAAAGAGAGGGGAAAAGAAAGTTAGAGAGAAAAGAGAGAGAGGGAGGTTGGGGGGTGAGTCTATATCGTAGTTATGTTGCAATGGACGAGTTAGGGTTTCAAATTAGTTGCAATTGACGAGTTAGGGTTTCAAATCAATTGCAATGGACTGGTTGGTTTTTGGCTTTGGCGCTGAAGTGTGTGGACAATAAGGTGGGTGTTTGGTAAAGTGATAATGTGTTGTCTGTTCAGATTTGTTTAACACATCACCAATAGAAGCCCCAAACGCCAGAATACGGTAAATTCAGAAAGAGGAATAGCCCTCTGCCCGGTTAGAAGCTAGAATAGCATGCGCAGAGGTGCATCCATATTCCATCTGTAGGACTCCCAGAAGTGGATGGCTCATCAATAGGGAGCTGAACTTCTCGTCCATAATAGTTTTAATCCAATTTCACGTGAAAAACTACATCGTTTTACAAAAGGGTAATTTTGTAACCAAACATCTCCGGTGACCTCTGATATCGAAGACTATTAATTTTGTCCTTAAATTGTACATTTTTAATAAATCAGGGGGCATTTATTAGTTTGGGGAGGTTTTGTGTTTTTGACTAAAAGTTCAGGGGGGTTATATACACTTCACCTATATAATAGTATGTCAAAATGAATTAATCAAACAAAAAAGATATTTCTAACTTATATTATAATTTATGATGTGGACATTATAACAAAAAATATACCTAGTGAAAAATGTCATAAAAATCGCATTCTCTCAATTTTGTTGCATGGAATTGAATGTTATTTTAATCCATACTTTAGTATTTTTCATTTTCCAAATGAGTTTTGATTCAATTTAATTTAGGTGATGCAAGTTTTATTTTGTTAGAGGCTATATTATTTCATACACTAGTAATTTTTGTAATGAGCTAATTCAGTGAATAAGATTCTTGTCATTTCAAGATTTAGAAAATATTGGATATATACATTTTTTTTTCGTATGTAAAAATAATGTTTCTTTATTTCAAAATCATGATGGTTGTGTTACAATGAAACAATTTAACAGTGTCAAAGGTCTTCTATATCCTGAAAATATAAGCCATTCAAATTTTCTCATGTCATCAAATGACATGAAAATATTTAAGAATATAACTGAAAAGGGTAGTAATAAAATAACTTGTTTTTTCTTTTTTTTTTTTGAGTAACTTTGAGGAAGTAGAATAATTGGCTTATGAGAACGTCACTTCTTGGTTCGATTTTCTTCCTTTTGAATTAATATTTATGGATTTTTCGAAACTAATCTGACTTTTGACTTGAAGCTCTCACATTATACTAAAGATTAGTATCATGAAAGGGTGAACTACCCCCTCAATATCAAAATAGAATAATAGGAAAAGAAATGATTCTGCAATATATATATATATATATATATATATATATATGAAAAGAAAAGGTTAAATGAAAATTAAAGCTTTTGTTATGGTTATTATTATTATTTTTTAATTAATACTCACGCACCCGACTTAAGGAATTGGCTTATGTTATGATTCTAATATTATCTTTTTAAAAGTTTTTCATTAGTATGTATTTTTATATAATTTGTGGTGACATTTAAATTTATGAAACGGCCTAATTGAATTATTGTTGATGTTTAAGTATTGACCTTACACTTTTATTCATAGAAATTTTCAATTATTGCAATTAGTAGAGGATAATTTATTTGTTTTGATGGAAAAAGATGCTTAACCCAGTAAATTAGTGTCTATGGTTAATTTTGAAATATTAAATTTCGATTATCTGCATTTACTAATCTAATTTCTAAAACTTTACTTTAATAAAAAATAAAAAATTATCATCAAGTGTTACCATGACCATCTAATATATATATATATTTAAAGTAAAAATATCAGGCAAGTTTAGTCAATTTTGGCAAGTTTAGTCAATTTTGGCAGGAGATGCAAGCAAAGTGAGAGACGGAAGGAGTCGAGAATATATATAACTTTCTTCTCTTCTCTTTATTATTTACTATTATTATTTTTTTTGGTCGTCGTTCACTATATTTTTTTATCCACGCAAATGATAATTGGTGGATTTATTTGTATGATAATTAACCATTTGTGATAGGATATATATATATATATATTCTTTAGGCAAGCAATACCAGTCACTTTTCCACACACATGATATGTTTATTTATTTATGAATTTAATAAGTTTCCAAACAAGTGGACTAATATGATATAAAAGTGTGGTCCATGACAATTCAGTTACAGCTAGCCTTGTAGGTTGATGTGGATGATCGATAGAGGAATGCCCCCACCATTTTTCGTCGCAACCATTTGAGCAGAAGACAGGACTTAAATCCACACATTTATTCCAAGACGGATATTAAATAATCACACAAAAATAAAAATAGGAAAACTAAATTTAGGTTAAATAAAGAGTCCTAACTCCTAAATAATAAAGTAGTTTATTTTTAAAAAATTATTTTTTATAATTGAATTAAGTAAAATAATTATATTTGTTATTGAGAATTATTATTTAGATCCAAAAATGCCCTCAAGTTCTTATTTCAAAAGACCAAATTACCCTTCTTCAATCAAATCATTATTTCACTCAATTTTTTATTTTTATTTTTATTTTTAAATCCACTCACATATGACTGATTTTTAATTCCTTCAAATATGCCCTCCTTTAAACAAATGTACATATATGTTTAATTTGAGCAATACGTTATACAATCACTCCTATTTTTTTTTATATTTATTTATTTATTTATTTTTAATCTTTTGCTTTTGAAAAAAAAAAAAAAAAAATGAAAAATACCATCACATTTTTCTCTCAGCAGAAAAATCTGAAATTTAATTTAACATATATGTACCTTCATTTCTACATATATATTGCATGAGGAAGTCACAAGTACTCGTACTAGTTTGCAAACTCTCTTGACCGGTTTCGCACCCATTCTAATTTGATTTGATCCGATCACCTATGTTTAACTTTGTATGCCAATTCTGAGGCCCAGCTTGGTTGGACAGAAGAAATGAAAGAAAAAGAAAAGAAAAAAAAGAAAGGTGACGGAGGGAAATGCTATATTGTGTATGCTACAAATCATTAAAGCTTTGTTTGAATAAAAGGGAGAGAAAAGAAATGATAACATTAATTATAAGAAAAAAGAAAATATAAATAAATGATTGTAATAACATCTATTCATGTTTGGATAAATTATGAAAAAAAAAATGATAATATTTTTATTTGGATAAGAAAAGAAATGATCATTAAATTACTATCATATCATTTTATATTTATTTCAAAATAACTGTTACATTTGTTCTTCATTTATCTCCAACTTTTTCATCACACCGAATATATAGCACTAGTATATATATATATACATAAAATAAAATAAATACAAGCAAATTATTCTTGCTAATTAAGAATAAGAGGAAATGAAAAGAAAATAAAGGTGATGGAGGAAAATGCTACATTGTGCATGGTACAAATCATTGAAGGATAAGAAAAGAAACGAAAAGAAATGGTTGAATTTAAAGGAATACAAATTAGGCATGATTGTGAATTTTGTTATCTTTAAAAAATGGGAGGAAATGACTACAAAGTTTAATAAAAAAAATTTAATCTGATTTTGCCATTATTCCTGCTATTTTTATAAGAGACAAAACTTATGAAACATGATAAGATAGTAAAATTCATTAAATAGCATCATTTAATTTATTTCCCCACCCCAACCCTAAACATGATTATTATCCATTCTTTAATGATATTATTTCCTTTCTTTTCCCATGCATGATTACTCCCAAACATGATTATTATCCATTCTTTAATAATGTTATTAACTTTCTTTTCCCATGATTACTATCCATTCTTTTTCTTCATCAACCAAATACAATACATAATTTAAACTATCTCATCTCCTTTGTTTTCTTTTCCCTTCTAACTAATGTTATTATTTATTTTTTTTTCCAACATTCCAAACATTGCCTTAATGTCCTTTATTTTTCCTCCTAATTAATGTTATCATTTAGTTTCTTTTCCAACATTCCAAACATTGCCTTGATGTCCTTTATTTTCCCTCCTAACTAACGTTATCATTTAGTTTCTTTTCCAACATTCCAAACATTGCCTTAATGTCCTTTGACTCAACCGTCCCTTAGAGGAAAGGTGATGGTTCCAATGTTAGGCTTAGGTTTTATAGTACAATTTTTGACCTAATTCCCCATCCTCCTTCAATCGGGACGTAATTTCATCACGTTTCAAATCCAAGCAATCGATGCGTTGCTCCCAACATAACATTATTGTAAATGAGTTCAATTTTGATTAGCATGTCTCAATCTCGACCTGAGAGTTCAAGTTTATAATTCTTGTATATATACCATTTGTGACAAGCTGGACCTTTGGAAATTCTACAAGTGCTGTTTTCATGATCTCCTTCAACACTCTAGTCCACCTTAACCAGATGTGAAGGAAATTTAACAGATGCTTTAGCAATACAATTATACAAATACAGGGACCAAAATGAGTGTATATATATGGCGACAGTGGAAACCTCTGAAATTCAATTATACTACCCTGCACAACTCTCTAACATATAGTCACTGAAAAACAAATTTGGCCACTACATTCTCAACATAATCATGCATCACAAATAATAAACCACTACACCTTATATTGCTGAAAAATTGAAATTAAAATAAACTATACAAAGTTTTATTATATTTGCTGTTTGTACAAATATTTTGCAATTCATACACAAGAATTATGTTGTGTTTCGAAACATTGAATATGTTGTGTTTCAGAGCATTGAATCTTGAATTTGAAATTGAAAGATGTCTTGACCATTCTCACCTTAGTTCCTCTCGAGTTTAGATATTTAAGATTAGATATTTAAGATGAAACATTTTGAAAGCTTCATCTGGAACTGTCTTGAGAGAAGCATCACTCAAGCCTAAACCATTAAGTAAACTTCAAATTATCACCAAATAACATAGGTGTCGTGAACTTGAATAAATGATCCTCCACCCCACGGACGATTTTGTTACAAAATTAAGAAAATCCCTTTCTTTATTATATAGAATGAGAGATCCTTATGGTAGCTCAATCTTAGAGCTGGAAGATCAATTCATTAAATTTCTTTAAATCTTGTAATTCTATATCAATCTATATTTAAGAACACGATTTAAATGCACATAGACAACGGTTATATTCCCAAGACCCCCCATCCCAACTAAAAGTACTGAAATAATATCAATATCACCAAGCTCTACGGATGTCAACAAACCATCAATCTCCTCCTCCTCATCTTTCTCCCAAACACGAGAGTAATATTCATCAAAACCTTTCAAATCAACCAATCTTTTCGGGACAAGTATTTTTCTCAATCCCATATCTCAGAATTTTAATCAATCGTAGAATCGATTCAAAAACTTAAAAAACAAAACACAAGGTTGAGAAGGGATATAAGATTGAATACCTACAGATACGCAAAGTGGAGATTGAGAGCCTGTATTTGTTGTGAACTAGATCAACAAGTCCATCCTTTACAACGTAAAAGCAACATGCTTGAAGAAGAAATCATTAATTTAGAGAAGCAAAGATAGAGAGAGAGAGAGAGAGAGAGAGAGAGCATAAAAGACGAATCAAAGGCTCATATTTCTAGGCTTTTTCTCAGTGGTGTCGGTGTGATCCATTGATGACCAAAAAAAAAAAAACAAAACACACAAAGTCCAGAATGGTGGTTGATAAATAATAATAATAATAATAAAGCATGACGTGGCAAATTTTGAATCAAGTATTACTTGAGTGGCACTGCAAGAAAAATAATTGGGTCTCAATTTTACTTGAGAAACATGACGTGAGAGATTACATGAGGATGAAGTCATCATTTATACATTTAAAAAGTTTACCCAAGAATAATTAACACTTCATTTATGCAACAATAAGCGCAAGAAAAGCTTATACACCTCTCTGCTCAGGTTGGGTTAATTATCCCCATATTCTAGTAACATCAAACCAAATGTTTTCCATGGTCAAAAATCTGCTAATATTGGACCTGGTCTCTGCATAAAAAATGACCAACAGATAACCAAAACTACCATACATCAAACTCTTCTGGACAGATTATTGGGCAGCTTTCATTGCCTTCTTGGTCATAACAAAATTCGAACAAAGATATCTCTAAATATCAAGTTACGATTCGTTTTAGCAATGTGCAAGAAACGACAAATATTGTTTGAAAATCTACACTGTTACCAATAAGATCAATCATAAAACCAAAGAGAGTACTTAATTTCACAAATATTGTTTCGAAAATTGGTTGTCTGCAATCATCACAGAGACCAGTAAACAAAACGTAGAAGCAATAAAAAAGTTTAGAATTGCAGCTTGGTAAATGTTTTTCACATTCTCGCATATTTCTACTGTTTGGAAGGTATATCACCACAAGTTTCTCTTGCATCTCACAAGAGCAATGTTAAGATTCGCGCCTTTCCTTCTCTCTCCAGCAAATATATCTATGACTTAAAGAGAACACATCCAAATAATAGTTGCAGATAACTGGTTTGCGAGAGAGCTACCCACTACCCATAGTCCATACTCATTTCAGAAGTTAAAAGTGAAACTTCCAAAAATGCAAAAATAAATAAATAAGGGAACCTACAGCAGTTTGAACATGGCATGCATGGTTTATTAGTTAGACTGGTGTTAAGAGATGAAACCTGGAATGTACAAAAGCCCATAAGCGTATGATTGATTCAACCAGCACATATTTTGCAGACAAAATGGGACTAAAAATCACATTGATGAATTATTGATCATGTGAACAATCAACAAATAATTTGTCTGCTTCTGATCTACCATTTCCCTCTATACATAAACATGTCAATGGAAATTGACACTACTCTTGCTCGTTGTCAGGAAGACTTTCTTCAATTCAAATGTCAGCATGTCAATATGCTTCGAGTCAAAGCACTGCACCACAGTCCTCTGTGCTTGGTTTTTAAACAATCTATAGCCACTGCCTCGTCAACTTTGAAGAAGCACGAACTGGTGGGGGAGTCTTGGCATTCCTAGTTTCATTTGCACCTACAAAAAGAAAATTAGTGTAAGGAGTTGAAATGGCATATACAATGCGAGGAAAGGCTCATGTTGATTTCACTTACAAGAGACAGTTGAGTTCCCTACAAGAGAAGATCTCCGGGACCTGTCTGATGTTTGAACTCCGGTTAAAGATTGTCTCCTCAGTCCTCTCGCATTAGCTGGAGTTGGTGACGTTACATCTTGAATGCTGCTTATGCTATTGATAGATGACTCTACTTCAATAACTCTCTGTTGGTTCCTATAATTTTATAGACGTGCAGCACGTTAAACAAAATGTTTGAAAGAGGTTTCATTCATGTGTGTATTGTTTGATAAAGGTAAATTATCTATGAAGCATAGATGCTTGTTAAGAGTAGCCATGTCCATGGATGCCACATGCTGGGCATGAAATTCCTCTCACACCCCTAGAAATATGTTAGACAAAGTGAACAAGTGTGCATTCTTTAAAAAAATAAAAAATAGACGAAGTGAACTAGTAGAGGAGATATAATGAGCTAATAGAGTAATAGATTGTGAAAAAATACATTTATAAATTGCATGATTCAGAGGATTTTGCTCAGTACACATCATATAACATGATAATTTAGTGCATTGATAATTTATCTCAGTATATACATCTGCCCCATAGAAAATGCATAATATAAATGAATATGTGCACATTATTGTGCCCTCAACAAGTCAATATCCAGGTAACTGAGAAGTTGTTGTGTCAGAATGTCCATGTCATTTCATGATACTATCCATTATATGAAGAGGAAATCTCATCAAAATGCTAATATAACAATAATGAAAGAATACTAGTTGAGCAATGAGTTTTACTTACCTCTTCTCAGAGCCGTTAATCAATTTTCCAATTGTTCGAAGGGATTTCCTTATTTGAGATCTTTTTCCATTTGTACCACTATTCAATCTAGATGTCCGAGATTCTGTAGAAGTAAGCTCGCTTTTCATCACGATTTGAACCTCATTTTTACCATGCACCGGTGGCTCAGGGGTTTTGGATAGTTGAAGAGGTTCAATTTTTTTTCTACTAGCCGGTTTTACCACTCGACTTTGATAAGCCGAACTTGTAGGGCTTCGAGAAGCCCTTTGATGATACACATCCACTATGGAACCACCATTATTGATATGTCCATTTGGCATTGAACCGGTTTCAGCATCTTGAAGCCGGCCATACATATCTTGTCTCACAGCTTCTGATATTTTAATCTGCACTGGTTCCTTATTTACATATCTTGGACCTTCCAAACTTAGTCTTCGTGACCGACTTGATACAGGTGGGGTTTTTGGCCCCTTCCTGTGTTCAGAATTTGTTGCTTTCTCCATTTTCATGATGCTGCAATTTTCAATGTTCAACCTTTGGGGGTGTGGAGGACTGTTCTCAGCCATTTCTTTTGCCTTCTCTGACGGGGTTTTGGGCCCCTTCCAGTGTTCAGAATTTGTTGCTTTCTCCATTTTCATGATGCTGCAATTTTCAATGTTCAACCTTTGGGGGTGTGGAGGACTGTTCTCAGCCATTTCTTTTGCCTTCTCTGATGGGGTTTTGGGCCCCTTCCAGTGTTCAGAATTTGTTGCTTTCTCCATTTTCATGATGCTGCAATTTTCAATGTTCAACCTTTGGGGGCGTGGAGGAGTGTTCTCAGCCAATTCTTTAGCCTTCTCTGATGGGGTTTTGGGCCCCTTCCAGTGTTCAGAATTTGTTGCTTTCTCCATTTTCATGATGCTGCAATTTTCAATGTTCAACCTTTGGGGGCGTGGAGGAGTGTTCTCAGCCAATTCTTTAGCCTTCTCTGATGGGGTTTTGGGCCCCTTCCTGTGTTCAGAATTTGTTGCTTTCTCCATTTTCATGATGCTGCAATTTTCAATGTTCAACCTTTGGGGGCGTGGAGGAGTGTTCTCAGCCATTTCTTTTGCCTTCTCTGATGGTGTCCGTTCCCTTGGTTTATTATGCTGTGAACGGGTTTCCTTGTTAGCCAATGCCTTCTTGAGGTTCTCAATCTGCAAGGTGTTAGCAAATCAAACATTTTTTTCCGTTGGGGTGTTGAGGGAAGGGAGGTAAATTTTTAATTACACAATAACTACTACATAGGAGATATACTGTGACAAAGGAAAAATAGCTGCCCTGAATGATCGTATCTCATTCTGAAACTTATTGGATGGAAGAAAGCATTTTATCAGACAATTGCAACCATTTTATCAGACAATTACAAAGATCGCTTTCATTTTAAAACCAAACTAATGGATATCATAGCTTATCCTCGGACTAAACAGTTTGACTGTCCATGGCTTACTGGCAAAACTCGTGCAAAGGTTTTGACAACCAAGGTTATTTCCTGGTCATTATTGTTATGCAGATGCATGAAGACTGGAGCAATAAGTTACCATTTTAAAATTTTATTCTCCCAAAATGTCATGTGAGGTGACCCCGTTCGGGCTCACTCTTTCCATGAGATTACAGTATACGAATCTTAGCCACAATGCCATTTAACTTTCTGATTAGTTTGGTGCAATCAACCACTGTTTGGACATTGACACTTGTGTTAGTCTAGAAATATAACATCAAAGTCAAATCAAACGAACCATGATGCATGTATCAAAGTACATAACATGCTGTAATGATTATTTGCGTTCAAGTGGCAGACATGGGAAGAAGTGCCAAAAAGGACTACCCTTGTGGCATAGCACAGATTGGAATTGTCCACAAAGTTGTGAAAAAAACAATTATTTGAAACCAACCAATCCAATTTAGCCATACGTTAGGTTGACTTTTAGGCATCACGTTTGAACAGGCAACCTTTGAATCATCAAGGTATATAATACAGTCAAGCAATTAATCTGAAAGAATTAGTTTTGCATTTTACCTGTTCCTTGAGTTCCATAACCTCATTGCTCTCTTTGTTCACACGAGCTGCACCAAGTTCAACAGTTGATACCCTCTGAGCAAATTTCAAAGTACTCATTGTTTCCCCAAAAGAATCTCCTTCAGGACTCACATGTGCAAACATCAATGTTTTTGCATGTCCTCCTGTCCAATATAAACATTATACATCAAGTTCTAGTTATAAAAAGACTCTACTCCCCTCAATTAGGCCTCTTAGATTTGTAGTTTCACCAATTCCATAAGACCATAGCAAAGTACAGTTACACTTCCAGAGTGTGTGCGTGTGTGTGAGAGAGAGAAGAATAATATATTTCCTGCCATTATGATTTTAGAAATCAAAATTTAAAGAAAAATCACGTAGCATGATGTGATAGATGAAATGTTAAATCGGATTGAAGCACAAAAGAGCAGCTTGAACAACCTAAAGAGTTCTGCAGGAGTAGTGTAAGTTTGCTGTTCCTGTAAGGAATATGAGAGTTCTTTTGAGCCAATGCCGTGATCACATCTCCTAAACAGGAAAGAGATCTATTAATATACTGTGCCTCCTTGAGCCCCTCTCCCGTAACTTCTGACTTGTCCACTCGCTCACTTCCTGCAAGGTCCACCAAATGGAGGCAACTACGAAGGATGCTTCCAGATACATCTTTACCATGAACATGTACTGTCAGAATGCTGTAGATAAATATAATCCCCCATAAGTATTAAGAAAAAAACTTATTTTTATTTACTTTATGCAGCAATTTAGTTTGTTATATTAATGGTTGGAAAAGCTAACTTTCCAAATAATATCCTAACCTAACCAGGAAGTATAATTAAGTTATTAGATGCTGACCTGTGGGAACGACTACTTCGGTTGTTGATGGCTGTGGAACTGACAGAACGATTCACCTCCCCAAGTTTCATCAAGTTAATAGCATCGGTAGTTGACTTCACAGAATGCATTGTGGCATCAGGAATATTCAAGCCACTCTCACTAGTACAGCTCCGTATCTCTAATTTGCTGATAGTTAAGAATACAGTATCTTTGCAAAGGCACATTTAAAGTGGAGGAACAAATTAAGCAGCTTCTTATTTCGAAATGCTTGGGTAGTGTTATTTTGAACAAGGGAAAATACAAGTGGCAATCCAAAGGTTAAAAGGATATTTTGTTGATGACGAATCTTCTACAAGAAGGTCTCGTACTTGTTCATTATATATCTCGACCATTTGAACATGAATGTCGTATTTGATAATGTCCTTCCTTCTATTAGACAGCTCGAAGAGATCATTGAGAGCTAGATAATTAATTCCCGGCTCCTTAGCTGATCCACCAAAAGGACCACACTGTCACCAGAGAGATATATCAGGTAGGAAAATCATGCTAGTTTAAAAGGGAAATCTAAACCAGATAATAAGGTTAATATAAAAGATCACGGAAGATATTTTTTGCTAAAGTTAAATCAGATAAAAAAAAATCTTACCATTGTATGTGTTTTACCAGATCCAGTTTGACCATAAGCAAGAATGCATACGTTGTAACCATCTATCACAGATCTAATTAATGGTTCAGCGTCCCTAAACACCTCATCTGACAATAAGAAAAAATGCTATTACAAAAAGATGATTAATTAATGAAAACTTTGAAATAAAATAATATGGTGTAAGATAATTAGTTACCTTGAGAGGCAGTAGGACCAAACACGCGACTGAATTGAAAAACTTTCCTCCCATCTTTATGGGACTTCGAAGGGTCTAGAACCACTAATGAACCATCATCTCCAATAAAATCTATCACATTTTTTGCTCCGGCACTAAAGGAAGGCCTGATTCGGCAGTAAACTTGGATATTTCCTGAAGAAAAAGTTCAACTAAAATTATAAATTTTTTACACTCAAAAACTAACGAGTGAAGAAATAAATTGAATCTGATCACCATATGTGTTGATACACTTGACTTGTGTCATAAAGAAGTTAAATACCTTTCAAATCCTGAACCATGTTGTATAAGTTCCTGTTTTCTTTCACAACCTTGTGATATCCAAGAGCTGCAGTAGAAAGCTCCTGTACCTGACTTCCTGGATCCATGCAGCAAAATAGATTTGCATTAAACTTTCAATGGAACTTTCATTACGAAACTTGCAGAACAATTTTAAAATCCATATGTTTTTAGATACAGAATCCAGCAAAATTTGTGGTTTGGGGACGTCTAACTTTCGTATAAGTTCACTGTCAACCAGTTTCAGTTTCATCAAATAAAAAAAATTACCTGGCCTGTTATAACTATAAGAGGGAAATTACACTAGCTCTAAAACAACAATACAGATCTCTTGCCTATTTTTTGAATTCTGGAAATCATGGACTGAAGAAGACCAAAGAAAAGAAATATATCGGACCTAAGCTGTAAATCAATATCATTTTCACAGTGAATTTCTAATATACACACACACAAACACACAAATATCATGTTTACAGTTGACATGCTTTTGAGTCAAGGACCACAGCTTTTTCTTGACTGGGAAACTCAAAATGCTGCTGAGAATCCTTTTATTGCTAACATACCCAGTTGTTTCAAATCGCTTTGCAACTGAGACTGTAAGTCCTTAAACTCCCTCTTTGTGCTTGACAACAGTTCCTTGATATTCTGCAAGATAAACGATGCTACCCAATTAATTCAAATGATGGTCTTGTTCTTGCAATGTATCACCAAAATATGATTGCATAAGATCAGATAGCTAGGCTTTATAAATTTAAAACAGAGTAGGGGAGCCGTATAACATCCATTTTGCTCTATCTTCGTATTCAAATGTGATAACTATAATGCAGAAAATTATACTAGAAGTACGCAATTACTCTGAGACTTCGCTATTACAGTTTTATTAATAATAAATTGCAATTTTATTAAAGATAGTTTTACTTTAAGAGCTTTAAAAAAAAAAATCTGCTAATTGGGATATGATCTTACTGCTAAAAAACAACAAAATTATTCAAGGGAACACTAGAATAAACTGTAGCTCAAAATAGAACAAACAATAAATGCAAGGGAGTACACTAGAATCCATATTCAGAAAAATAATGTAGACTTTCCAAGGAATAAATGATAAAGCTAGATTTTGATTTCTCATGAAATCTGATGATGTAATTTTAGTGGAATTTCACTAAAACATCAACATCACATATTGCAACATTTCAAATATAACAAGGAGTCCACACTTGTAACTACTAAAAATGCTTGCCCAGAGATCTTACTGAAAGTTCTTTCTCTTGCACTTGAAATAGATGCCAATGATTGCAGTTACCCTTTTTCAAGCAAGCTCTGCAACACTGTAAGAAAGAATACATACGATGACACATAAAAATGTAAGTGATTTATTTATCACATATAAATATGCATGTGTTTGCATATGTGAGGATCCCCAATATTCTATCAAACATTCATCCTTATTATATGTCATCTACATTAAAATAAGTGAAGCATTAAACTTAATTTTTCCATTCATTATTTTCAAAAAGGAAAGACTGTAAATAATTTAACAGGTTCCATGTTGCTCGTGCAAACTGGTATGAAAGGATACTAATTCCATCGGACTTAGTATTTCTTGTTACTGAAAATTCCATATAATCATTTATTTGAAAGAGAAACAAGATAGGAAGGAAATACAAAGAAGTTGATAAAATGAAGAAAGATGGCTAAAAAAACCTAGTAATAAATTTTAACTACAAGTCTATAACTGTCTTTGAGTATAATATTTGATTGGCAATCAAATGCAGCACCTAGATTTTGGTCCATAAAGAGGCCGGGATCATGTAAGATTACTATAAAATTATGTTTAGAACGAGAAATGTCATAAAATGAAGGGTAAGACTAAATAAAATGAAAGGTAAGATTAAAACCATGGTTCTTAACTAAAATTGACTGTGATTTAAATACTTGATCAAATTCATTATACTGAAAACTTCAACAGTAATCTCATTATATGAAACATGTTTTACACAAGTTTAAAATAAAACATACCACGTGCTTTCCAATAGAAATTGAATTCTCAAGAGGTGTAGATGTTAAACAGGCAAGTGAGCTACTTCCTTCTCCAAAAATATCTCCAGACAGCGATTCCAACTAGTCATGGACAAGAAGATATTTGTTATTAGAACTTCGAAAAATACAAGTTCAAAGTTAAAATCAATCTCCATGAGTGGATACAACAATAAGGTATTGATCACAATTGAATTGTATTTCTGAAAGAATAAAACCTATGCAATTGAAGTTCAGCAAAGGAAATACTTAGTGTTCTAAGAATGCAAAGGAAGTTCACTTTTCAATTTTCAATGATAATTGAGAGTGTTCGACTAAATTTTTTAAATGACATAGTTCTACACTTATTTAGGAAATAATTAGTAAAATAAGGTTTGTCTGTCACTTAATTTGCACAATCGACAAGGTAAGAGGAAAATGCGAACCTTATTCTCAAAAAAAGGAGAGAAAAAAAGGAGAGAGAGAGAGAGAGAGAGAGAGAACTTCCTAAATATATTCTTGGTGAATCCTTTCTGGAATGTATTTACAAAGGATATTCCTCTGAAGTCTAAAACTCTACCAGAAGGAAAAAGTATCATGTCAGAGCCATGTTTTTTTAGAAAATAGACCATTACCTAGAACCACTCCATCCATGTCACTAACATCTTTTCTCATTTTTATAGTAACAATATGGTAGTAACACTAAGCTTTTGTAAAGCTATTTTCTGCAAATCTACCTTTCCCTCTAAACAAGATTTTAGGCCACCGAATCCTGGATTTTTGCCTCCAAAAGCTCCCTTCAGCCTTACTGATAAAATTATGTTTATCAAGAAAAGTAAAGCTGTTTTCTGCAAATCTACCTTTCCCTCTAAACTAGATTTAAAAATATGTTTATCAAGAAAAGGAAAAAGGTAAAGAACAAAAGTGCGCAAAACAATGCAATTTTCCTCTGTGTTTTCATCCATCTCATGTCGTTAAACCTTCCTTTCATGCTTGATTAAAATTATCGTATACTATAGGAGAACCTACCAAAATGAAACAAAAAATTGCTAAGGAGCATTTAGCAACAGTTATTGGCACAAACCAGTACGCAGTAACAATGAAATCAGCTTGTCATGAATACCAACACACCTCAGGGAACTTGTTTTGACGATGTTCATCCAAACAAGATGACATGATCCTGCTGAACAACTCGACTGGATCCTGTAAGAAGACTACTTCAACTCTAGCCCGATAGTTCAATATGTTTTACTGTTAAAAATCAAAGTAAACATTACGTGCGTCAATAGGACCATCAATTACCTGGTCTGCATTATGAAAGGAAGCAAGAAGGTTATTGTCTATGTTTTCCTTCATGTCAACCATACATTCAGCAAGAGCGCTGACAATTGAAGCTACAAAATCCAATGCATTACAAAGGGTAAGAGAAGACAAATAAATTCATCCAAACTTAGGTAACTGAATATTATCGAGGACAGCTAAGCAATGTAGAATGTTCAAGTAAAAGTTTCTTTTTGAATAATGTTAACCACCATCTACTCTAAAAGATTAAGCTATTAGAGAGGGTGTAACAACCTAAACATTTAAATCCATCAACACACCCCCCCTTCAAGGACTTTACCTGCACTGATACCATGTTAACCACACTCAAGCTTCAGCTATTACAGAGGGTGCAACTTAAATATTTCAATCCTCTAACAAATAAAAATGTACCTTCTAAGTTTTGTAATATATATATATATTTTTAAAGTAGCATGTTCTGTAATTCGATGAGACCGGCTATCATTATATTTAATTTCTAAACATGGCACGGGAGCTTAAAATTTTATTTATGATTTATAAATATAGAAGAACCTCAATTATAGAAACAAATTTTATTTTATTGATAATCATAGTTGTTTATTTCTAATTTTTGCGCGATAGATGCACGACAAATTCCCTCGGTTTTCCTGCAAACAAACAAATATTTAAGGAAGAGAGACTGAAAAAACCTTCAAGTTTCTGAGTTTCCCTCTCTTCACAGACTGCGGACATTTCCAATCGCCTGCAAGGGTCTGATGAGATTGCTCCTGGAGCTCGCGAATGAATCCTACTAGCAGACAGCATAACCAGGGGTGATCTTGGAGGCTTAAAAATTCCATTCCCCCCACTCGTCTGCTTCCACTCATGGTATGCTTTAAGGGCCAAAATGCAATCAACCACCTTAGTTGATGATCCCACCTCCAAATTATCCTAAAAAATGTAGCAAATGAAAAGTTTCAATTACATTGGATGTTGCATATGCAAAGATGTTGGACAATTTTGTAAAGATGTTATATATTCACCCTTTCTAGATCAGAGGCTTCAAAAGCTGGCAGTTTCAACTCTTCAACTGCTACCAAAAAATTTCTAACATTTTCAAAATATTGATATGCTGGCAATGGCTGAGAATCCCATGTTAATGAATTTGTAGATAGGTGAATCTCCACAACCTTACAGTAATTTCAGTAAGAGAAAAAAATCAGAATACTAAAGTTAACCAAAATCAAAAGAAAGACAAACAATTTGTGTGTCACTGTGTGTGTGTGTGTGTGTGTGAAGTAGTAATACCTTTGGGACTGATCCTGGTTGGATTTTGTTAATCGCATAGCATAGGATCAAACCATTTCTCAAGCAAGAAATGAATTCTCTCTCTGAGGGCTGGGTAGATATGCCAAGTGGTCCAACTAAGCAATCTAGCCACTGGGTAGCTTGAAATCGCCTCCATGCTGCAAAAAATATATATACATATATAAGTTATATAACTCTAAATATTGATTAAAAAAAAAAACTAAAAAATCAAAGAGCTCTGTTTGTGCGGAGAAACTGAAAGAATGAAAAGAAAAGAAAACTACGAATCTTATAGTTTATTTCATATTGGGATTTCCAAAGAAGAATAAATATAATGAGCAAAAGTAAAATGATAAGAATTCTTGTTTCTTGTGTTGAAAACGAATGATAAGAGAATTCAAGATTCTTATCATTTTCTTACATCTTCTCAGCAACCAAACAAAATGTAGGAAAAATTAGAATGTTATAATAACCTGCTTCTTCAGCCTTTCTTGAAGCCAAATTCAAGTCATGTTGCCCTCTTCTTGTGGGATCCTCCATTAAAACCCTATCTTACTGTATCATTAAACAATGAGATCACAATTAGAAAACCCTAAATCAGAAATCTTAATGGATCAACGGTCTTTATGTACATACACATATATACACAACAATGAATATATAATGAAAGTGTATATTATTCAAGAACGTAATTCTATTCCTTGGAATCTTTGCCCTAAAAACTAAAAGACAAAGTTATAGGGAGAGATTGTATCTATCAGTATCTTACTTACTAAGCTTGACTTTTCTTGAGTTGAAATCAGGACTGGTAATGGAATGTGTTTCTTCAATAGCCTGGTTCACTTTATTGGGGGAAACGTTAGGTTCGGAACCAAAGCTCTGGCTTCGAGTTTGTACCGTTACCGGTGCTTTTGAATTCAAATTGGTAGGGCCACAGCTAGTTTGGTGTGAATAATGATCTCAACCGTTCAACTTTACCAGTATCTGCCGTTGGATTAGATTTAACAGAATCTGGGTTGTTTTTGCACTGGGCTTAAGTTTTGGGCATTTGGGCTTTTTCATAGTACGAGTACTGTTGGAACTTATAAGTGGACAAAATACTGATTTTTCAAGGTTACCAATCAAAATACTGATTTTTCAAGGTTTTATGTTATATATTCGAATCAGATTGATGAGTAAGTGAATTTGATAACTAAATTAACTAAAAATATTTATTCCTAACTTTATGAACACGAGCTTAAACTAAGTTTGAACACAAATATGAAATTAAACTTGATTAGTTATATTAAACTAGTCCATTTGAGTCTAAACTTTCCAAAATAGTTGTTTTAGTCATGATCTCAATTGAGCTGAGCTCACAAATGAAGTAACTCGTATAGTTTACATTCTTTATTCTTAGTAACTTGCAGACCATAGTGATAGTTTATATCAATGGTGCAAAAAAGAAGAGGATTTTGTTTTCCTCTTTTAAATGAAATGAATAGACCTTTTTTTACTTTCCATAAAAAAAAATGAATGAATTGACTTTTATGTGAAAAGGAATTATTATAAAAGAATCGATTTGTAAACATTATGTGCCATTTCTGTCAACCCTAACCGCCCAATCAATCAATTTGTTATTGTAAATCAGACTCGACTTGGTCCATCCAAGTTAGTTCCGACTATTTATACCCGATTCACATTAGACCCAAAAAAAGTCTACCTTTTACACTCGACCAACAAAATCCTTTTATTATTATTATTACTATTTTTATATTAATTAGGGTAAATTGTACTCACACTCTTTAGGTTTGGGTCAATGTCACTGAGCGGAAGATCAACGCAATTGTTTATATTGATAGCCCCTGTGATTTCAAAAGTTTACATACACACCCCCTCTACCCAAGAAAATGACTATTTAAACCTTTGACTTGGTCAATAAATAGTAAATTACTAATATAACCCTGAAAACTAAGTTTTGAAGAACCAAAATAACCTTCAATTTTCAATCTCTCTCTAACCATGTACCCTCTGTCACTACACAACCTACCATCGTCGTCCCCTTCATCCCATACCTCTCTGTAACTTTACACCACCCACCATCACCGCCCCATTCATCCCATACCTCTCTGTAACTATATACCACCCACCATTGCCGTCCCCTTTATCCCATATCCACTCTGTCACCATACACCACCCACCATTGCAAACCAGATAAACCTACCATTACCACCACCATCACCACCAACAATCAGAGCCACCACCACCACAGCCATCGCCGCACATACACACCACCACAACCACCGTCGCACTCGCACATACACACACCACTAAGTCGAACTTAAGACGAACTCACCACAACCACATTGTCACCCACAACCACCACCGCCACACACCACCAGAAGTACCACCGCCACACCTATACACACTACCAACCCAAACTCTAGACAAACCCACCACAACCATGGTCATAGCCGCACCCACACACACCACCAAGCCAAACCCTAGACGAACCCATTTTCGCTCAAGGCCGGACTCGCCTAAATGCTTCGGCGGCGGAGCAAACTGTCGAAAACACCAACTTTAACCAAGCCAAGATCGCCGGATTCGCTGCTACCACCAGGGGCGGAGCCCGTGTGTGCCCAGGGGGGCACGTGCCCTCTGGCCTGGCCTTGCCCTATGTATATTTATGATTTTTATTTTATTTTTTGCATATATGTATAAATATAAATTTGTATATTATGCCCTTCCTAAAATTATTGGTTTTCAAATTTTTTAAAAACTTTTTCTATTTTTTCTCATTTACTCTTTAAAATTCTTTAATTACCTTTTTAAAAAGGTCAAATTTCCCTTATTTAATCATGCTCTAATTTGTTACCTTCAAAAATCATTTTTCTTTCCTTTTTTCTTCTTCTTATTCTTATTATTATTATTTTTTAAAATTCGCATTATGCCCCCCCCTGAATTCAAATCCTGGCTTCGCCCCTAGTTGCCACAACAGCTTAACGTCACTAGACAGCACCACCGTCGATTCCGGCAACTAGGTTGAGTGAATCAGTCGTAATGGTGGCTCATCCAAGGGCAACGACTTCTCTTCGATGCGTTGGATGTGTGTGGCTGCAGCGGTGGATGTGGCTTTGTGTGGTTGCGAATTGTTTGTTGGTTGCGGGCGGTGGGTGTGGCAGTGCATGGCAGGGAGTGGCGATCTATGGGTGTGAGGGATTATATAGCGTTGGTGGGTATAGGATTACAGAGTAGCGGTGGGCATGAGTGATTATAGGGTTAGGGTTATTTTTGTCAATTAACAGATTCAGGGGTAAATATGACTTTTGAAACTTCAGGGAGTGTTAATGTAAACTAGTGCGTTGACTGTCTGCTGAGTGACGTTGACCCAAATCTCAAGAGGTGTGAGTGCAATTTATCATATTAAGGCTATAATGGTCAAATTATGCTACCTCCTCACCTTTTTTTTTTTTTTTTCCTCCTCGTTTCCTTCCAAGTTCCAACTACCAAACAATGTGAGGTAGAAAGAATTCTTACTATTTTCCAAAGGATATCTTCACCACGTTCCTTTCCTTTTGTGAAAAATTTCGTAACGAATAGAGCATATTTTCTTAGGGCCATATGTATACATCCTTAATATAAAGGATATGACATTTCACATTGTCCGATGAAAAATTATTGACACTTATATATGTATACATCCTTAATCGTCATGAAAGGGATCGTTTGCAATGTTTAAAATAGTAAGATAAATTTAAATTTTGATAACTTCTTGTACTAAGAACTTAAACACAAGAACTTATAAGCTTGATAACAATAGTGTAATGAAGCATGATAGAACAAAAGTTATAACAATAATGCAAGGAAGAATGATAGAAGAAAAGTTTGAAAGCATTAAATCAACAACTATAGAATATGTGAGAATTAACCGAGAAACAACCTACTTTGTAAAATCTCTTAAATTTGAATTTGACTTTATGATAAGCTCTTGTTTGTTTGTATTTTTGTTTTGTGTTTTTTTTTTTTCCTCTCCGGACATGTGTATCGGTTCGAAAGCGATAACTTATCTTCCGAATCTATACCAACACCATTATACCCTTGGAGAATATAATAAGCTCTTGTTACTGTTTTAAATTTGGTGAACATGCACTTTTTAATCGTGGAAATTGCCATATAACTGTGTCAAAGGCTAATAATCTCTTTAAGATGAACGAAGGGTCAATTGAGTTATATAGAAAATATTGGTCAATATTTTTATTTATTTATTTATCTTTGCTTTCTAAGGCCATCTTATAAATTTGAATCACTCTGTTTATGTCTCTTCAAATACGGAAGGGCCAAAATAAATAAAAATACGAAGAGCACAGAGAAAGCATGGTCTGTGTGCGTGTATATATTTGTGATCTGTTCTCAAATTTTAGTCATGTTTACCCTTAAATCTGCCAGTAGTTTTATTTGAAAATCTATTTTCTTTCTTAAGACTAAGAAATAAGTTGTTTTTTCTTTTCTTTTTTCTTTTTTTTCAAAAAAAAAAAAAAAACAGACTGCAATCTCAAAATTACCACTCGTATATATAATGAAAAAATTAATAAAATAATATATTAAGGTTTTAAAAATATATATATGGATATATAGATGTGTATTTTGGAAATGTTGCACACTAACAAAATGGCAAATAGAGTGATATATACTGAGCCAATATTGTAGCATACAAAATTTTCAATTTGTAAATGTTATGTATTTATTATAGAGTGGTAAAATTTTGTATCTTTATTATATAAATATGTTATGTATTTTATAATGATTTTCCCTTATGATTGCATCACTTATCTTATAGAGGTGTGCCCAAAATAAATTAAAAAATAATAATTAAAAAATAAAAAAGTTTTCCCTTTAAGGTGTACTAATAAGTAAGAATGTTATCATCCATTCAGCTTTGAAACGCAGAAGTACAATTTATTATTATTTTTGTGGTCATTTTCAATTTGAATATATATATATGTGGAGTTCCTACTTAATATTTACTAATATATTGATCTTAAAATATAAAGTGATAAACATTTTCCTTCAAGGGGATACGATTAGCTGAAGTGTCCATTCTTGATATATGATGATTCACACAAATGACAAAGGTATTCAATATTTATATGCAATATTAATTGCATGATTATATACTTAAATGCCTTAGATGTTGATTGTCAAAACTACTACCATTATGACTCCAAACGGAGAATTATAATGCTTTCATCTAATAAATACGTTGTCGTATTCTTTTTTTCGTTTCAATTATCTTATGAAAAATAATTTTTACATTGAATTGCAAGATTTATTTTTTAATTAGTTATTTATGTCATAAATAAGTGAGTGGAGTCCTCCACTTACTTATCTTTTGCATAAATAATTAATTAAAAAGTATTCGATTAAGTAATTTATTGCAACTATTCGGTGTAAGTATCACTACTCTTATCTTATTGCACATAAAATGGCTTACATATTTTTTTGCATTATTATTATTATATAGCTGAGCATCTCCTTCATTATTATTATTATTATTATTTTTACAATAATATATATCACACTAATAATTATAATGTTCTAGAAAGAAAAGCTGAGTTAACACATTCCCTTGATATACAATTTTCAAATTCAAGATCTCTTTGCTCAATCTTTCATTTTTCAATCGGAAATTGATAATCCGGATATCTTTATAATAATTCTCTGAAATCAATTCAATATTGCAAAGTTTGACAAACATAAAGGATGTGACTATCTATATTTATGGAGAATAAGTCCTCTTTTGCAGGATGATAAAAACACCGCTAATGATGTATAATGATAATAATAAAATGTATTATTATATATGATTCTAATAAAATAATAATAATAATAATTAAAAAAAGTAGATCGATCGAAGTTTAAAAAGATTTTATAAAAAAACTTAAACGACTTTTGATTGAAGCGTCCTAAATTATCTAATAAGTTTTACCTAATTAAGGATGGAAAAAATGTTTAATTTCTTTATTTTTTAATTTTTATTATATTAATTTTTAATTAGAGATGGTGATGCAAAGAAAGATGTGGAATCAGGTTGGGAAAAGGAGAGTAATGTCTGGTAGTGATGGTTTGTCATGAATCTCGACCGTGAAAACATTAGGCCACCAATGTGATTGGCCAGAGCCCGAAAGCACGCCTAGTTTGGAACCGTCCCAAAGTATAGATAAGCATAGTTTATGTTAAGTATTATAGTTAGAGCATCCCATAACATAACATAATTTACTATTTTAATCTTATTTTTACCCACGGGGGACAAAGTGGGGCCTCTTTTGCACATCATTTTGCATTGACCTTCTTCATCATGCTCGACCCTCACCACCTTGTCACTTTCAACTATCTTCCCCACCACTTCAAACTTCCCCACCACTTCAAATACTTCTCCACGCGCCTCACCAAAAACTATGTATCTCTCTCAATATATACACACACATATATATATATATATATTATATAAATACACAAATACAAGTAATCTTTGGATTAATCATCTCCGACTTGTTTATAAGTTTTGGGACGGGAGGGGGGTAGGGGTGCATAAAAAAAAAATTGTGGAATCGAACCAAACATATGCTTAGGTTATATAATTACATATTTAATTATATATATTATTAATTACATATTATACGTGGTCCATTTTATATATACACGATGTTTTGAGTCAATTACATAACACTTAATCCACCTAATCCACAAAAACTCAACTCTCATCTAAACCTAAACATAACCTCTCATCTCAAATCTCAAGTTCTAATATTTGAAGCCGCCTCGCCCTCACCCTCGCCCTCCCCTCCTCAGTCCTCACTCTCGCCTTGGTAATTACTTGTTATGTATATGGATTTTTAAAATGCTGCTTTTATTTGTTACAGACAAGCATGGAGATTTCAGTTTTCTTTTTCTTTGTTTCTTATTTATTTAATTTATTTATTAAGAATTCCAAGTTATTGCAATCCAAGATGCGTTGCCATTGTCCATTAGTCCCAACATGTTCACATACTGAAATTTTCTATTCTAAGAATCCGTAATTCTTCTCTAAAGCTCCGTGGCACCTGGGCATTTTTTTCCCTTTCTTTCCCCTTTGAGCACCATAGTTATTACAACAGTGAATAGGTGGGGAACCGTGAAATCGGTATTCACGATTCAGTTTGGTTTCATATACATACAGTTTCAGTTCCATTTTTAAGGAATTGTTGTGACCGGTTTTGATTTTTGACGGAACCGTACCGAACCGAACCGTGTAAACCCCCTAGAGAGGGGGGGGGGGGGGGGTGGTGGTGGTTGTGTGGAGGATTCGAGAAATACTTTAACGATCTTGGTATATTGATAAAATGACATCATCAATTGATCAAATACTAACATGATAAATTTACTAAAATAAATACATTTTACTAACATGATAAAATATAATTAGTTCATGATACCAACAAAGTGGTCCGGTGCAGAGAAATGTTTAAAGTATCCTTATTTGTCAGTCTGTCGGAACTTTTTCATTTGAATTTGAACTCATATGACATTGTCATATATCTTTTTGAAAATTTATTAAATTTCATTTAGTAAATTTTTTTCTTTTTTGAAACTAAGACACCCAACGTTTTTCACCATGTGACTTGAAAGAGCACCTTATCAACAAAATATGAAATTGAAAAACATGTTGGTAGAGTGACATAAAATTGAACGACGAATCAAGATTCTTTTTGTATCCCTCCTCAAGTGCATTGAAATCGTATTTACTTCGGTGCATATGGATGAAGCCCAACACAAATCCCATTAGACTCTGTCCGACACTCACCGTGCACTAAAATGACACTTTTTCAATACACAAGAGGGCACCGATTTCCCTTCACGCGTAGTTGCCAAGATTCATAAAAATAGAATTTGAAATATATCAATGGATTAGAGTCTTAGAGATCTCTATATGATTTTTGCCTATAAAGAAAGTACTATTGAGTAATTTAACTCCAAAAGGAATATGTAGTTTTTTTTTTTTAAAAAAAAAAAAAAACGCATGGCTTAGTTCACTGTTATTGTTCACTAGTATTTATATGAGCATGGAACACGACATTAATCAACTACTATGTACGTCTACATCGTGCATTAACCACTACCACCATAGAGATACTAATCCAACGGTCAACACGCGAATCATTATTATAGTATATACCCACTAATGAAGGGCAACATGAGAGTCGAGGCATCATGCATTATTGGACCAGCAACGCCAACCGTCCGATCTCCAAAGTGATGTTTATGTTCATATTACGCAACAATAGTGGGGCCATCATTAAAAACGTGTAGATCACTGATTATTAAGAAAACGCACGAGTAACCATGATCATACCTTGCACAAACACATGATAACTTCCCTTAAAATACATATATTAAATTTTTTTCTTTATATATATATATATATATATATATATAAGAGGGAGGCATGAAATGATCGATCATCATCAGCATTATAAAAATCTAAATCGTTACCCTTTATATTGGCCACCTCCCAACACTATCATCACCTTGTCGGCCTCTGTAATCCTCCCTTCAAACCTCTCTCTCTCTCTCTCTCTCTCTCTCTCTCTAAATAACATCAAAAGGTCCTTTCAACTAGTGTTTACAGCTTAAAGACAACCCCACTGATCTCTCTTTGTTTTCCAACAAGAATCAAAATACTCCTTTACACTTGTGTTTTGAGCTTAAAGACAACCATATCTCTCTCTCTCTTCATATACCAAAAGGAAACCAACCTCTCCTCCTGATCATAGTATCAACCTACTCTCTCTTTACAGTACAAAGAAAACTAGATCTCTCTCTCGTGTGCAAGGTTTGTTTAGCTAGCCATAAGTACAACTATCACCGCCTCATCAAACTATATACCTCTCTCTCTCTCTCTCTCTCACACACACACACACACACAACATGCAACATGAACAATTCAGCTTACCCAGAACCAGTAGCTGCAAAAGCAACAAAAAGATCATACCCGCAAACTACATGCGATCTTCAACATCTCTCCATGATGTATCCAATAAACCCCTAGTCCGAAAAGGGAACGGACTGTCCACTCTTCTCCGATCACTCCTCAGCTTCATCTCTTTTCCTTCTATATTCCCCACATGTAGATGGCTAAGCTTACCTAACCAACTCTCCATAACACCTTCACTCGGCCGGAAAGTCACGGGCACCCTCTTTGGCCACCGGAGAGGCCACGTCAGCTTCGCCGTTCAAGACGATCCGCGATCCGGACCCGTTCTACTCATAGAACTCGCCATGTCAACGTCGTCGTTGGTTAAGGAAATGTCATCCGGGATGGTCCGAATTGCACTGGAGTGCGAGAAAGCACCGGTGGCGGCGCGTGGACGGCACGTGAAGCTGTTCAATGAGCCCATGTGGTCTATGTACTGTAACGGTAGGAAGTGTGGGTACACACTGTCACGGGAGTGTAGCGAGTCGGACTGGCACGTGCTTAATACGGTGCAGAGTGTGTCGGTAGGCGCGGGAGTGATTCCGGTGGTGGATGACGGACGGAAAGGTAGTGGGTCAGAGGGTGAGTTATTGTATATGAGAGCTAGGTTTGAGCGAGTGGTGGGGAGTCGTGACTCGGAAGCGTTCTATATGATGAACCCGGACGGCAATGGTGGACCTGAACTCAGTATATTTCTGCTTAGGATATAAATATAAGGTTTGTTTGGGAATTTAATATGCGCAAATAGGAGATGAATGTTTAGTCACTGTAATGTGTATTTTAAACTTGTATGACCGTGTGCTTTTGATTTATATTGTTCTTGATGTTAAACAAAAGCTTACCTCAACTAAACACGCTTTTAAAAGTATACCTATTTCTCCGTGGAAGCCTCTCTCTCTCTCTCTCTCTCTATATATATATATATGATGTTTTGTGGACATCCGAGCTAAATCTTGTTTTGGTGAAATTAATTAGACAAAAAAACTGAACATGCATAATTTAGATCAATTGTCTTATTTTTTATTTTTATTTTTATTTTTGTCTGGAAGAATAACTCTCACATTAATGCATTTAAAAAGAGAAGATGACATAAAACCATCTGCCTGCCTTGGTGGTGTCTGGGAGCGACAGAGACAATTGAAATTACTAATATCACTAGTCAAATCAGGCCTTAGTGTAAATTAATTTGGGTAAAAATTAATGGACTCCTATTCTCGTAGAAATTATGTTCCTTTTCTTTTTTTTTTACCACATATAAATTTTTTTATAAATAAAATGAGACTAATAATTCAAATCTGATCCTAAAATCTAATTGGGATTCCACGCACTGTCTACTTTTCCTCACAATCTCTTGCAAAATTAAAGGTAGAATTTCACTATATACTTTTCCGCCTCTCAATCTAACGTAAAAGTTAACATTCCCTTAAAGGAGGGTAAAGGCTACATCTAGTTACCAATCAGGTTCAAATGCCAAGGAGCTTCAAAAGGAAGCCAAAAAAAAACCTTAAAAAAAATCTGATACATCGATCAGAAAAAAAAGGATATAAAGTCATTTATATATCTAACCGAACCACATACACTGTTCAAGTTGATGATAGGTTGCTCTTAGACAACCAAAGATGAAACAATTAGGTGTCATGCAGTTGACTACATTGAAATCCTCAAGCTTTTAGGTTGCTCTTAGTTCAAGAACTCATACTGTGCATAATAGTACCAATCATTACTATAATCAAGGACAACAAAGATGATGATCCTATGGAAATTATATTCAATTTCGCTAGACGTCAATTATCTCACTGTTTAAATGGATTACCAATTAAACCCATTCTCCAAGCGAACCAATCAGGTATATCGATAATATATGTATATGAATCCAAAACAAATATGTAATAGAGGACATCAACAAATCGACAATTTACAACTTGATCCAATCGTTGATTACCAAAGCATCGGACTGGATATGCTTCACAGAGTCTTTGTCAATGTCAATGTCAATGTCAAACTCAAACTCAAACATAAAACAAAACTACACAATCAAATGATGTATGTGCAGAAATGGAATCATGTGTATTGCATAGGTTTTGTCAACTGATTGTTTAGTATAAATTGAAATAAAAACAAAAAAGAAGAAGAGATTTTGATAAAACCAACCGAAAGGAAGAGGACATGTCGTAGTTGCAAATGTTGTTTGCTTAAAAATTCCCACCAACTTGGACCCTTAATTTATTCTTCGTTTTAAGCATTGAGCTGTCAAAAGTGTTGAATTTGGGATCCTTTGCCAAGAAGTAGTAGGTCAAAATTAATTGGAGTTTTGGAAGTGCCGATGAGAGAGAGAAGTGGTAGAGCACGAAGTAGTAGTCAAACAACAAGTAGTGATTAGCTGGCTCTATTTTTACCAAGAATGGTGGAAAAAAAGGTGGGTATCAAGTCACAGTGCAATCAAATGGCACATGGAAGACCGTCTTTGTCATGCTCTTGGTCACAATAATAATGCTTGCAACATACCACCACAACGTACATGTGTATACTGAAGGAAAAACAACCAAACATAAAAACGTAGACAAATTAACCATGCCAGTAGAGGTATAAAAGATAACCCCCATGATCTTGCCCACTGTTTGTGTGTCTATATATATACACACACGCACAACAAATATACATGCATATATAACTGAGTTGTAAAAGACACTACTACACTAAACTATAACACTATCGAATCCTCGTTAAACTATAACACTATCGAATCCTCGTTACTTCAAATCTCCTCCGTTTGTGCACTAGTGCATTATATCATTGTACTAAAACCAGATTGGTATGCCCATGCTTAACTGCTTAAGGAGTTGTTACTATTGGACTACAAATAACCATTTTATTTCTTATTCACCAACACTATGAGTACTTTATCTATAATGAAATGATCAGCCTTTTACTTGGTAAATTCTTTTTAAATAAAATATAAATATTGATGGTCTTTAATTTTTTTGGCCAAATGGTCAAATGAGTTCTGTATAAGAATACATGAGTTTTGTTTGTATAGCATTCATTTTCTGATTAACGTAGAAAGATGTGTTAATATATATATATATATATATAGAGAGAGAGAGAGAGAGAGAGAGATTATACATGTGAATGACAAAGAGGTATTGGGGTGGTAGAAGGCAAGAGACAATGTTGGATCAGATATTTCAAAGGAGATATTATGCCTAGCGAAGATATTATAGATTTATTTAAGTCATATACAACTGTTTTAGGTGAAGGCATCAAAATATATTTCGTCCATCAGATCGATAACAAAGACGTGGCTCAATGTAGCCAAGTAGATCCATAACATATCGGATTAATAAAATCTTACACATCCAGTGCTTGGCTACAATCTGCACTTCCATTTTTTCTTTTTTCCTTTTTTTTTTTTTTTTAGCCATAAACCACTATTTTGTTACTCATCAAATTAAAAAAAAAAACCACTCTTTTGTTTGCTTTCTTTTCCCTCTGTGAACCTTTTGATGTGTTCAGTGTGCGTCCATATATGGTTAATGGATCTAGATCGGGGCTAGTCCTGCCAACTTGGCATTATGTTGTCTTCAAGTCTCCATGTTAACCAAATGCTTAGGGTTTGTTAAACAGCTATTCTTGTCAGTCTTTTATCAGAGTTTCATAAGAAGCCAAGTTTCAGACTTTTCCTTATATGAAAGATCATTTTCTTCAAAGTAAAATAAAATAACATGCCTGATAAAAGCTTTGACTGCAATATACAACCATAAATTATATTTTCAATCAATAAGTGATTCTTCATATTTCTAATTTTCATATAGAACACTGCTAGCAACAGCCGTGGCATTCTTCTTTATGTTTTAAGTCGAAACTTTTGTGTATGTAATTGTCATATTCATGATTATCATCATATCATGCCTTTTGGCCATGTCACTGTTTTTTTTTTTTTGGGTTTTATGACATGGTTGATAGTATGTGATTAATGGTAAGAACCCTAAGGCCCTAACCATTATATATGTGAAGCAAGTGTGGTCTACTACAAAATCAACTGTCAAGTTCTTTCCAGATGTAGGATTTAAAATGAATGAATTTTAATTCAATTATTCAACAAGTACATCTTAAAGTCAGTACCCAGTACGATGTACAGATGATGTAAATTGTTCCATGATTAAACTCTGCCAGATTTGCAGAGTCGTTAAAAATAAAATAAAAATAATAACAATATTGAAGTTTTAGAAGTGTATAATGCGTTTAACTCAGCATGTGTAAATTTAGGATACATTTTGACTGATACAAAAGAATCACAAAAAAGTACAAGGCATTTTCAACTAGCCACTTTAGAAGAAACAAAATTGAATTGCAAAATGATCATATCGGCCAAATAAGCATTTAAGGAAAAAAGACTCACTTATTTGCTTCAATAAACTCTTTGTACTCTTTCTTCATTTTGACCCCTGGCACGTTCCTGCATATCCACCATACAAGCATTGGAAGCAGCTAAGATATTTGCAACTATATACAGTTAAAATTTAGGTAATTTCATGGATTGAGACATGAGAAAAATTCCCTTATTCACTTTCTTTTTCAAGTTGTGCCCCACCCAAACCAAAAATTCTATCATTTTTCCATTGTATTATGGAGAATATAACAAAATGTCATTTAAATTGCTGAATATTGCCTAACTATGGAGAATATAACAAAATGTCATTTAAATTGCTGAATATTGCCTAACTACGCCAAATTTTGGTAAGGTATTTCAATATTTTATTTATTCAGATTGCTATGACATCACAAAACACAACAGAAAACGAACACACACCACACAAAGAACACACATATTTAGCGTGGTTCGACACAAGCGTGTCTATGTCCCCAGTGAAGATCTGGCGAAAAATTTCACTATGCAAAAATCTGAAGATTACAAGTTTTAGCCCCCAAACCCTAGCTCTCACTCTCTTTCTGTGATTTTCGGGGCCAATCAGTGGTCGGGGTCCAAAACGGTTAGTAACACAACCCAGAACCAAATTCGGGTCACAACATCTCACAGATGATTATACAAAGGGACGACACAAGGTATGTTGGAGAAAAGAGAAGAAAAGGCACAAAAGGACAAAAGGACAAATTCCAACTAACCTGATCATTTCCTTGTTCTTAAAAAATTGCACACATGGTGTCCCCATAATTCCAGCTGCCTCTGCAATCTCTTGATCTTCCTCAATATCAATTTCAACGAAATGTATATTCTGGTCAAATTCATCTATAACCTGCCATTTGAGAAATTTTCAGAAAAAAAGTTTAGCACAAACATGTTAGTCATTCGACGCACTAGCAGAGGAAAAAACACAAAGAAGAAAAAGAAAATCCATGTTTTGTTAATGAATTCAAAAGAGTTACCAAAAAAGAAAGAAAATTTTAGAATAGAAGCATGAAAAAACATTCTAAACTACCAATGTGACATAATAAAAATCATGGAATAAAAGTTCATCCTCTCTTTCTTCACTATAGGACCCTTTATCCAGCAATCTTCTGTCTGTTCCTGGTTTAATATCAATAGATCTTCCAGCCTCAATTGATTATACATCTTTTGCTATCTGTGGAGGAGCAGGGTGGGGCTGGGGGCACTTGATATGTAATATCTACTATTGTGTGCAGGTAAAATAAATATTCTTTTTTTATCAATATATTCCCATGTAGATTTACCCTCCACACTTTTTGTTTCTTTTATTTCCACCAATCTCTTTCGTTTCATTTTTCTTTTAATTGGAGCAGATGTTGTTAACTTTAATATATGCTCCGGCTATTGTTGTATTTTGACTCATAACAATATCTAAAGACCATGATGCTGCACTTTCAGCTCTTAACCAGCTATTCATCCATTTTTATAGTTTGGACCAAATTACGGGTTCTGGACTTTAGCTGCTTTATTTATTTATTTATTTTTGTGTGGTTTAATAGGGCTAGAGATCCTCCTTCTTGATAGGAAATATGCATTAAACATAATATATAAAAAGAAGATAGGAGGATGAGAAATCCTACCTACCACAGTAAAAAAAGACTGCTAAGAGAAAGAGGAGAGGGAGAGAGAGGAGGGGAAAAAAAAAGCAATCCAGCAGAATGCATTAAATAGGGATGAGACCTAAATGTAAAAGCATTTTTTTCAGCATCTTCTAGCGAAGCTTGCCATCGTATAGGCACATAGACCCCAAATCCCTTCTATGTGTATAGTCTACTAAAGGATACATAAGAAATACTTAAAAAAATAAAAGAATAGAAAATAAATACTTCCCAATAAAATAAATAAATAAAAAGAAGAAGAAATAAATAGAAGCTAAAGAGAACATGCTAAAATTTTACCCTTTGGGTGATAGACTAGTTATTTGACAGTGTATACAGCCTGCTTCAGAATGATAGCAAGAATTGAACACATACATAGGTTTAACTTCCATAGAAGGCATACCCTCAAGTTCTACATTGAATATAACCCCACAGGCCGGAGGTGTTATAAAATATCAGCAGTAACAGAACTTCTATCAGAATTCCATAAGGCAAAAAAGTCGCACTGGATTTTATATGTATTTGTCAAACTCATAACAGTTTCAACTATTCACAAGTTTCATTTCTTATTCCATAAATAGTACCCAGCAAGAATGTAAACATGCATCCCGGTTTGCGCACACACATATAGATGATATATTACCAAGTGACTCTTAAATATTTTCTTATCCAATAAATTAAAGGAATCAAGCAAGGCACAAAACATGCATCCAGAATCACATCCCATTGACTATTAAAATTAGTCACTGTACCTTACTAAGAATTGGCTTCAAGGTCCTACACGGACCACATGTTGGTGCTGTGTATAGTACACATATAAGCCTTGGACTTTCGTGGTACAATTTCCGTAGAGCGTACTGGGGGCAGAAAAAAGATCAAGCTTAGAGCTAAACACAGTATTGATAATCACACCGGAAGTCTTAAATCAATGAAATATCATACAACATAGAAAACTCATCATGTTGGGAAAAGGACACATACTTGGCCCTTGTGCTTCGTAAGAGTGATGTCAAATTTTTCTTGTACATCCCTGTCCGTGAGCTCCTTTTTAACCTCTTCAGTGGGGGGCTGGTAAAAATCATTGCCAAAAAGATGAGATTCAAACAGAACTATGGTTGTATGCCCACTTTATAGTAATGGCAAAAATGAGATAAAATTCCATGAATAAACACCCACTGCTAAGTGACCCTGACCTAATAAAAGATGAAACCAGTTCTATAGCTCAAATAATATGTTAGTGTTGAATTTCCTTGAACTATTCCACTATTGGAGTACCCAAATTTGGCCTGAACTCAGTTTAACATTTTGCCAAAGTTGCAGAAAATGAATTCTTTTTTCTCTAGCTTTTTTTTTTTTTTTTTATTTTTTTTATTTATTTTTTTTTTTTTATATATATAATTACAGATAATGATTAGAAACCTCATTAACTGTACACAGAAGGAAAACTAGGGGATACGCATATACTACTACTTTTCTGAATATATATATGTACAAATAAATATAGACTTGTATAAAAAAAATTGAATCCGTGTGTACTTATGAAGAAGATACCATAATATTTGTTACTTTCCATGCAACATGATTATTAGAATAGATAAATTATATAAATGTGGAGTTTTGGCCCTGATTTTACTTTGGTATGTCAGGGTCCTAAGGTTTCAGCAAAATGAGTGCTCTGAAAAGATTACGAACACATGGTTTTTACTATTTGCTATTATTTAGTTCTCATCTTCCCTGTTTACCTTTTATGAAAATTTACTGAATTTCCCTTTCTACACTTTACCAAATTCACAAACTGGTTGGTAACATTCTGGTTTCAACTGGTTGGTGATTTAACAATAAATCTTCGATTCGCTGGTATTCTGATGTGCTCATGTGCAGTAAAAGTGATACAACTTTGCAGAAAAAGTCGTACGTCTTTAAAAATAACTTGGCAACTTTTTTTTTCCAACATTTAAACATCATATGCTATTTTTTGAATGCCTTGATTATATTTGAGGACATGCATAATCCTGTATGTTGTGGTACATCGTATCCTCTCTGTTTTTTTTTTTTTTTTTTTTTTTTTTTTTTTTTTTTTTTTTTTTTTTTTTTTTTCTTTCTGAAGTGAATTTTCCGTGTTAATGTGTCTATTTTATTTATGTCCCATGTCTATATCTGTACTGCACAAGTCATCAATATTCCTTTCACGACAACTACAAGATATTCGTTTCTAACAATAACAATTTCAAGGCAACGAGTGTCATGAACGTCAACCACAAAAGCAAGATCATACAACATATTATCAACATATCCTAAAAGAGAAAAAGGACAGACAGAAGTGAAAGGATTGATTACCTGGTGAAATTCCACAAGAAGATCATTGCTGACAAGGTATCTTTCAACTGATAAAGCAGCAATGCATCCTGAACCAGCTGCAGTTATGGCTTGCCTCCACTCCGGGTCCTAAACAAATATCAAGAAACTGAAATACAATATAGGCAATGATAATTACAAGTTCACCCACAATAAAAGATAAACACAAATCCAAAGATATCAGGACATGCATGGTGAAGGTGCTTCAGATAGTTGTCATTCAACATTAAAAACAAAATGGAAGATGGTGCCTGCAGTTATGGAGCTTCATATCTCAAGTACAAAAAAAAAAATTAAATAAATTCTACCTTTCAATTAATGCATGTGTCAATCCTTTAAAACAAGATAAACTTTTCAAAGTTATTTAATTTTATTAGGGCAATGAAGTTTCAAACACTTCGCATCCTAGATGTAAGCTTTACTCGATTTAAATTATTCACTCTATATATTCATGAAACAGGTTTTTTTTTTCCTTTTATTATTATTTATATTTTTAATTAAAAAAATAAGAAGATAAACAATAAAAGTACTCTAGGGAAAAATTTCTGCCAAAGTGGTACTGTGTTCCTTTAGTGAGACAAATACAATGGGTAAGTGTCCTGAAGCATGCAAATATTCCTGAAGTGCTCAAGAAGCATGGTTGTGGAGGTACAATTAACCCGGAGAGTCCCATAATAGCGTAAAACTGAAACAGAATCATTCAATAGTTTTGGCGTGGTTACCTGTACATCTCCAGCTGCAAATACACCTTCAACAGAAGTCTTTGCAGTACCTTCTTGAACCAACACATAGCCTGATCTGCTAAGTTCAACTTGGCCTTCCAACAATTGGCTATTTGGTGAATGACCTATCCCATAAAATAAGCCTCTTGCCTCGAGCACCGATTCCTCTCCAGTATCAAGTTTTCTAACCAAAACTCCAGACATCTGTCCTTTAGGATTGCTAACAACGTCAACAGCCTCTGTATTGAAGTGACAGGTGATATTTGGATTGTTGTAAACTCTGAAACATTCGCCATAATCAACCTGTTAAACAAACATTCAGGAGTTGAAACTTAACATACAAATTGTTCATTAGTAATTCAATTCATCAAAAAAGGGAAAAGAAGCAAACAATTAAATAGATCAAACTCATGTAACAAGACAAAACGAAAAATAAAATCAAGAAGCCAATAGAGAAAAAATGAAGACTGAGGGAGGGAGAGAGAGAGAAAGAAACCATAAAGCAAACTTTGGACGACAATTCAATATCCATGTCACTATGGCACTAAAAGCAATCATGTGACATAAGTAACACAAGTTTAAGGACAGTAACACCATATAATAACTCGTTGCAAGTTAGAGGGCAATTTCAGACTGAGAGTTAGCAGAAATCTACAAGTATCATCATATCATTCATCAAAGGTTTGCATGGCAAACCAGAAAGAAGTACAGAGGCAGGGGTTTTAACCCCCTTTTTAGGACAACAGAGCGCTCGTGGTGTTTCAGACACTAACCAGATAGCCTATAACAAATTGTATGTTTACATAACATACAAAAAAGGATATTAAGCTGACTTACCAAAATATAGTAATATCATGGTGATAAGCCTTCCCAATTGCAGAGTTACAAACATGATACAGTTCCATTGTAGAATGCTAATCTTATCTTTTCTCTTTCCACATATATGTTCATTATTAAGCCTGAAAAATGAAACCTTGCAGAAAAGATCTGTAAGAGTCCAAATTAAGAAACACTTAATGCTCCCAAAAGGTCAATTAGAAGTCAAACATGTTTCCAGAAGTGAAGATGAATCTCCTGCATTTTGCAGATGAGGTTTTATTAATTATCTGCTCCTATTCTTTATTGTCAAGCAACCGGTCATCTGTGGAATGAAGATGAGCGACGCTCGTAGTGTAAATCCATAAGAATTTCTATTGATCAAGTACAATTCCGCTCTTGCATTCTAAGTTAGCTTTTCATGATCCAGTCATGTAATATAATAAAACCACCCTACGACAAGCACAAATCCCAGTAATTGGCATACTACTTCTCCATCATGGCTAACACTGCACCTATAGCTTTTGCAGTTCATAAGTGAGAAATTTTACTTTCAGCCCATATCATCTTACTAAGAGAGCTGATAAAGAAAGATGAGCGTTATTTTATTTTCCATTTTGCACATTTCTTCTTCTTCTTCTTCTTCTTCTTCTTCTTCTTCTTCTTCTTCCTCCTCCTCCTCCTCCTCCTCCTCTTTTCTCTATTACGAAAATCCGTGCAATCATATATCTAGTTTTCTACTCTATGTAAAATTGTTATGATATTACAAAAGGTTTGGTTCTATGGTTGGCTTTTAGGAGCATTATTTTTTATTCGGAGGGGATTGTAGGTGTTGGGAAGCACCACTATCTAACACTCAGTAATTATATTGGCAAGCATGCCAAGCAAAAAAAAAAAAAAAGCAAAATAGGTCACTGCAACATTTTTTTTTTCTTTATTTCCAAACAAGATATTCTTCAAGAAAGAAAAAAATAAATAAATAACACTCACAGGGAAATGTTTCTGTAAAGTGTAAACTATGAACACTAGTGAGAAATGTAAGTTTTTTCACTGATAAAGCCCACAAACTATTATAACATGGTATCAGAGCAGGTTTATCATACCCTACTCTAAACTCATTTGACTCTCCTCATCTCACTCGAATTTTGTGATCAAATCTACTTGTCTCGAATCTTCAGATCTACTCGTCTACAATCTGTGGATCTACTCGTCTTGGATCTTTGGACCTCCTCGTCTTGGATATCATGGGTGACAAACCCGAAACCAAGTGTACCAACTTGAGAGAGAGAGGGAGGGAGAGAAGGAGGGAGGGGGGGGGGGGGGGGGGGGGGGGAAGAGAATATTATTACAGTAGTGATTTAAGCCCTTGATAGGAATGATTCATGAGAGTGATTTTCGGAATCCTCCATCAATACATTTTTCATATTTATCATATGTTTGTAAAAATATCAAGCGAGACTATAATGAAAGATATGTAGCCCTCTAGGCTTTATGTCTCGTGGATGTAGGAAGTAGTGGCCAAAGTACGTTATACTCTTGTGTTCTTCACTTTTAATTTCTCCCTTCAATCTTTTATTTTTCAACATGACTAAAATAGAATGGTCATCACTTTCTTTTTCACTGCTATAAGCAAATAGGGGCAACTGCATGGTGCAATGGCAAAAGCTCAAGCTGACACATGCATGAGGACAAGGGTTGGAGTCTGGGAACAACCACTTTGTGGGAAAAAAAAAAAAAAAAAAAAAAAATTTGGTACTCTTCCCTTGCCAATACCCAGTGTAGGCGGGACCAGCGATGAATAATGGCCATCCTATTTGTTATCAACCAAACAGTATTTGAAAAGTAAAAGACATATTTTATAGAGCAACACAATATTTCAAAATACAGTTTATCCAAACACTTCCTAGAAAAGGGAAAAGACTCCTCAAAGCAATTCTATATACAAGATTAACGCATGAAGAATAGCACAAAACCATGTATGGCGGGGAAGGGCAACAGAAAGTAGCCAACCAAAAATGGCCCTAGACCGCATGGTCCCAACAAACCCTTAATCATTCACAAGTTTCTCATCCTCTTCCAGGAAAAAGAAAGAGGGGGAAGAGGGAGGAGGGGGGAGATAAGAGATGGAAACAAGAAATTAATGAATTCTACTAGTCCTACTTCAGCTAAGTTTTACAAAAGAGAAGGTTACATATGGTGTATACCTGAAAGGACAGAATACAAGAATCAAGAGCTTAAATAGATGCCTTACAACTAAGGAATATTTTGCAATAACAATTCTACATAAATGTAGAGGCAATATAAAATGATCTACACAATGTGCTATCATGATTTCAGAGGAAAATGAAAATTGGGAATAAGGTTCACTTAACTCACCTATCTTGCATTGCTCTGGATGCCCTTAGTTGGTCTCTACGTACAAGTAAATGAACATGACCAGCATATTTAGTTAAGTATAATGCTTCCTCTGTAGCTGTATCACCTCCTCCAATCACAGCAAGAACTTGCCCCTTGAACAGCGGCGAAGCTCCATCACAAATTGCACAAGCACTAATTCCTCTACTCCAAAATTCATCTTCGCGAGGTAATCTAAGCCTTTTTGCCGTAGCACCAGTGGCCACAATAACACTATGGCACTTAACCTGAGAGGTATAGATGAGAAAGCAAATTTCATCACTATAAGCACCAAGGGCTGGTTCAAGCCATTAGCAAGGGAATCAGGGAGAGGGGGCTCAATGTAAGGGAGACAGGGCGATGCTGGGCAAAAACACATATCTGACACATTCAGACCATGTTACATATACATACATGTTAATATATATACACACACATACAGATATACATAGAGAGAGGAAGAAAGGAGATACAATATAATATAATACCTGCATATGAGGATTAAAGCACCCACGTCAGAAATATGTTCGTAATTGAACAACATTTGCATGTGGAAAGGAAAGGCATAATTCATATGTAATAACTTTGTAATTTTCAATTTATATTGTTGTACATAATATATATATATATAATTTATTTGTAAGTTTATTTATTACTGTGCCTTTGTGTTTCCTTATTTTCTCTTCTCCAAATTTGATAGTCAACATGTTCAACCTACGTCCAGCTAACATTTACTTTGTTCAACTTAAGGCATGATGTATGGGACTTAAAGCCTCACACTCGCTATCCACAAAGTGAATGATAACCAAATAATAAGAATATTATATAACACCATCAGCAGGCAAAAAACATATGAGCATATTATCAACCCAATGGAGAAAAAAAAAAAAAAAAAAAGGCAACAATTCAGAAGGACCCTAACACATACATGTTCATTAGGCACATGCACCAACCAAACCCAGTGCGTGCATGTTCATATAAAAATATATATATATAGAGAGAGAGAGAGATGTGTGAGAATGCATGCTAATTGAAACATATCTATTTTTGCAAGACAATTTTCCCCCATTTTTTATAATAGATGAAGTGCTTTTTGAGAGGCATTTCCGACGGCAATCTTGTTTGTTAATTGTCACTGCATGAAAACCATAACGACACCTCAAAGATTATGGATGTTAGGGAGAAACATTACAGAAACGTCAACCATAAGCATGGATGGCTCCTAATCAATTTCAAAAAATGAAAATCATGACGATCACACCTCAAAATTTTGATCCCAGGGCCGTCCTTCTTGAGTCTAGCGTTATCAATGCAACTATAAGGACTTCATCTTTGCAGTCATGACTAAAGTGCTTTTTACATAAAAAAAATTATGGAACAAGTATTATTCAACCACTTGCGAAATTAGTGATGACTGATGAACCCCTGCAAGTAATAAAGTCCCATATAAAAACTATACTAGAGCTCTAAACATAATCATCCATGACATAGTCAAATGAATTGTTTTCATGACTATCCCCATAAGCATAGTTTTCTACCATTAGGAAATGCCATTACTTTCATGTGTTCACGAAAGGAATTATATCTCTTCAATATCGGGATGCCACCTAAATAACTGTGGCCTGAGAATCAAATACGTTGTGAAGATAGAGTCTGAAGCTGGATTGGAGAGAGAGAGAGAGATAGAGTAAATTCTTAAGAAACACTTCTAGCCTTTATTTTTATAATGTTTTGAACATTTTATCTCTATAAAATAAGGTAGATCCAATCTCCTGGTCCCTACGAAGGAATTTCACGCTCTTCCTTTCGAAGGGAGGATTAGGGAAATCCTGTTGATTGCAGCTTTCTCCAGAACTCCGGTTAAAGCATGAAAAAAAAAAAAAAAAAAAAAAACAACAACACAACTCGAATAGTACAATCCCTTGTCACCCCAAAATGAAACGGGTAATCTCATAGTTCTTGGTCCGTGAAAGAAACTCTACTTATAGCTTTAAATTTAGCTCATGTCTTAAATGAAATAGTTACTCCAAAAAATGTTTCTCATTATCAAAGGTAGGAAACTATAACATACCAACTATCACCATCAATTATTATTTGTTAAGAACTGGTTGCTTAAAAGCTAAGTTGAAAACACGTTATAGCCTTATAGGTTTATCTATTTGTTTCATCCCCACACTACACACGTGACCAAACTTCCCCTAACGAGTGGGGCAAGAAACACTTCCAGCCTTTATTTAAAAAAAAAAACACACACACACACACACAAAACTCTACTTCTAATTTTCATTTACACCTTCATACATCAAACAGCAAGATGCCTGCTCAATTATCAAATTGAAGATTTATTGACTCCAAAATCTGGATCTCTTTATCGAACTTAGGAAACTATAACATGCCAAATATCACTGTCAATGAATATTTGTTAACAACTAGTTGCTACAAAAGCTTAAGTTGTTAGTGTTGTAGGTATATCTATTTGTTCCATCTCCACATTCCACACATGTGGCTGGACCTCTCCGCACGAGTGGGGTCAGCACTTGAATTGTATTAAGCATTTTAAAAAATGTCAGGATTCAAACATAAGACCTGTCTGCCATGGTACCAAGTTAACAAAGTCACTACAAAAGCTTAAGCAAACAGAGAATGGTGAAATTATCTTTGTGTTTCACAAAAACTTAATTTATTCTTACCTCAGATATCAAATTTATATTATCCGTCCTCAAATCTTAGATAAAAGACTGCATGTGTCCAAAAATTGCCTCTCTTTTTTCTTTTTCTTTTTTCCTTCTCTCTCAAAGGCGGGACTACCTTTTTTTTTTTTTTTTTTTTTTTTTTACAAGGCAAGAAGGGTTAGAAGTTATATTAGTAGATGTAGAGAGTTGAAGCATGGCACTCCAAAATCCACCGGAGGCACTAACCAACTAAGCTATAGAGGCACATGCAAAGGCGGGACTACCTTATTTACCAAAAATTGAACCTTTTAATGGATGTTTGAGATTTTGTTATTTGTTCATTTTAAATGCAATCCTAATCATGCAAAGATAAACAATTAGTTAGATTAGTACTTTTAGATAGAAAAATAGTAAGATCTAAATTCATGTTTTAGAACAAAGAGTTCAAGTTGAAAATTTGCAGATTTTCCAAATTTAGGACACAATATAATATTCAATTACACCATCAAAGGATAATCAATTTTGTTTAGTAAAATTTTTGTTTATTACTGCAATTACTACTGATCATGTAAAATTGTAAAAAAAGAAGAAGGTTTTAATAGATTTAATATTTCCTAACAATATGGTCTCCAAGTGTAAAAATAATAAGCATTAAAAAATTAAAATGTGGTAAACTAAGATTAAATTGTACCTATAACTTAATCTTTATTGGTTTGCAATGCAAAAATAATAATAACAACAATAATAATTTCCATAAATGATTCATTATGTAACTCACCAATAATCCCAAAACATATAAAACACAATTGTGACAATCACTAGAATCGGTTCTACGACTCAAATACAAAGCATAGATAAGAAAAGATGCATGTTAAGGTCAAATTTAGTTTTCCAATAAAAAATCCGTGTCTCATTCATTTAACAAACCAACTTGGTTTTGGCACCAGAAAAATATCATCTCGGGACAGATTAAAATCACCCAAGTGGAGGTTCAAATCAAGATAAATATGTTTCACCAACATGGTACTCCAATAATAATATTTAGATAACCATTCTAATGCGTAACAAGGCATCAGAGATAGGCATCACCTTTCGTTCGCTACTTTGCACAGTAAAAGGGCTGTTCTTCACATCAAGAAAGTCCACATCTTCTTGGAACAATTCTGCTCCCCAACGCTCAGCTTGTCGTCGCATCCTGGTCGACACACAATGTTAAGTTTCTTATATAGTTCTAGTCATCATTGGTAGCAGCAATCTTAACGTTGAAAATAAGAACAAGAAAAAATTCAAAGAAGTTTGTTTCCAAAACTTTGATTTACCGGTCCATCAAATCCGGACCAGTTATTCCATCTGGGAACCCCGGAAAGTTCTCCACTTCAGTTGTAGTCATCAATTGCCCACCAGGAACACCACCTACTTGATACCCCTCAAACACTACAGGCTTTAAGTTGGCACGAGCTGCATAAATAGCCGCTGTATATCCAGCAGGACCTGAACCGATAATTACCAGATTCTCAACGCCTTGAGCTGCAAGAACGAAAATAATAATTTTCATTGTTAGACTCCATATATGTTCATGTTTTTTTAGGGGTAATTATACTTCAATGTCTCACAAAATAGAAACAATAATAAGGAATAAAACATTTGACTCCATAGCAAAGTATTTATTGCCTGAAAGGATAACATAACCCGTCAAAAACAATTATTAAGCCAAGCAATTATTGCTCTTACAAAGTTAATGTCTCCCGGATCAAATTGAATGCTAAAGCTAAATTAAGCCAAAAAAAAGTATTGCTTTGCAGCTATCTAAAATTAAATGTACAACTGCAGTTACAGCACCCTAAAAGAAGTATTGAGTCTTCATGAATTAGTCATGTAAAAATAAAACCTCTTTTTGTGAGTCAGCCATATGAAATTTATAGAATACAGGCTTGAGCTGAACCTATAGTTACCACATTCTCAACACCTTGGGGGGCAAGAACGAAAATAATATTTCTCATCATTAAACTCCATATATGTTCACCTTCTTTTTTATCTTGTTTTGGGGGTAATGTACATCAACAATCCTCACATAAACTCAAAACAATAATCAGGAATGATACATTTCAGATTATACCAAAGTATTTATTCCCTGAAAAAGGAAAACATAAACCTGTCAAAAACAACTTTACAATTTCTTAAAAAGCCAATGTCTGGGGGATCAAATTCTAACATATTGAATGCTAAAGCTAAATTAAGCCAAATAAAGTATTGCTTCATTTTTTTTTTTATGCTCATCAAAAAAAAATAATAATAATAATAATAATCTTCATGAATGTCATATAAAAACTCTTTTTGTAAGTCAGTTGTATGGATTTAAAAGAATACATCATTGCCATTACTATGTAGTACTGGCTAATACATGCACGGATTACAATAATTTTGAAGGGCAGAAAATCCCAACAAATCAAGCGAAACCAAAGCCGCTTCGTTGCCCAAAATATCATCACTTGAATATTTTGGTTCACGATTCCAAAGAATTTCCATCTCAACTTATAATTTTACTAATTACATGTTACCTATTTTAGTCCAAGCCCACTTTTCTTACCTTTTTAAAATAAAGGTTCTCTCCACAATCTAACTTAACATCTTCCCCCTTCCAAAAAAAAAATTCTTTTTTCCTTTAAAATGTTATCAGTCAGACCCTGCGTAACACAGTTAGCATACATCAACAACCTCATTATAATTTATAACCTCTTCTAGTAAATATCATCCACAATTTATGCAAAAAAGAAAACAAAAACATTATTATATAGGTTAATATTGATCTCTAATGGAAGTGCGCGTTGTCAGAAATTCACCAGACCCTTGTCAAATTACTCGCAAGTTTCTTTTATCATAATAAATAAACTTAATGCTTCTTCATTTTTATGCAGGTCACCATTTTATCCCTCTTGGAGATGACATCGGTATACTTAATGCTACTTCTATTTTACCGTATTGCTCTATATTAGGTCACCTCCTCGAATCTTTCTCACTACATCAACCATGTTCTTTGTGGCCTTCCTCCTATAAATTGAACCTTCACCATCAAATACATCTTTCCTCCTTACTACAACATTTATCCATTCTCATTGCATACAACCACACTACCTCAAATGACATTCCACACCTTCAATTGTTGCCACCTTCACCTTCTCACAAACACATTCATATATTTAAACAGTGTGACCTATGTCTTCTCACAAAAACATTCATATATTTAAATAGTGTGACCTATGCACTCTCACAAAAACATTCATTTGTCAAATTTCTCTCATTTTTGCATGGAACCATTTTAACAGAAAATTTTTAAATACCCCGGGGGTAGCGGTTGTGCAATACCCCCAACCAATAGAAGTACCATTTTCCCCTTCATGATAGGAAAGGAATAATTCTTATTTGAGTAGGGTACTATATTCCCAGTATCCCTGGGGTATCCAATACTTGCTCCATTTTAACATCTTTCAGTCTGGAGCACTATTTATGAAAGCTAAATTTATGATGGAACATATATAACTAAGTTATACACAAATTTTGAAGGTTTTGTACATTCAACATCAGAAATTTTTTATAGAGTTACACGCTTGATTTCTAAAAAATTATTAAACTGAGAATGAATATTAGCGTCATTGGTTGCGGCATGATTATAGTATGCATGCATATAAGAGCCTCCATAAAAGTAAACACGCAAATAAGTAACATCACATTTATTTGTATCTTTAATTTTGCTGCTTTTATTTTACACAAGTATTAGTTAATTATGTTGGAAATATAATTCATATATTTTAAAATTAATTTCTGGGAGGTTATATACCTTCTGGAATACATTGGTGTTTAAATTTGAAAATGTGTCTATTCATAATGGATAGGACCTTGACACAACCTTTCTTAACGAAATGTCATTTGTTTCTTGTCTTAATATATGTTCTCTATAATACATAAGACCGGCCCGAGCCTTAGGCGAGTTAGGCGGTCACCTAAGTCCCCAGCCAATAAGAAGGCCCCATAATTTTTTATTTCTCTATATATTATAACTTTCCTAAAACAATTATAGTATTTTCTTTAATTATTAAACTTCAACGTATAGAGAAATTTGACAGTTGACCTAAAAGATTTCTATTCTTTCTTTTTTTTTTGGAGGGCCCCCAAAATTTTTTTTCTTTATACTATAACTTACCTAAATATTTTATTTTCTTATATCATTAAACCTCAACAAATACAAAATTTAATAGTGTGCGCAAAATATTTCTATCCAAGTATTATCTTCTTTTTTTTTTTTTTTCTCTCTCTCATCCTCTTTACATCAGCATCCATACACGCGCATTAAAATTAAATATTAAATATATATTTAAGTAAAAATTGGTGAAACTTTCAATATTTTTCTAAGACTCCGTTTTTATTTTCTCTTTTTTTTTTTTTTTTTTTATTCCTCGCATATTTTTTCTCCTCTCTCACTATAAATTTTTTTTTTTTTTTTTTTCATCGTCTCCACAGTTACAATTTACAATCTCACTCCAGAAGAAGATTTTGAATATACTTCTATTCTATTAAAGAATTTATTGGAGCATTAGACCAGATTATTCGAAATCAGTTTTTATTATTCTATAACTTAAATTAGTTTATAGTTTTACTAATTTTTGTTATCATAAAATTATATATTTTGTTTATAATTTTTATTTATATTGTTAAATATGACTATTAGAAAGCACATAGCCAATAAATTAAAAATGAAACTAGAGTTTGGAAAAATTTTAGTGATAGGTTTAAAAATCACTAAACAAATGGCATAAATATATGAATAAATTTAATTAAAAGGCCACTTTATTTTTTTTGCCTAAGGCCTCATTTTGTATTAAGCCGCCCCTGATAATACAATAGAGTGTTCTGGGTTGCAGTAAATTTTACTTAAAGCGTCCGGAGTCTTCTCAAAAGTTTGTTATTCTAAATATTTATTTACTGCCTACAGTATTATTTCCATCATATTCAACAAGTAATAGACATAAAATTAGATTAAAGATGGGAAAAGAAACCAAATCCAAATACAAGAGAGGGAGACAATTTAGAGAGAGCGTAGAAACTGAATTGGTTTTCCAGTTAGATCTCGTATGAGAGAAACCACAATGAAGCTTATAAATCAAATGATAGAAATTTTAAACAACTCAAACATCTATATAAAGAAGCCAAATCTAAATGTAAACCAGAGAGGGAGAGAAAGTAAAAATATCGCATGAGAGAACCCCAATGAGCACAAAATTCGAACGATATACATTTAAATACGCATTTAACAAGTGTGTGTATACATATAAAGATATGAGTGTGTGTGTGTGTGTGTGTGTGTGTGTGTGTGTGTGTGTGCATGTAGAGAGAGAGTTGTGAGTGACCTGGAGAGTAATTGGGTGGCTCCTCCGAGGAAGTCGAGGCTCTGACTCGAGTTGAGGAAGGGAAAGAAGCGTGGTGAGTTCGAGCAGAAATTGAGTGGACGCGGAGAGTGCGTCTGCGAGTGGACCCGGTTCTGAGTAAGAAGAGACCGTTGGCGGAGGGAAGAGCGTTGGAGAGAGTTGAAGGAGTGGACATCGCAGCTAGCTGAGGCTGAGTCAGATTCCCGATACCGATTCCGACTCCGATGCCTCCTCCTATCTTCGCTGCCATTTGTTTCGGACCATACAATATATCTAACCAACTAACCCCTCTTGTCTTCTTCTCTCTACTCAACCCTTCTTATTGATTTCGTAACCCACGTGCATGGAGCTCACTCGCACGTGTACATATTATAACAATATTTGCTCTTTTTTTTTTTCTTTTTCGTTTTTTTGACCTTGTTCTTTATTTTATTTTTCAGTTTTTCTATTTTTTTTGGCTATTGATTTCAACTTTGTCATTGAGATTTAAATGTATTTATTAGATTTTAATATTTCAATAATATTATTTTAAAATTAATTTGTTCGAATGAAAATTTGTGTAAATGTTTTTCTTTGCCTTCTTAATCTTAATGCATTTTTTAAATAATTGTTTTTACATTAAGATGTTATTACATATATAAAATAATTAATTTCTTTCCTCATTTTAAATAAATGATCGTCTATGAAGCATGGCATGTTTATAAAAGTAAAAAAGGATTAGAGAAAATAGGGCAAAAAAATCAAAAACAAAAAGTACATGTAAATTATCAACTTCTTACAATTTACTCTTATGTACTTCTAATTTTATAACAAATCTCCTAAACTTATCAAAAAAAAAAAATTGCTTTAATTTTCAGAAAATATGCATCATAAATCGATTCAAAGACATTGTATAATACTAATTTTGTGTTTACCTTTATTGATTGTCTCAGCTTAAAAGATGCAAGTTTAAATAAATCTTAATATGAGCTTGAATATTATTTTCATGGTTTTAAATTGGTCACCCCACCAATTTTGATGAACTAAGATGGCAAGATTGGATTTTATTTCATAAAATCTCATGAATAAATTAACTTAGTTTAAATTATCCACACGATTTTTTTTTTCATACTTGTAATGGAATGATTGTAATCGTGATCGTACTTGTGGATGTACTTAGCATTTATTGAGAAATGGACGCATCATAAAAATTACTTAATTCCATAGACTAAAAAACTATTTCAAATAGATAAGTTAAAAGAAGAAGAAATTCCATTGATAGTTTTTTCACATAATTTGAACCTCAAACTTCATATCCAACAATAAGATTACTTTATCTTACACATCCAACAATATCAACATTATTTTGCTTGGCAACTTTTCCTTGAAATGGCTAGCCCAGCCCATTATTCAAAACCGTCAACGGACCAATATCATCTGAGAGAGCCCAAATCTTTCAAATGCAAAGTGAGAGACCGACCCAATAGTTTGGCCCAACCCAATCTATTTGCTTCTTAATAAAAATAAATAAATAAAGAAATTAATGTTATGTTTAGAAATTGAAACTATCAAATTCGGTTCTTCAATTATAAATTTAATGTGCTAATTTGGTCTTTACAAACACAAAAATTACTCTCGTTCTTAAACTCCTCTTTCCAATTTCTTTTATTTAGATTCCTGGTAACATTTTAATCATTATTTTTCTTATCAAAACCATGATTGAAATATACTGCTTCAAATGATCTAACATAAAATACCCAAGTGACTCTTGAGACCAGAAAGACCTTCCTAACTATAAAGTTCAAAGGCTAAAAAAAAAAAAAAATTTAAATTTGGTTGGCCTATTAATGGATTACTTACCAAAAAATAATAAAATAAAATAAAAGAAGAACTGGCATTATGTTAGTTGACAAAAAAAATTATCCTCATTTTTTAACTCTTCCCAACTTCTTTTATTTGGATTTTCCATAACAATTTGATCATAAATCTCTCGTGTCAAAATTGTTCTAACAATTGTGCCAAGATTTGAAAGTAGACGAGGGTTTTATGCAATTTGGTCAAACAACAATTTTCATTTTTTTATTTTTTATTTTTTTGCTTTTAACCAATTAGTAGCTGTTCTAAGTGGCGTTCATGCACAAGGGCCAAAAGGCAAGTGATGTTAATTGACAGCTGAAAAGTATTCTCGAGTAGATAAGGAAAAAAAAAAAAAAAAGACTGAATTTTCAAAATTCTAGACATTTTAAAGGGAATGGAACTTTCCTCTCAATTAATTCTTCTGTGGAATGGAAAATTTAGATTTTGAAGCATTCAAACATTGACCTGTCCGAAATATCTACCATCTCTCTCTCACGCATCAAACAGCAGAAGATTGAGTCTTGTTGAAGTGTGTAAAAATAGTTTCACAATTAAGGTGAGTAGGTCATTTCTATCCATTGCTGACATGGTTGAATTACAAATACACAAATGATATGTAATTACAAAATCGTTGGTATTACATTTTAAAAAAAGAGGTGATTTTAAAAGGTTCAAAAATTATTGTTTCCTAATGAAAAAAAAATAGTTAAATAGGAAGCAAAAGAAGGGAATAATGAAAAGAAAAAAAAAAAAAAAAAAATCAAAGATCCGAATTGCTAACTTGGGAATAAATTACCAACTTCCAGGATGGTAGTAAAGTATTTGAAGGACATTGTATTAGTAGATAAATTAAATTTAGATTTCAATAAATAATGAATATATTTCAATTTGTCACTCGTTATGGGTTATACCTTCAAGAACATGATGCAATCCTGAATGTCCGAACTCACATTTATATTTTGAAAAAATCTTTTCTGTTTTTAAATAGGAGTTTGGAGCAGTCCCAAGAGATGGGCCACCCCTCTCTTTTTATGGGCTGTTTGGTTTTCAATTCAAATTTGAATTTTACCCGATATGTGGGGGTATAATTATAATTAATTGTAATGTTTGTTGATAGAATTGGAATTCAAACAAGTGAAGTCAAATCTTCCTCCTCCTTTTTGTAATTTAGACTACATAATTGAGGAATGCATAATTTAAGAGAGAGATTTCACGGGAAAGAATTCTTGTTGATTAGTCATTTGATGAACTCACATTTATATTTTGAATAAATTTTTTCTGTTTTTAAATAGGAATTTGAAGCAGTCCCAAGAGATGGGGCACCCCTCTCTTTGTATGGCCTGTTTGGTTTTCAATACAGATTTGAATTTTACCCAATATGTCGTGGGTATAATTATAATTAATTGTAATGTTTGTTGATAGAATTAGAATTCAAACAAGTGAAGTCAAATCTTCCTCCTCCTCTTTGTAATTTAGACTACATAATTGAGGAATGCATAATTTAAGAGGGAGATTTCACATGAAAGAATTCTTATTTTAGACAATTTTTATAATATACATAGGCAATCCACAATTGAATAATTTATAACTATCTTGATGAATGTAACTGACGTCATAATGACGTCTATTTTTATTTATATATTGAACAAAGGACTATTACTTACGTGTTCACACAAGATCTAATCATAATTTATTAACAAGAAATTTTCTTCTAGAAAGTAGACATTGTGACATTTTGTTGTGGTGTCTGGATAATTATGAGCACTTTTCACACCGCCCCTCGGCGTCTGGAATGGGAAAACAAACTGCGGTTGTTGAGGGGATATGGAATATTAGTGTAGATAAAAGCAGCAAATGTATATATAGATATAATAATACGTATACATTTGTTATATATATAAATATATCACAAAGGGACGCTTAAATTCAAGTCAAGAAAACTCAGCTGCCCAACCAAAATCAGAACCTTCCAATACGTCGATGTAACCTCAATTTCAAACTTTAATTGCTCAACTACACCCATCCAGTTACCCCTTATTTAAACGCGTGGGATGCACGTTCTCTGAGTAGACAACGACCCTTTTCCCACATTGAACACAATGGTGTTGTTATTGGTGAGTCTTGACACATTCAATTTATGGGCCCACATTTGGTCATTCAATTGATCATAGAAACCCGCTAATTTGTTACAGTATAATTTAATATTGACAGCTGTGTACTTTCTTACATCTCGAAGGATTAATACTTGCCTAAACTTTCTTATAACAGCGGTATAAACCAATAAAAAGCTGAACACCCGTCTAAAACTTAAAAGTAAAATAAACTTTAACACCTGTCATGCATGTTCTCCATCTCTCACTTTTAACTCAATCCATTCTCTCTCCTCTCCAGTGTCACAGACTCCATAGTCCTTCTTTCTAACCTTTAACAAAAACTCTAATTTTCATCTTTCTCTTCCGCCAACCGATCTCTACCACCTTCGTTGCTGGCTAGTTGTTGCCTCTTTCATTCCTAATTAAATCATAACGTTCTACATTTATGGCAATCGTTGATTCTTAAAACTAGTATGTTCTTCTTTTTCACATATTAATCACGCTCCCCTCTGTCGAGCAAATCTATATTGTTGGCATTCAAAAAATTCAAATATCCTTAGAGATAGGAAGCCGATGAACAATTTAAGGTAATATTCTTGACCAGGAACATAAGGATTTAAAGGAACAACGTTTGTAGGGAGGGAGAGAGAATATATTAATAATTAATTTTGTTTGTCCAGTATGCATTACACTTAATTTGTTCAAAAATTAATAAAATGAATCTGCAATATGGACTATATATACAAAGTATTAGCTAGACATGAGGGTAAGTACGTATAGCTCTTGAATATGTAATTATTGTAGAAGATACAAGTCAATCTTGGTCGAGTGTGAACTAACTGAGCATGATTTTGATTTAAACCCTAGAATCCCTCTTCTCCCTTTGTGATGGAGCGTGTGCTACACACGCAAAGTTATTGAGTAGGTCTAGCTCTTTGCTCTTCCATGAAAGTTCAGACAAAGAAAGCACCCAAAGTCAAAAAACGTCACTTTTTCCCCCAAAAAATCCAAACCATTAAGATCACGAATGTAAAAGAAATCATGATTTAAAATGAGAAAAAAAAATTGAAATAGAGGAATTTTGCACGCTAGAGTTTGATAATAGAGAATTAGAAAGTCTCATCACACCTAAATCAACCATATACTAATATTTTAAAGAGTAATATTATAATAAGCTAATCCCACCAAGTAAGAGTGTAACCATTGATCTCAACGGTCGATTGCCAGTCGTGTCATATAATCACCAATTATATAGTCATTATTATGATATCATACTGTTTATAACTTCTTGAATCTTAATCTTGACCATTTCAGCATTGTAAAAAATGGATAGTGCTATTGATTTTATCTTAATTTGACATGCAGCATGATCACTAGCTACTAGAACATTGATCAAGAGCCACATATTAAATTGTTGTATGCAGGTATGATATTATTGACCAGTACAAGTCAACCAATAGCCATCCTAATATTGATGGCTCAAATCTTCCATCATACAAAATTGATACATCTTGTGTTTAATTTCAACAATTACTTAAGCCTGCCGTAATTGATATATCCTGTCTTTTTTGGTAGGTGTTTAATTCTAACCGTCTACTCATATATAGTTATTAAATTTTAATCTATATCCATGTGTGTAGATATACATATAGTATATTGATATATATTTGCGTAGATGTAAGAAGTTTTAATTGGTAAACTTATATTATATACAATAGGAGTACACGTAGGTATATACTATATATTATCCTATTAATGGATTCCCACTATATATAGGAAGAGGTAAACACAGAAGGTGCGTTTCAACCATTTCCTAGTTTTGTTTTGTAGAGAGAGAGGGAGAGAGAAGAGAGCTAGAGAAGGCAAAGCCCTTGCAATTCTCATGAACTGTGGAGTCGTGTTGGGTTTCTATTGCTGGGGTTGGGAGTTCTTAACTGCCCTTCTTCTCTTCTCAGCCCCGGCATCATCTTCATCTTCGTCTTCTTCTTAATTTAATTCTCCTTTTTAATTAATATATAGTTTATAGGCTTATTGTTAGCTAGCTAGCATCTCGATCTCTGCGTTTCTCTCTCCTCTCTGTCTCTCTCTCTCTATAAATATATATATATATAGCCGATCGATCATGGATATTAATATTAATAATAATGAATGTGAAAAGGGTGGTTTGATCTTAGAATATGTTAGAAAACCATCCCCACCACCATTCTTGTTGAAGACCTACATGCTAGTGGAGGATCCGGCTACAGACGAAGTGATTTCGTGGAACGCCGACGGCACGGCTTTCGTGGTGTGGCAACCGGCTGAGTTCGCCAGAGATTTGCTTCCCACGCTCTTCAAGCATAGCAACTTCTCCAGCTTCGTTAGGCAACTCAATACTTATGTACGTATATTCAACATCTTTTCAAGTTATTTTGTTAATTTGTTGTGCCATCAATCTCTCTAGATCTATATATATAGATACTTAATTATGGTGTTCGATCATCAATTAATTAACTTCTTAGCAAAGTTTTTGAATTAGTTTTCTTGAACGAAAAGGTTAACCACTTTTTTTAATCAAACTTGACTTTGATTTAAATGGTGGTTAATTATTACCTTAATTTTATTATTTTTTATATTTTGAGGTTGTGGTTGCTTTTATGTACCTTTAATTTAATTAGAATGGACTCAAGTACTCAACAAATATATATATATATATAGCACTATGAACTCATATTTGTTTATAGAAGTGAAAAGTGGCTAAAGGAGGAGTTAGCCAATCAAATTAACTTTTGGTGACTAACATTCTTTCACTATTCTTCTTCTCTTTTTATTATTATTTATTCTTCATGGGATGCATATAAATTCATTATTGATTTGCTTTAGATTCCTTATGATCAATTCTGGAATATGTATATGTAATTAATTATGATGCATATATATATATATATATATATATATAGGGATTTCGCAAAGTTGCAACAAGCCGATGGGAATTTTGCAACGACATGTTTCGAAAGGGTGAAAGAGATCTACTATGTGAAATTCGTCGCAGAAAAGCATGGACAAACAAGCCACAACCACATGCAGCGCTCCAAACCGTGGCAAAAGATCAATCTGATGACGATCAACGGTCATCGTCAACATCATCGTCGTCCGGACATAGCAGCCTTGTGGATGAGAACAAACGTCTGAAGAAGGAAAATGGGATCTTAAGCTCCGAGCTCTCGAGCATGAAAAAGAAATGCAATGAACTACTTGATTTGGTGTCCATTTACACCAACTCATCGTCGGAGAAAGAAGAAGAAGAGAGTCATGAGGGGCCTAAGTTGTTTGGTGTGAGATTGGAAGTTCAAGGAGTGATGGAGAGGAAGAGAAAGAGAGCAGAGATTAGTAGTGAAAGTGCAAGTTTTAATTTGCTATCTCAGTCGTGCAAATAGCTAGGGAATATATAGATATATATATATATACCCCATGCATGTTGAAAAACTAAATCAAGAAGCATGTTACTTAAAAACAAGTGGCTTGCTTACATTAATAATATATATGCAATGCATTAGTGAAGGAGATGTTTAATTCATGCTTAATACATGTACATTATTGTGTACTCTCTTTCAGAGGCACAAACCATTAATAATACCACTATGAGTATGAGAAGTGGCATGTATGCTTTTATTTTGGTGCAAGATTGGTTATAACCCCCTCAAGCATATACATACATATATATATGTGCGTGCGCGCGCTTGACAATTGCTTAAGAAGTGAAAATTATTGCATGATATTAAGTTATTAACCACAAACTGAAAAAGTGATTCTCTCTTAATTAAAAATTGCAATCAAGTAAATTAATTAACCTAGCTTCTCTTTGAAGTTTCTTACAGAGTATGGCAATGAATTTGTCATGTTTGAACGTTAATTTAGCATGAATGTCGTCTTCGATCTTCAACTGACCGAAATGGTTTCAATTAGACTCACTTTTAATTGTCCTTTTCGATCACAAGACCAAAAATAGTGAAGATAAACATTAATTGTGTGACCAAGAAATTTTGTAAGTTGCTTAAATCTGAGTCTATGATCATTTATGGCCGCTTGCTCTATAATGAGATAAATAATTGATGTTAGGATGCATGCACATGTTTATCAACAATCGGTCATCCGTTGACTGCAAAACCTTTAAATGGATGACTCGATAATTCAATATATAGATGATACTACTGTACATTTCCTAGGAATATACACACATATGGGGGTTATATATATGAATGATCATATATTAATAATATGCCAAAACTGTTCTAGTTAATGTCTTTCAAGAAATTATTAGGTCATTCTGGGACCACAAGGCTCCCGTAAATCACAAATTCTCATACAACTATATATATCATATTAGATGATTAATTGATATTTTGTGATTGGTCAAAACCACGTGCATAACTCAGGATAACCTAATAATTTCCAATCTTTGGTCCAACTAATTAAATGGCAACCGAGACAAATGCGTAAATATTGAAGAAAATGAAAAGTATGCTAAAGTCTCTGATGTTGCGTTTCAGTGCATTACAGGCGAGACTAAGGAAATATAGTTTAGTTGAAGATGCATCAATTAGCCTTAATCATTGTTTGGTTGAAGATAATTATATTAAAAAATGAAAATTTCACACATTGTCCCTCCTCATGTATTTTTATACTTTTTGTGATTAATTTGCAATCTTTTGGTGCCCAAAATATTTTATGTACGTAGAAGCCACGATTTAAATAGCAAACATGTTGATTTTAATTTAATTTATAGTGTTTCCATAGATACCGCGCTAGTTAAGTTACATTACATTCGGGAATCATTTGAAGTAATAATTACTGAAAAAAGAAAGAAATAAATAAATATTTGACATAATATTTATTTAAGATTAAATGATAAAAATATTAAGAAAGGTCTAATGGTATGTGGGGATTGAAGATCAATAATTCAACCAATGAAATTACAAAATTACATTAGAGAGTAACATAGTTCATATTAAAGATAACAATAGGAGAAAATATTTATATCAAATTCAACCAAATTAACATTCTAATATGGCCATTCATCATCACAACGTCAGAAGTATGTGATTTCGCCCACTATAAAAAGCAAGATGCTTATATTTTGCTTCAGTGTCAAGGGAAGTTGCACAAGGCGGCCACTATATATATATATATATATATATATATATATAGACTGTGTAGTGTATAGTGCTATCACTCACTATCATTCTATGAAGAAGAAGAAGAAATTGGGATTAGCAATTTTCAACTAAAATGACATTTGTCTACCTTGATTATGATGCAGAGGCAGGAAAAAATAAATAAATAAATAAAGTCATTATATTTGAGAGTTAAAAATGCATAAAACAGTTTAGTCATGAATTCAAATAGGGCAGCAGGTGGTTACAAGAAAATTATTATTTTACTAATATGGCACTCACCAACCCATCAGTTGTTTTCATCTCTGCAATTCAATACAGTGGAAAAAAAAAAAAAAAAGTCAATACAATAACCAAGTTGTTCTCCACCAGTTTGGTCTGGTCTTCCCTACATGGTAGGGACAAGTACTATGATCAATACGTATGTATTCGAAAGAAAAGTTAGAAAAATTATATATATATATATATAGATTGTGTGTCTACACACACATAATTGTGTATATATGTATGTACTCTAAAGAAAAACAAAGGAAAAAAAAATTATTAAATGATTCGAAATCATGTGATTTCACCATTCAACGTTCACCTGACCACCGCGTAATCTGGGCTAAAAGAAAAATATTACTAACTAATAAAGTTACAAGAATATGCCTTGTCATTTTGCTTACGTATATAAAAAGAAGAAAGAATAGGTGTTTATTCAAAGAAGGGGTGCCGCGAAGATCTGCCACACGCTACTGAATAATTTAATCCAAACGAGGCACTGAAATTTGTTGGAATTGATCATATAATTAAAATCCATATAAAATATTTTGGAATCCAAAAAAAGAATAAGTATTCTAAATTCTAAAATATTACTTACTTTCATATGAAATCATATAAAAATCTTGTATTTAGAATTATGTTGGAATTGATCTTTATACATGTTAGGGCTAGTCTAGTTGCTCAGGTGAAAGACAGCAACAATCCAATGGTGATTTGCATTATCTGCTGGTGTACGAACTTGAATCACCACCTCACTTTAACTACTTTTGAAATTAAAAGCAAACACATACCCACAAAATGCCCTAAAGTGGCTCAAACTCATTTGAGGAGCATTTAGTTTAGTACAATTGTTAATTTTTAAATTTATTCAGCAAAGGGGCAACAAATTTGGCAACATTGAACATACATGACAATCAAAAAGTTTATGAACAACCTTTGCTGTACATTTTTATAACTCATGGTCCAATCATGAGAGAGCAAAGGATAAATCATCCGATTAGACAATAAGATTCGTACATTGACAACTTCAGTTACATTCCTGAATTGGGAACCCAATACTTTTTTGGTTTTTTATGAGAGAATCCCCTCACCCAGAAATTAAAAATAAATAAATAAATAACAACATTTCAAAATCCATTTGGTGACTGTTTTCTGTATAATCTTTCTTTTTCCTCTTTTTTTTTTTTTTTTTTTTAAACAGGTACAAAGCATGAAATGTTATTGATGTTTATGCTGTGGTCAATGGCTCATCCAACTATTTAACAGCAGGGTCAACAACTTACCTGCTGAAATTGGTCACACATTCATTAACACAGTTGATACATCACTAATCAATTCGAAATGATTTAATTGTCAAAATTGAAAGCATTGTGATTTAAAAAACACTTCATGAACTATAATTCTTAAATACGAGCTTTGCTGTCTAAACCTATTGTTACAAAGCAGGCCACGTGATAAACAATAATACAGATGGACAGCAAATTTTTTTGTTTTTTGCTACAAGTGCAACATTACATCAAAATAAAAAAACTGCCTTTTCACGTGTGGCAGCAAGGTCAAAGACAAAATTGCAATTACAACATTTGAACAAGAAAAAAAAAAATCAAAGGAACTGATATTTCACAACATTTGCACCTCAAGCTACTAATGATGAGAAGACTCGAGGCAGATTTACAAATTTCGAGATTACTATAGCTTTCATTATATCAATCATGTTGCTTTCAGCTATTTACAAATGATTTAAAAGCTTAAAAGGTTGTCAACCTTTAGCAACAACTGGAAAAGGTTGACCCAGTGAACCCTCTTATCAAAATATTGAGGGAATCAGGCAACTGTTACAGTAAGATTAAACCCTCAAGAATTTGCTGCAAAATGATTAAAAATGGTCTCTAGTGTTGATTGGCTTACACTGTATTCTGCTATGCCGAGTAGATTTCTGAATAATAGTTTTTAAGTGTGAATCAGCATGATGACCAGAAAAGACACAGATAAAAATTAAAAGAAAGGAAACAAAGTATTTCACCTGTTTCGCTCTAGGTGCCCAAAAACATCAGCAAGCGAGAGGTCTTCTCCATATGGCAACTGCAATAGTTTGAGAATAATTACTATATGAACTCAAGAAAGATAAAGAAGAAAACAGCATGAGCACAGTCGGATACACTCGCTTGCATTGCATGTGCGCAGTACACGTCCATTTTCAAGCAACAGTTAACACGTGTACATTTGTCAAAATAACCAACCTTAGCACTGATGCTCATTATCAAGCGGGGTTGGCTGAACCATAATGTTCCCTACTACTCATAAAACCAGAACACCGAGACACGCGTTCAATGCTCAATTTGGCTTAAATCAAAGCAGGCTATAAGCATCTTACCCCCTTATAATTTGTGGAGAGAAACTTACCACTTGAAACTTGGAGGATTTGTAACCAATAAGAAGGTAATTGGAAAATTTTGCTTAAAAATTAAGGTACAGAATGTTAACTGTCAATTTCCTTTATTACCCATCACTAAGCAGCGAGGGGCTATATTTGTGTTGTATTCTAACTTGCTATGAGAACTTACTGATAACAGAAATGTAAGGAGTCCTCAAACGTGGTACATTTAATCCAACGAATCGCAAGCTGATTTTCAATCATAATGCAGAATCACAACATAGAAAATTCTTTTACTTAAATATTTAATTCACTCCACTTATTGCATGAGTAGAGAATATGCTATTACATAATTAGCTTTTACACTTAAAAAAATGGTTTAAATAATCATTAAGACACTAATGCAAATCACACATTTAATTCACACAAACACATATATATTCCGTTAAACGAACAGCTTACAAAAGTTCCAGAGAACAAAATGTGCAAGAATTACAACACAAAATTAAGCTTGTAGAAAGAATAATAAATCTCCTCTTCCTTTGTGCAAGGAGAAGGCATTTTATCTTTTATCAATTAATTTGGATCATATCAAACCTAAAGAAAATAATTAGAAATGGTGGAATAAAACACTACTCTTCAAAGGAAAGGAAATACATTAGTATTAGCAAGAATAAAAATAGGACCTATATGAACGAATAAAATGTAAAATGAAAAGAAAGGTCTTCTTAGTTTCAACATATCCTTTGGCTGATTGATGCGAAAATGAAGGAAAAAATAGAACACATCACTTTTTTTATTAGAAAATATGATTGTGAAAATCGAAGTTCAAAATTTTCTCCGTTTTCTTGTCAATCAAATGGGGTATACAATCCTATTTGATGCCAGAATGATCCAATGCCAGACACATTGAAAACCTCAGGAACAGAGTAAACGTGTAACAGCTAAATAAAATTTTAACATGGGCTTTACCTGATATTTAACACTCAACCCATTACAACCTTGAAATGTTGCACCAGGAAATGAAGATAGGATAAACGAATCAATTACGGAGAACTTTTCTTTGGTTAGCCACCACTCAGAAAATATGGGCAATGGGATACCACCTACATTAAAACCCAACAGTATCGATCAAGTACTATTACAGAAGAAAATATTAAACAAAAATATACATATATATTTAATGCTGACTACCAAGAAGATTTTTATAAATAGCTTTGGTTAATAGTGAAGAATTCTTCATGGCTCTTGTTTGTATTTCAAGAGGGAGGGCAGTTTGGAGAAGGATGTTGAATGCACTTCTATAACCTTTGTCCTATGGTGAACAGAAATGGACCGGGATGTTCAGTAGACTGTCAACTATTAATTCCACAGGTTAGAATTTTACAAGACATTGTACACTCAGATCTGATTGGTTATGGAGTCCTTATTCCCATTCTCCTGCAACTTATACTATGAGAGGTGAACAAATTCTACATGGGGTAGTTATCACATAATTACGTAAAATTTGGCTTAATGATATGGAGGTGTTGCATAATAATTTGGAGAATTTGCAGAGTGAGAATCTTGTCCTTGATGGTTTGAAGATTTTACCAAGAGTGTGGTTCTTTAGACCTCTAGGTGAACGGGGATTCCTCAGTTTCACACTTCGTGAGGGAGTCTGTTTTGCCGCTTTGTAGCCATGTGGAATAGGTCTCCAAAGGACTTTCCTAGGGACTTTGGAGTAGTATACCCTATCTTCATTCTTATTCATCCTAATGACAGGTCCTGAACTCCTACTATAGGATTCTTAACTGCAGTGGTGGTCATAACCAAGTCTCAAATATCTTGTGAAAAGGACCTTCTATTTCCATAGCCACAACAATGATGACATGTTAATGCCTTGGTGATGCCTAAGGTCCATTGCAATACATTAGATGCACTTTGCGAAGCAACCGCCTTGTTTCAGAGTTTAAAATCAACATTTTGAAGTATTGTCATTAATGTTTGTGATGGAATTGATTTCTTCTCTCCAGCCAATAACTGAAGAGTGCAGAACCAATATCCTCCCATCACTTATTATGGCTAGCTTAACTATATTACTTTCTTTTTCCAATGTCAGTGGGGGTAGCAAAAAGGTGGAATAAGATACGTCGAAACTTCTTTAACCCAGTGGAGAAAATGGTTCCGATTTTCATCTTGTGAATTGGGAATTATGTGTCCCTTTAAAGACTAGGTAATGGCATTTATCACATTTTTCAATATAAACAATGCCCATTTAAGAAAGTACATTGAAGATTTGCACAAAGAGCTGATGATGTCGTTTCATTACATGTGAACAGTTTTTTTTTTTTTTGGGTGCGATCATGATGAGACATCTTTCTACTTTGACCATAGTTTGAAAGTGAATCTCTGCAAGGGTGGAATTCTACAGATAAAATTAGTTTCAAGGAGGACAAAGATGATAAGTTACTTCAATTGGCATTTTTTACAAAATGCAGACATGAGATAAAAAATACAGTGTTTCATAAGGTATCCAATAGAGGTCTCGACTACATTTTTGGTTGATGGATCATCCACTCATTCACTACCAGTTGGCTACTTTTCATGGTCCAACTTTTGCTTTTGGTTTGCAGTTATTCGGCTAATTTTAGCTTGGCTGATTTGTACCTGAGTTGTACTAACTGATCATTTTACCGAGGGACGCATCTTTGGAACCTTCCTATATTTCTATCGCGTGATATCCAAGGAAACAAACAAATTGATAAGTTCTTAAGGAGATGTTTCTATTTCTTATTGTTTAAGACATCATTTTGCTTTTATATTAACCCTCAAACATTTTTTTTAGATAAGTAAAAAAAAAAAATGTCAAGGGTTAATATAAAAGCAAGACGATGTCCAAAACAGTAAGAAATATTAACCCTTGACATTTGAAATGTACAAATCCAAACCTAAAAGAATGTTATCTAATGAGTGAGGGAATTTGGTATATTTGCTGTAGTCTTGGGAATTCCTTTTGCCATCGACTTTTTTTAGGGGTGGCAATTCATGTTCGTGGGTCATAATCGTGTCTTGTCGACCTAAGAAAATTATACTAAATAGGTCAGTCAACCCGAGCACGACCCGTTTAATAATCGTGTCAAGAACCTTCAACACTAACTAGACCTATTTATTAAACGGGTTACACATGTAACCCGTTTAATGACCTATTTACTAAAATTAGACATTATATTTTTTAGATTATTAATAATACTCAATCAAATAATATATACTAGTAAATATATAAGTTTTAATCCAATCAAATTACTAAATAGTCTCTAGTTCACAAAAGAGTAAATTATAAGACACAAGTTTAGAAACTTATTTCGGAGCTCAAATAGAAATGTGTTTATTACACGTGTAGTTAAACGGGTTACATGGGTTGAACCCCTCAACCCAAACATAACACGATTAATTAAACAGGTTAATTGTGTCAACCCGTTTATGACCCCAACCCGTTTAAGGTTAGTCCAAACCCGCTTAACTTGTGTTGTGTTCGAGTCATGTTGGCTGGTCGTATCAAACTTTGCCACCCTTAACTTTTTTCCCTCACTTAGCTGGAAATTAGCGGTTCCTCACCCAGTTCTCTTGTTTAATTAATAGGAAAATAATTTATAAGATACAAAAAAAAAGTGTTTTTTTTTTGGTATTATGAAGCAATTAAGGCAGCTATAATAACATGTAATTTTCCTAATAGCATTTTAGATGCAATACACCTTCCCCTGGAACAGCACATGTAAGATGTTTTTCTTTTACAAGGCCCATTTGTCCCCTAAAAGAGACAACTACATTTGCACCAGCATTAAGAAGTTCGAAATAACTTCTCGTGTTCTGCCTAGTGTCTTATCTTTACACAGTCGTTTCCAAGCCCTAAAAAAGGAAAGGTTGTGTTAGTAAGAAGACAACCAGTGAATTTTTTTTCAGTGCTTTTGGATAAGTAGGAGGCAGAAGAGAGGAAAGAAAGGATCCTAATAGAAAATTAGATTTTCTACGAACATGAATCCTAAGGCTATCGAGCCCAATAAAGAGAAGAATTGACGAAAAAGCTTGGTTGTGTTAAGTTGAGTTAATTCAGAAATTTGACATACAAGTGGAATGCGTTCATATGCCAAATTAAATACCTTGAATCCAAAGGTATTGAACTGATATAGGAACTTGAGGTCAATAAAGGACATCCAGAAAGGAGCAACAAAAGAATGGTGCCTCAAAAGCATTAAGTAAACAATCATCAGATTTCTAAAGAATCAATAGTATTCAACATGTAAAGAGCACATTCCATAGTGAAATTTGAGAAACGAAAAACACGAAGAAAAAAAATCTGCAAGTAATAACATACCATCGCGAACCAACTGCTCTGACAATTGTTCACCAAAAACTCCGTCCGAAACATTCATTGAAGATACAAGTGTCCTTACTCTTTCTTCATTACCAAGCCAACATCCAATTGTAACTATCATCTCCTCTGACAAGCTAATTTCTGCCACTGATGCATTTTCCGATGCAATAGAATCAGTGCCCCCAATGCAAATTTCAAGGTCACTGAGTAAGCTCCTAGGATGAGAAGGAAAGTCAAAGAGCCTTTCATGAATTATTTGGCACAGGTTATCCATATCCGTCAAGCTCACTTCAGTTGGTTTAACCTGAGGACAGATAACAGAGAATGACATATTTGAACACACATATAACGTGGATAATAATTAAAAAAAAATACCTCTAGCTCAAGATGATTCCCAAAACGTGTTTTGAGATGTTGAGGACTTCCAATGCATCTTAAACGCCCCCCAACCTTCAGATAATACACATAAGAGCACAAAAATGGTCACTTTAGAGTTTGATAACATGTATTTCAAACTTCAGCATCTGAGCAAATGCCTTGAGAGGATACCATTATTCCAATCCGGGTGCATAGCGCTTGAGCTTCATTCATGCTGTGAGTCGTTAGAATAACCGCAGTTTTTCCTCTTCTGGTTGATAGACGGGATATTACTTCCCACATGAAACGTTTGGCAATAGGATCCATTCCTAGAAAAAATTTGTGCATGAAAAGATAATTGAGTTCTAGGCAAACAAATACCTGGACAGAAAGGAAAAACTGTATGTTCCACATATCAACTTTCTCTCAGAGGGGAAGCAGGAAGGATGGAGGTACTTATAGTTTCATGCAACGATACATAGGATAGCAAGTATTTCTTATATAAACAAACTACAGTCTACAAGATTTGAAAATCTGAAATCTAACACAAAGCCTCATGCTTCTGATAGAAGGCTTCATAATTTCAGAAGTTCCAATTGGCCCTTTGAAGCTGAAAGAAACTCCTACAAAGGTTTTATGTGAGCTTCAGTAAAGAATTCCTTGCCGATGCCACTGAACATATTTCAGTGGAGTTGATATTCTGTAGTGTAACCCATATAATGAAAATGCTGAAAAACAAAGATCGAATGAAGGTTCAAACCCAACACCATAAGCCACGAATATCTTTTGTTTTTGTTTTCTTCTATAAAAGCATTATATGTGATACTGAAGCATTCGGGGAAAACTATGCAAGTTCACTTAGTTTAGGAATGGTGTGATAATATCTCACTGACTCAGGTATATTACTTCAGATCGAAGCGTACATATATTGACATCTATATATGTTACAATCTGGAGAAGAAGAGACTAGATTTCCTCCTTTAATATGGATACACACACAGAGTTACACCATATAGCTTGTTAGACAACAGGAAGCAACTAGGAAACAAGTCAAAAATGTATACTGAGCTCTCACATCCTCCCTCACGTGCAAATCACCTTACACATGGAGGAGGAGACAGATGGACCAAACAGAGTGCAATCACACATACAATTACAAATTGGGAGACTAGAACCCAAGAGCTTCAAAAATCAAAGCTTCGACATCATGTCAAACAATTAATAATCATAAAAGCTTATGGAAACAGTGTACACCTAGCTCTCATGTAGCTAAAAGAAGACGGAGCTGGGGAAATGTATTATTGAACTAGAGTTTTCAGCTTTCATGCAAGATAACTCTGTTAAGTATATGATATCCTTTCAGGGTTATACTCATTACAGTGTGTTGTTAATGCAGAAGATAGTTGGTCAGCTAAAACTACTTTAAACATCATCAGTAGCTTTTTTGATTATGTGCAACTCCTTATATATGTCATGCATGTCCACAAAGTGAAGAGCATAGACTGACTTTTGACTTGCCTGTACTTTAACAGGCTAGGAGATTTCAGGTAGCACAAATAGCAAAATTAATATTTTACACATGAAGGAAAACACTAGAGTAGTTACCTGTGGATGGCTCATCAAGAATGACTATGGGAGGATCTCCAATCATTGCTATTGCAACAGATAGCTTGCGCTTGTTTCCCCCACTGAGGGAGAATGATTGCTTATTAGCATGCTTCGTTAAGTCAAACTCCACTAACTTTTCCATCACAACCTGCTCATTACCATTATTAGCATTAAGAGCCCATGTGATGGCAGCTAGGAAAAAGATAGATGGGAACACTTGGGGTATTATGCAGTAAACTTGACTTGAAGGTAATCATGACCTTAATTCAGATACAATTGTATATTATTGATCTTTGGTGAGAAAAAAAAAAAAAAAAAAAATTGAAAAAAAATGGAAAAGGAAAGAAAAGGAGAAAATGTATCACATCTCAAACTGTGAAGAGGGAACCTAGAAGGACACATCATTCATCCAAAGCCAAAAGCCCTCAATGCCAGAAAAACTGATTCTTTGGGCAATAAATTCATTGGAAATGAAATTAAATTTCAGATTTGGCCACCTGCTCAGTATCTAATAATGAAAAATAATAGAAATAATCAATCAACTTATAGAGTCATACATACGTCTTTAAGCCTGTACTCTGATACTCCTTTTATTCTTGCGTAAAGCTCAAGATGCTCTTGGACAGTAAGAAATTCAAACAAAGCATCAAATTGTGGGCAATACCCAATCTGACATGTGACAGAGAGAGAGAGAGAGAGAGAGAGAGAGAGAGAGAGAGAGAGAGATAGAAAATAAACAGAGTTATATAGGTGCCATCAGTAAATTTCTGCACTGTGTAATTTGCATTCAATCATAAAAAGAGAAATTCAGAAAACAAGACATACATGATGACGGATGGCCTTGGGGTTTGAACGTATATCTTTGCCAAATATAAATGCAGTTCCATCACTTGGACATTCTTCTCCTGCATGTCAATATTCAATATTCGATCAAAAGAAGAAGAAAAGTGATTGTCATTCCATAGCCATATTCAAAATGATTCCAAAATTTTGAAAACTATTCACATCAGGAGAAGCACATTAGGTCATAGATCTTTACATTCTGTGTAATACTTATTCCAGCATGGAGTCTAAAAGCATTTTCCTGCTGTGATCTTCTGAAGACTTACAAGGTTGAAGTAAATCAGATGAAGTGGTCACAGAAGTAAAGAAATGACGCCATTAACCCTTATGAACACTATTCTACAACTATAACTATAAGAGGATGAAAACATGGAGGGAAGGAAATAGCTACTAAAAAAAGGAGTTATTGCAATAAATCATTTTTTAAGTTAAGAGATGGTCTCTTCAATCAATATATTAAAAAAAATTATTATGATCCATATAAGATAACAGGCAAAAAATTGAACATATAAACATTTAGAGAGTGACTTAAGTTCTAGGTGCCAAGTTGTAAATTACCTGATAGCATTGACAGGGTCGTAGTCTTTCCTGCTCCATTTGTTCCCAGAAAGCCAAAACACTCTCCTTCATGAACTGAGAAAGTCAATGAATTAACTGCAATTTTCGTACCATGGTGCTTCCATCCAGGATACACCTGACAATGAGGACAGATATTGCTCAAGACTAGAACTAATCGTAGTAGTTTGGGCAACAATAAACAAAATATAAGACAAAGTCATCTTCTTTGGTCAAAATAGAAGTACCTTCCTAAGATTACGCAAGTAGATAATTGCATTGTCGGCGGAACCTGAAAGGACCTTATTTCTTTCTATTTGAACATCAATGTCATCATCAAGGTTGACAGCAACATTTTCTGAGAATGATTCCAGAAGGGGTTCCAAATAACTATTGGAATTTCTCTGGAAGAATTTTTTTATACTTCCCCAGCACTCTATAAGAGTAGCTGAATTTACTCTCTGAGGAGGCAAGAGTTCAAGCCCAAGTGTTAAAAGGAAAAAGACAACACCCTGCCATAGATAAAGGCAATCAACTGAATAAGAGTAATTCCATTTGCAAAACAAATTCAAGTTTCCACTTCAAACACGTCCAAAGATAATAAAGTATATAAATTGCAGTAACTATATATTTTTTTTCTTTCTCCCATATAACCCATTGAAACAGTTTTTATGTGGAAAGATTTATTTGTGTTAAAACAAACACAGGGAACCCAAAAACAAATCAAGAAACACGACAGAAAAGTAATCACACCACACAAAGAACACAAGGATTTAGCGTGGTTCGGTAAAGCCTAAATCCACGGTGGAGATCCGGTGAAAGTTTTCACTATGCGAAAAATAGAAGACTACAAGTTTCAGCCCCAAAACCCTAGCTCTCGCTCTCTCTCTTTCTCTGCGATTTTTAGTGTCTCAGTCATCCCACTCCAAACCCTAAGCGCCCTTATATATCGGGCTACAAGAGAGTATTAAAAAAGGGTCCACAACTCGCAAGCAAAAAACCAGGGCAAAACGGGTCATTGGGTTGTAAACTGGGTCCAAGCTCATTCAACGGGTCGTTGGGTCGTAAATGGGTGGCATCACAGTTTGAATACAAGATGAGAGACAAAGAGGTTGAACAAAACTAACATTTGATGAGGTAATTAGAAATTATTTTAAAGATTTAAGTATAATAAGAGGAATGGCTCTTAATAGAAAAGGATGGAGAAGAGAATTCATGTGTTGACCCAATCATATGGGATAAAAGTCAAGGATGATGATGACGCCGATGGTGAATGAAATCCTCCTGGGATTGGGACTGGCTGTTTAAAGGAATAAGAAACTGGAACAGCCATAATTGATGTGAGTTAGGATAGTACAGAAGGACACAATGGAGTGCAGTTTCATTGAAACCATGACCTTTGGAGCAACATGACAAATCAAGATTCCTATACTTTTTTTATTTTTTTTTCTTAGTTGGTGCTCACACATAGATGCATCCACCGAGGCTCGAACCCCTGACCTCCTTTTGGGAAGTAGGAGCCTTGTACCGCTAGGCCACTGGCCTATTGGTAAGATTCCTATAGTTAGAAACTTAAAACAAGCTTCGTTAAGTTCGGCTAAGTAGAATTGTAAATAAAATGAGTCAACTTTGAAATAGTTTGTTTCCTTCAAGCATACAACTAAAGTAGTGATCATAAACGATTATTGAATAAAATAGTTAAAAATTGTCAGCATGAAGTCTGTATGGATGAGATAGCTAGGAGGATGTACAGGTTATACCTTCACGTGAACCGTCATCTATTTCCTTCATGCACCTGCTCTTTCAAATGCACATTTTACACTCCGATCCTTAATCTGTTTCTTCGCTCCAATATTTTTATATTTTCTTTTCGAAGGAAAAATTTCAACTCTTTTTTCCAAAATCCAATCTAGTTCTTAATATGGTTCACCAGTAATCATCCAGCATATTTTACTCACCACCTTGTGATACCAGAGGGCGAAAATGTGTTATAGTCAAATTCCTTATCATATTGATTTATATTTCTGTGCATTAGTAATTAATTATTTATTTTTCTTTATCATATTGATTTATATAGCAGTGCATTAGTAATTAATCATTTATTTTTCCAGTTGTCTTTATCTTTTTGCTATTTCTCACATATTTCCAAGTGATTTCTTGAGAAAAGACAACCAAACACAGGGTTCTCTACTCGTTATACAACTTCTAACTCATTTCCAAGCAACATTCATGGGTTTTCTATCTCTTCTTCTTTTCCTTTTCTAATAAATCTGAAGCCATTTAAAATAAATCAAACAGATTTATACCACAAAGAAAGGAAATTGGGCTACGCTCAAGAGTTCCCAATTTACCAGCACTTGGTAAATTTGGCAAATAATTTAAGTACGATGTCACCTAAACATCTAAGTAGTTTGAAAAGGTAAAACAGAATTTTGGTCATAAGCAAAACAAAAACAAGGACAAAAGATTCAATTTTTAAAACCTGTGTGAAATAGAAAAGCAAGGTCTTCCCCCAAAGCAACCTTCTATTACCACTAGCAATATAATTGTTAAAAAAGAAAAGAAAAGAAAAGAAAAGAAAAGCCATGATTGTACATGACAGTAGAAGAATGTGTCCAGAAAGTCTAAGATCAGAAAAGAACCTCGGCACCCAAGTAACAAATTGAAGCACCAGTAACATTCCAGTCAAGAACTGCATCACTAGATCCATCCTTCATCCCTTGCCGTAAAAGAGCCAGTGAAGCTAGCCCATCAGCAAAGCAGAATCCAGGAGATAATCTGAAGAAGTTCTGGATTTTTTTTTTTTAATTACAAATGTCAGGAATGAATTTAATAAATCGCCAAGCATTCACGTAGTATATGAAGGACAAATGTTAATAAAAAGGAAACATAATAAAAAAACTAGCCAATCATGAATTAGAATCCGGTTAATTATTTATTTATTAGGATCAATAATGATAGACCTATGAAAAAAAATAAAATCAACAATCATACATAACTGGGTTAAATGCCAAAAAAAAAACCTGAAGTTTCTCTGTTTTGCAAATAACCCCCTTAACTACAAAATACCCCTTAAACTAAGTTTAATATCCACATAAGGCCATAACTGAAGCAAACAGAAAAAGAAATAAGTCTTCTTACAACTGTAAGGGAGACTAGAAATACTCCAATCACCGACGGAGCCTAGATTTCTAAAGGGAAATCTGGGAAAAGTATGAAGAATTATTTATAACCGATAATAACTCAAATTATATTGATAAAGACTTGGTTACAGCAGATATAGGGGGATGACCCTTCTATAATACTACCATTAGGGACACAGAACGTATCCTAGAAAGAGTTTTAGAATTCCCACACATTATTAATAAGACTTTACCAATTTCCTAAGTATACTTAATAATTCCAAAACTTAGTAAAACAAGGACTCTTTGACTTTTCTTCAAGGCACCATTGACTGCCTCAATCCTGAATAAAGTACCCTTAATGATTTGCATCAGACCCTCCTCCTTGAAGAAAACTCGACCTCAAGTTTGAAACAATTTGCCACGATCAACGACAATCCCGAGTAAAGCCTTCCATCTTTTCTTTCTTCTTTTCCTTGCTCGATCAAAGCACAATAAGCTTTTGTTACTGACAAAGAATAACTTCAAATGAACTTTCAGAGCTCTCTTGTGAAATCTCCAAAACTTACTTGAAGATAAATTATGAATCAAAACATGGATTACTCTGATTTTTACATTGGAGCAACTCCTAGCTGCATGTCGTGCCAAGAACCCATCCCAAATCAGGTCACGGGTATGAAATTCATGATTTCTCAGCTCCAAGAACAATGAAGAATCATTTCTAACCAAATTATGCAAGGAAACTTCTGCGGATGTATTTTCTAAGGAACTTCTTACAATTGGAAATTCAATGGTTTTATCTTCAAATTTTCCCTCTATTTGTCTGTCGAAAAACATAAGTTCTGAAATTTCTGCAACTTTGGAATCAACTTGAAATATTTGCTTTAATTTCTTCAACAGTTACCACTTTCCTAGAAAGACTTTCAAAAGATTCCTCAAAAGTTGAGAAGATGACAAGGTGTCAACATAAATCCCAAGATCTTCCTCATTAAAGAATTGTTTTTCGTAAATGTTGTGGCTGTTTACATCTCTTGGGAACTTGGCAGACTTGTATCTTGAACTTTTGCAAGTGTAGGACCAAAATTCAGGCTCTTGGGCATGGTTCACCACTGCGGCCCAAGTGTTTTTTGGCTGTTCTGTCCAATATTCGCATTGATATGCATCCGTTTGTCTCCTACTGTCCAGATTAAGAGGAGAAATGATTCCGTATTGTTCTAAGATAGTGCTCAGTCGAGAAAGTTGCTGCATTTGCTGCTGCAGGTTAAAGAAGTCTTCTTAAAACTGTAAGGGAGACTAGGAATTCGGAGCCTAGATTTCTAAAGGGAAATCTGGAAAAAAGCCTGAAGAATTGTTTATAACTGATAATAACTCAAAATATATTGATAAAGACTTAGTTACAGCAGATATAGAGGGCTGTCCCTTTTATAATACTACTATTAGTGACACTTGACATATCCTAGAAAGACTTCTAGAATTCCCAACAACATTAATAAGACTTTACCACTTTCCTAAGTATACTTAGTAATTCCAAAGCTTAGTAAAACAAGGACTCTTTGACTTTTCTTCAAGGCACCATTGGCTGCCTCAATCCTGACTAAAGTACCCTTAATGATTTGCATCAATAACAGCAGGCTGCCATTAACGGAAAAATAAATTGACTATTTTGTCCTTATATAAAATTACATCATTTCATGCTTCTGATGATGTAGACAAATGAAATCTTCATCTCTAATCAGGTTTTGGCAACCCATCCTATCCTTGTCATCGTCTCTCTGTTACTGGGGCTAAATCAGTTACTGTCTTGGCGCTAGCTCCCCCAAACTGTAGCTTGGCTGTTTTTTTTTTTTTTTGTGTAGCTTGATCTGGTCCAAGGAAATTATGGACTAAAGTAGGAAAACAATCAACATGACTCATGCTGTTCTACCACGAAAAATCACACTTAAATTGATAATAGATTAAACTGTCGGAGATTTACTACCAGACTTGTCTTCAGCAGAATTTGAAAATGTCCATTGATAATTAAGCAAATGATTCTACTATTTTCAAACCCGTGTAAACCCAACCTCTCTGAGCATCCAAAACAGCAGTCGCAATTGCCTGAACCCTGAGACAATGCCAGCCAAAATTTTCCCCATTGTATTGTTCAATGTCCGGTTCTCTCTTTAAATTCCACCTCTCGATTCCTGCAAAAACTCCCAGTTGAATTCACTGGATTCTGGCAAAGGAACATTCAAGAACCAAGATACTCAGGGATGCAATCACCGGAATTTTGATAGAATGGTCAGATTTAGAGGTAAAATTGGTAGCGAGTTGAAATTGGTGGTGGTGGAGAGGAAACCTATGTCGAACATTGAAGGAACTACACCAAATGGCCAGTTGTCTGCGGGTATTGAAGGTATGAGAAAGGTGGAAGAATGAGTCCTTAGGTCATTAGTTGCAAACAAACTAATGGTTTGGAGAGACATCAAGAGAGAGATTCTATTTGGGTTCTGTCAAATGGTTTAGAGAGAGAGAGAGAGAGAGAAAGATCTCTGTGTTCTGTCAAATGGTTTTGAGAGAGAGGGCTAGAGAGAGGACTGTATCCAAATATGGTATTAGGGTTTCCAAAATCAGGTGCAAATTTAACCCGATTGAAACGGATTGCCATTTATGGTCACAAGGGTTAATTTAGTCAAAACTGACTGGTCACAGACTCACATGACATGCATGCATGTTAAAAATTCTTAACGGCACATAACTTTGGAGGGATTTTGGCAAAAAAGGGGATAGCTCAAGGTGTTTTGCATTAAAAATGTTTTTTTTTTTTTTTTTTTTTTTGCACTTTACCCTAAATAATTTGATTATCAAAATAACGTTAAGAGATTGGAAGGATCCGATGCTAAGAAAGAACCAATTTCCAAGTGCAAGTAGCATAATTTATGCAAGCATTTCTTACTTCTAGGAATTCTATTATTATTCACTATCTCTTTTTAGTTTATCTTTGCCATCAAAATTTCCTCATATTGCCAAGAGTTGGCGGTCTGGAAAACAGACATTCAAAACCACACCAAACATATACTAAAACTGCACTACTTGAAATTAAAGACCATATTTTTGTGATATACGTCCAGAAAATGCCAAAAAATAAAATAAAATAATAACTGACATAACATATTTCAAAATTGCCAAAAATTAACTAACAACATATTTAAAAAATTCCAAAACTATTCCAACCTTGAGAAAAGAATTTGCACTTGCAGTTGTCTTTATAAGCCCCATAATAAATGATATGACCATAAGAATGAGCCCAGTGAAAAAGTGGACCAATAGAACCACGTTCTGCATATACAACAATAATATCAGCACTGACACAATTGTAGCTAAAAGCCTCGAGTCAGAACTAAAATGAGAAACAGCCACACCTGTGCCATGGAGTGTTCAGAAAAGAAAAATGTGAGGCAATATGTTGATGATGCTATGGCCAGTCCATATTCTAAGAACATGAGGATTGTGGGCAAGAAGGCACCCCTTCCAATAAACTGTTCCAGACCTAAAAAAAAAAAAAATTAGATTTGTTTAAAAGTTGGGAAAGAGAATAAGCAAATAGAATCAATAATGACAAAGAACTGTAGGAAATGTGACAATATGAGAAGGAAACTTCTATTTGATTTACCAGTAAATTTGTACGAGGTTCCACAAGCTTAACAACACTACTAATTATTAAAAGTTCGAATAAGTAGAATTTTCAAGTATTATATTTTTCTTTCCCCTGCTAACAACCAGTAGAAATCATAGTTCTAGATAACCCAGTCTAACTAATCGGCCAGATCCCAACACTGAGAATACAGTTCTATTGATAGACATATCAACATTCCACATTGATGCTGAAAAAGCGTCTCCTTAAGATTCAGGTCCAGAATGTCTTCTCTTTTTTCTTTTTTCATTTTTTAAGAGCAGCATGTCTTCTCAATATCACATCAAATGGGTATGGATGTAGATATGTCCGACATTTTTTTATTTTATCAACGTCTATTTATTTATTATTATTATTTTTTGATAAGTAATAATAAATTAAAAAAGGCGTTCAATAGGGGAATGCGTCCCGAAGACATAAAAGAAACCGGGCTCTAAGGCCCCAAAGAATCCAAAAAAGAAATTAAATCAACAGAAGAGGAACACGAACTTCTATTCACATAACTAAAAAGAGAACGAATAATAAAAAGTTTCATAGTCGCTGTAGACGACTCTTTCCCTTCAAACATTCTGCTATTTCGCTCCTTCCAGATGCACCACCAAATACAATGTGGTACAGATCTTCAATAAGCACGAACACTCCTACTCACACGACAACCTCTCCAAGCGTAAATCAGCTCCTTAGTAGAGCGTGGCATTACCCAAAACATGCTAAATAGGCCAAGAATGAGATTCCAGCAATCGTGCACTACAAAGCAATGCATTAGGAGATGATCGACTGACTCCCCATCCCACTTACATATGCAACACCAATTAATAAGAAGATTTCCCCTTTTCCTCAAATTATCGATCGTCAAAATCTTACCCCAAACAGCAGTCCATACAAAAAATGCCACCCTAGTAGGAGCCATAGAACACCAAATAGTCTTCCATGGAAAATCATAGGATGCAAAATTAGACAGACATAAAAACAAAGACCTTACTGCAAAACGCCCGTGAGAGGGGGAAATCCAAATCAAATTGTCAAAACCTCTTCCAATTCCTTCTTGCCGATACAACTGATCCAAGAAAATGCTCACCTCTTCCAACTCCCAATCCTGAAATGAACGCCGAAAATAAACATTCCACGTAATCCCACTATTATCAAGCTGATAACAGTTAGCTACTATGGCATGTTTATCAACTGCAATACCATATAATCTGGGAAAAGTACGACATAAAGGCTGGTTCTCACGCGAAAGATCTTCCCAAAAACAAACGCAACTACCATCACGAACTCTGAATCTGATATAAGAGGAAAAGGCATCCCATCCTTTCCGAATGGATTTCCAAGCCCCAACTTCTCCCGCAATAGAAACCGGGCGTGTAGTCCATCCGCCAACATCTTCCCCATACTTGCAAGATACTAATCTGCGCCAAGGACGATGTCTTTCCTTCCCATATCTCCACAACCACTTGCCTAGAAAAGCTTGATTAAAAGGAATCACTCGTCTAATACCGAGACCCCCCAATTTTATAGGCTTGCATACTTGGCTCCCATCTAACAAGATGATACTTGAACTCATCTCCCCTTCCTCCCCTTCCTCCCCAAAGGAAATTCCTTTGAATTTGTTCAATTCTAGCAGGAACGGAGCATGGAATTTGGAACAGAGAAAGAAAATAAGTGGGAAGGCTTGATAAAGTGTTCTTGATAAGAGTTACTTTACCCCCCTTAGATAAATATTGCTTCTTCCAACCTGCCAACCTCTTTGCATACCTATCAAGCACAGAATCCCAACTTCCCACTAACCTGGAAGAAACTCCCAAGTGCAATCCCAAATAAGGATAGGAAAGGAGCTCACCCTGCACCCAAGAACTGCAGCTAAAGAAGAGATGTCCTGTACATTCCCGACCGGGACAAGCACACTCTTGGCCACATTCACCTTTAACCCGAAAACTGCCTGAAAGCAAGCCAAGATGTATCTCAAATATCTAAGTTGAGACACATCTGCATCACAGAAAACCAGAGTGTCATCTGCAAATAGTAGATGTGAAATCTCCACCTAATTTTCAACATCCCTTCCCACCCGGAATCCCTTAATAAGACCAAGAATCTCTGCCTTGCGCATGAGTCTGCTTAAGCCCTCCATAACAATAAGGAAAAGAAAAGATGATAATGGGTCACCTTGTCTTATACCCCGAGAGCACCCGAAAAAACCAACTGGAGAACCATTCACAAGAATTGAGAACTTAACAGACGAAAGACATGTCTCAATCCATGTCCTCCATCTACTTCCAAATCCCATTCTTTTAAGCAAGTAAAGAAGGAAATTCCAGTTAACATGATCATAAGCTTTCTCAATATCAAGTTTGCATAGAACTCCAGGAACACCACTACGCAACCTTGAATCCACACATTCACCAGCAATAAGAACTGAATCAAGAATTTGCCATCCTCCAACAAAGGCATTCTGGGAATCTGAAATAATCCCATCCATGAATTCTCTCATTCTATGAGCAAGCACCTTAGCTATGAGTTTGTAAATACAACCCACTAAGCTAATAGGACGAAAGTCCTTAATATCTGAAGCATTGCCCTTCTTAGGGATAAGGGCAATAAATGATGCATTGAGCGATTTTTCAAAAACACCAGAAGAATGAAACTCGTGAAAGGTACTCATCACTTTGTCTCACAACCGCCTAACTTTCCATCAAAAAGTGCATAGTGAACCTGTCTGGCCCCTGGGCTTTATCCCCATTACAACTGGATAAGGCCTTAGGAACTTCTTCTTCAGTAAAAGGAAGCTCTAACCCATCTCTCTCCAGCACAGAAATAGCCTCAAAAGGAAGACCATCAAGCTTGGGTCTCCAACCTAAAGGTTCTGTGTAAAGCTTATGATAAAAAGAAACGATCCCGCTGCGCACCTTTTCCTCCCTCCACAACTCCACACCTTCAACCCGTAGACGTCCTATATGATTGCTCCTTCTGTGAGCATTAGCAAGTCTATGGAAAAATTTTGTATTACGATCTCCCTCTTTCAACCAAAGAGCTCAGGATTTTTGTCGCCACGAAATCTCCTCCATACAAGCAATCTCAGCAAGAACTGCCTGACATGAAGCTCTCCTAGTAGAAAGAGACTCCACATTCCCACCCGCCTCCTCAAGCCGATCAATTTCAGAAAAATCAGCAAAGACTCTATTCTTCCTCCATTCAAGATTCCCAAAGACATCCTTATTCCACTGCTTAAGAGCGAGTTTGAGAGCTCTTAATTTCCGTGTTAAGATGAAGTTGGGTGCACCTGTAACAATCGCTCCCTCCCACCAAGAACGAACTGTACCTTGGAAGTCCTCCACTCTCAACCCACATATTCTCGAAACGGAATGGTGTTTTTCTAGAACACAAACCCTCACAATCCAAAACTAAAGGAACATGATTAGAGGTAACCCTTTCTAATACCGCCAAAACAACATCTGGGAATTTCTCTTCCCACTCCCCAGAGATCAAAAATCTGTCCAGTCTTGAGAAAGTAATTGGGTCTCTACCATTAGACCAGGTATAGGTTGCACCTTCCATTGGTAGATCAATGAGAAGGTGCTCATCAATGAAATCGGAAAACTGATCCATGTCTATGGATCTTCTTCCATAGACCTCTCTGACGGGAACTTGACTGAATTAAAGTCCCCACCCAAACACCAAGGTAAAGAACACAGTCCTTGAACGTGGCTTAGTTCCTCCCATAAAATAGGTCTCTCAGCATCGACGACCGGTCCATAAACCCCGGAAAAAACCCATCTGAAATTATCCTCTTCCATCTTAAACTCACAGGAAATAGCAAAACTCCCCTTCCACACATTCATTCTGGACAACCACCTGCTGTCCCACATAACTAAAATACCACCCGAAGAACTTGTAGCATCCAAGGCCTCCCATTCCACAAACCTTCCTCCCCACAAACTTCTAACCACCTTGTCAGTAATGGATGCCAACTTGGTTTCTTGCAAGCAAACAGCCTGGGCCCCCCATTTCCTTAAAGCTACCTTCACCACCCTCCTTTTATTCGGGTCATTAAGACCACGAACATTCCATGTAATGATTCGTAGCTTCATTAAAAACCAGTTGAGATTAACTCCCCTCCCCCCTTCTTCATACTCCTGCTTCTAGTCCTGCTTCTTGTGAATCCCTTTCCAAGACAATATAGGCTTCGTGTTTATAGCTTCATTAGTGACTGTTATCTCAGTTCCGGTCACAATTGCTTGAAGAAGAGATAAAGTCTGAGCATTATTACCTTCTGAAGAAACTCCCAACAACTCACTAGTAGTTCCAATGTTATCAACCACCCAGTCCCTCCCCAAATCAATAACCTCATCATCAGGTCTCACCACTGCCAGAGGTTCCACCACTGATATGTTAAAGTCATCCTTCAGCCAAAGTTGAAGCTCAATAAAGCAGACCTGTTGGATAGATCCCAAGTCATCAGCCACCTCCTCTTCAGTCTTTCTGTCATACTCTTAAACAGAATCTGAATCTGTAACATAATCACCCAATCCAGCAATACTACCAACCTCATTCTCCTCATCCGTTGCTGAAGGCATACATTTAAGACCTTTCAACGCTACATTCAAACGTAACTCTTTGAACAAAGCCACAGCCTCATCATTGGACAACTTAAACTGCAAATCTCTTCCCATACAGACTGTTACTCCTTCAGACAGATCATCTGCACTGCCAACGGTAACCAACTGTCCAGGACGATCAATCTTGCAATCTTCCTTCCCATTCATCCCATCATTATGTTCAGAGTTCAAAAGTGGCAACCCATCCATCTTTTCCGTAACATCTGCATCACCCCTCATCACCTCACAGGAAAGGGTAGAAGAAGAAGGTGGATCACTAAAAGGGCTCCGAAGATCTGAAGGCATACCTGAACCATTAGTTACCCACTTCTGCTTTTCTTTTCTTGACCACCGAACTCCAAGAAAATGACCCTGAGACGGAGGTCTTGTATTTCTCTTCGGCTGTGGATTAGCAGAACAGGATGTAGAAGAAAAGTCAGCGCGACACTGAGAATGACGAAACCCCTTATCAACAGGTCTTACACCATCCTCGGCAACAGAGAGATTCATCCATCTCTTTTCCGGCGAATTCCATACAATTCCGGGTAGTGGACTGTGCGAAAGACTTCTAACATGAGAATTTGGTGGGCTGGGCTTTGATTTAATAAAAGAGATTGGCCTCCGTGTTGCCTCGGTCTGCCCATTACACTTGGGCTTTGCCAAAATAAGAGAACTGGGCTTCTCATTCAGGACTGAAATTGATAGCTAGTTGCGGGTCCCAATTAACGGCCCTTTTAATTTTCTGAAAGCTGTTAGTTAGCCCATTAAACAACAAAGGCCCAGAACGTGCAACAAGCCCATCAGTGGCTAATGCATGAGTGACTCCATTAATGCCACGATCTTTGCCACGTGTCTGGTGATTTTTAAAACTGGCAAACCGAGACGGTGGGCGCTGATCAAGGACATAATTAACACGGCTCCTGGATCTGCTTTTTCTACACGCTTCAGGCGCGTGGGCATGCAATCGACTGTATCCTTTGAGGCCCTGACGGAACTGTAAATTCCGGCGACCCCCTTTGATAATCGTTGCAACCTGTGGGAAATAGGAACTCTCCCCACCTTCATAGTGAGACTTCGGGAGGATACGAGGTGTGACTTCCTCAATCAAATTGACCTTAAAGGCCACTCTTTGATCCTCAACAAAGACGTACTCCGGCATCTTTTTTCCAGCGGAGATGTAAAGAAGGATTCTCTCTCCACTCGTCGAAACGTCCGCCTCAACACCTCTAAATCCACCACACAGATTTCCAATGGCGACAAATAACTTATGGCACCACAAGTGAAGGGGCAAGCCGAATAACAGCACCCTTCGTATACTGCGATCTTTCACTGCAGAACATCCAACCGCGAAATACCATATGTCGATGGATAACAATGCTTCACCCCATCTCTTCCTTCCTTCATCCAAAACCCTTAAAGCCTCTTACTCCGACGGAAACCTGAACAGAAAAAGATCATCGGGAAGGGAAGAAACTTTTACGCCGCTTGAAACTTTCCAAGCTTTCATAGCCCACGCCTCAATCCCTTCAATACACCCCACATCTTTGTCAAAACGACCTACTAGACATGACCGCAGAGCAAATTCACGTTCCTTGATGCTTTGATGATCAACCCTAAAGACCGAGTCACCGCCTATGGAACAGCTTTTGATCTCACCATGGAAGTTGAGACGAGGTAAGGTTGCTACATTGAGATAGGACCGAAGCATGACAAAGTTCTTTGCCGAGAAGCCAAAAATCGAGAGCAAAGACCATAAATGTAAACGGCAGACGCCGGAGTGAAAGACTCCGACATCAAAAAAAGAAGAGAGAAAAGAGAGAAAAGTCAAACATGGTCACTTTTTTCACATTTCTATAACGTCTATTTATTAAGACATAATCTTCTTGATGTCTAGATACATAGAGAATAAGATTACGTCTATTTATTAAGACATAATCTTATTCTCTATGTATCTAGACATCAAGACGGCCAGCAAAAAAGGTCATTTAAAATGCCATACAATCAACCATTATTACATGGAAATTTCCATGCTGTCACTTTTTACATCACTTAGTACTATAATTGAAATTCTTTAATAACCTGCCAATAATAGAATATATATTTATTTATATTACAATATTGTCAACAAACTAACTTCTGAGAAAAATATTGTCAATAAACTCTTCTTATATCTTAAGCAAATCTGATAGGTATATTTTAAGTGTTTATTTTGTCAACATGCCCCTCACATGTTTGAACCAAACATGTACATCCACTGCTGTATTAAATTATTAGGAAGGCAATGAGATTTGAGCTAAGAACATGCTTACACTAGCACCAAGTTAACACATCTTTCTAAAACCTGAGAATGCCGCAGCACTAGTGAACACAGATATTACACCACAAGTTAAATAAGGGAAGTCAATTAGAACATGCTGAGCAGTGTCAGTGTCAGCTCAGGCTAAATCCAAAAGTTACCCCTTGCTCCAAGCTTGCCGGCTCATTTTCTTCGTGGACAACCTAGCTGCTCCTATTCTTTTTGAACTACAGTTTGCTTTATTTAATAAGTTCTCTCTTTGCAACACTTCAACTCCAACGTTAACTGTTACATCCGGGGGAAAAAAAAAAAATAGAAGTTTTTCATAGACACGGGTGTTCATATTTTTCCCCCCTTTATCAAAGGCATTCATAAGTTAGACCATCCCAGTGATCTGCTCCGGACAAAATGCATACATATATATATATACAGGACAAAAAAGTAGGAAGCAAACAGAAGTTGCACCAAAAACTTTTGAAATGAACACAGAAATTCATTGCTTACTAAACCTAAAGCCTTGGCGATTAGAGAATGGTATAATTCATATATTTATTTAAACATGATATAGACCGTTTACAAGTATCACATAAAAATCCACTAATAGACAGGTCAAACAATTTTAAACAGTAGCTGAAACATCTAGTGGAAGCAAGGAATTCAATTGTGCCAATAAGCAATAAAAAATTGCCTATGATTGATATTTTCCTATTTAAACTTGGGAACATCGATGAATTATCAATTGTGTAAGTATAAGGTCAAACCAAGCTTTAAGTGAACCTGAATACATAACAACAGTGTACTTTTTAAAGATATAGCGGAAAATGAAAAAAAATTATTGACGTACCAAAGATGTAAAAGAGAATTATTGCAAAAGATGAAGGAAATAAAAAGCTGATGAAGTCCCATATGTATGTAGAAGCCCAGTACGACAATATCGATACCTGAGTAGTAACATTTATAAAATCTTACTGATATGAAGATTGGTGAGACAAATTAATAATCCAATTTTTTGAAACAAGAAGCATACCCCACTAATAAGCTGCTGGTGCTTTGCTTTTACTTCTCGTTCCTGCATCAAACATATTATATAATAACATCCTTTAATTTACTTTAAATTATGTAATTATTTACTATCATAGCAACATAGAAAGTGGAAAAATATGTATTCAATTAAAAGTATCAGGAACTGGTACTTGAACACAAACTGTACGGAAAGTGCCATCAATTTATTTAGGTAAATGCTAATAATCAAACTATAAATAGAATTATACAGAAAATTAAAAAATGATGTGTTTTTTCATCAGTTCTGAATAACAGTGATCACAAAGAGGATGACACCTAAGAGGTGGGAAAGTTGTGTTATCAAAGACAAAAATTTATCAATAGGCTAGAAATTAGAGTGGGTAAATTTGGAAACAAATTAGTGCATTTTGATTTCGTAATGTATGAATTATGCGAAGAAATATGATAGCATTGCTTAACCATAGAAGATGTACTTTTTCTACAAGCTGAAAACCGAGACATTTGGACCCTCCAATCAAGGAGCCTTTTATCAGTCTCGGTAAAAATTGAACTATGGTGTTGGGCCCCTCCGTTAGAGGTCAATAAGCAGATCTAGAAGTATTTCATCAGATTTTTATTTAACGATGAACTTTACATATACCAAAACAAAAACAAACAACTTATAAAGTTACAGCAGGTAGTAAGGACTTTTCAGGCTATTGGAATTGCTCATGCTTTGAACTACCATATTGCAGTTCTTTTAACCCTAGTGCAGCTTCCCCCTTTTCTCCCTTAAGTTCCTTTGCATTGAATGCATCAATCAAAGTGTTTGTTTTTTATGGTTATTGAAATTGATGTAGAATGAGCAAGAAGAACAGAGAATGAGGAAGAAATCACTGTAATCAATCTCATTAGTATTCAATAACCATCAAAATGTCTCTTCTCAATGTATCAACCCCACATATATATAAGCATAAGAATAGAATCCTAATAAAACTCTAATACCATATATAAAATTCTAAATAAATAAGGAAAGTAAAATGTAAAAAATAAATAAATCCTAAATCATCCTCTAAGTCTAGCCTATAATAAGTGCGTATACTGCGCGGCTCATCAGGATCTTCATCAACCCTAGAAGGGAAAAATCACGGGACCTAGTCCAGTCAGGCACAATCCACCATCAAGAAAGAAATTACAACTAGGTTAACATTTCACTCACCCCCCTAGTTACCTCTAGACACAGATGACACCAAACTTTTCCCCAAAAGTTTCCAATCTGTCAATCCGCTCCTCACAAATTTGCTTCTCTAGTTATTGCTCACCCATATCTGCTCTGATGTTGTTCGGTTGAATAGGATTAGACTGATGATCTCCTTATGAGTATTCAGTCATGCTGGGGATGGTCTATGGATACCCTAGATTGAATAAACAGATTTTTCTCTCTCTGAAGATGATTAGAGATAATTTCATGTCCCCCAGACTGGCCATAACTTCATATCTATAGCCAATATTGGAGTCTCATACGTTTTAGGTAGTTGTAATCTTCTGAAATTATATTTTGAGAGGGTTTTAAAAAACGTAAGCCTGACAGGATTGAGCCTTCGATTTACTGAACAAACACTTTGATCGATGCATTGAGAAGAGACCTTTTGATGGTTATTGAATACTAATGAGATTGATTACAGTGGTTTCTTCCTCCTTATTCTCTGTTCTTCTAGCTCATTCTACATCAATTTTGATATCGAAGCAGCCTTGACTCTCATTCTACATCAATTTTGTCCTGCATCAAGGGTTTTCCATGTAAAACTCCTGTCTCTCTCTCTACTCTTCTCTACTGTACTTTATTTACTGTTTATGCTTATTTATGACTTGTTTGGTTGAAATTGGAAGTTAATTACAATTGGAAAATCAATCTTCACATATAACTAACTGTAATTTAAGTTGAAGTAACAGACTTTTCAAAAGTTAGTTGAAAGCAAGAAAAAGTTATTCACAAGACACTATTCAACCCTCCCTTCCCTTTCGAGGTCAAATTCACGGCTCGCACTCTGACTCATTAGAGCCTTGGGTAACTGTCTAGCGCACTTTCAATTTTTATTGCTAATCACCAAATAATTTAGGAGCTACAATGACTTTATGGTAATAAGCCCAACACTTTATGAATCTGGAATAATGGTAATAAGTTTCTGATTTGTTTTAGTTGTCAATGGCCACCTTTATTTATGAGTTACAAAAACTTCTATTTGCTTCAGATAACAATCATAATTTGAATCACTAAGATTGTTTCAATAGATAATGCATGTTGAAATATCAAAAGATTGAATATAATATTAAAGATAATAAAAGTTATGATAGTGACATTCTAAAATTCAATACTTGACATACTGGATAAACCATAACTTTCTGGAATTTGGATGTATTAGTTTAGTTGGTGATTGTATAATTTAACAAGTTACTAAAATTTCAAATTGTTATTCTTTGGAACCTGGGAACCTCTCATGGTTACTCTAGGCAATCTAGTAGTATCTCGGAATAACGGAATTAAATGCAATTTACTCTATGAAGAATTTTTTTTAACACCATACATATCTTTGGAAGGACGAAAACTACCTTTACAATAGCAACTGCAAATGAGGCAGGGATGAAGGAGAAGGCAATATTAACAACAACGGCAGCAGAGAATGCATCCAAATCCTACATGGTTGCAAAATAATCCAAGTTGAACATGCATGAAGCCATTAATATCATCATAGACCATAATGAAACACAAAAAAGCATAATTACATAATGATATGAATAGTTGCAATTAATTAATTCTATTATTGGTAAGTTATATTGCACAAAATTTCATGCAGGTAGTGTTAATAACAACCGAAATGTTGAATTTATTTTTCAAATACAGGTTTGGGATGTCCGATTCCGGCACTTGTTTCAGGACTAGGAGATCGAGGAGGCCATTCGCTTTTTGGATTTGTTGTATCGCCAGAGGATTGTGGTTGGGGATTTTGATAGTTGGACCTGGGCCGCCAATTCTCAGGGGCGTTTCGAGATTAGGTCCTTTTTCAGATGTCTCACTGATGAACCTAAAGTTCGCTTCCCGTGGAAAGCTGTTTGGTGTTCTAAGGCTCCTCTCAAGGTGGGCTTCTTTGCTTGGACCTCTGTTCTGGGAAGGATCTTAACCCAAGATAACTTGAGAAGGAGGAATCAGGTGGTGGTCAATCATTGCTATATGTGCCTCCGGGATGAGGAAACTATGGATCACCTTCTTCTCCGTTGCACCTCGGCCAGAGTCTGCTGGGATTTGATGTTTGGCTTGTTTGGGTTTCTTTGGGTTATGCCTGGTTCCGTTAGAGGGTTGATTGAGGCTTTGAGAGGGTGCCATGTGGGGGCTCACATTCAGGATGCTTGGAGGGCTACGCCTCTTTGTGTGTGGTGGTTTATTTGGCTTAAGAGAAATAGGAGATATTTTGAGGGGAAGGAGATGTCGATTTCTACTCTCAAATTCTCTCCACTCTTTTTTGTTGGGTTTTAGGGAGAGATCATAGATCTTTAGATGAAATTGTCGATTTTTTGGCCTCTTTGAAGGCTTAGAGTTCCTTTGTGGCTTTGTATTTCTCTTTTGGGATTCGCTCCCCTTTTGAGCGCTTTTATAAAATTTTAATTATCAAAAAAAAAAAAAAAAAAAAAAAAAAAAAAAAAAGATTAATAAAACACAATTGAGAACGATCCATTTTAGCATTTTTAGCTGCATAGGACAAACCAACAAGTATTCTTGTCAACACAATCTTGGACTCTGGAACCGAGGTCTGTGCACTTTCAACATTATTAACTTATTCATGAGTATATCATGACGTAAAAACAATAAGATTTTGTAAACAACTAAAACTATAGAACCTTTTCTTTAGAAGCTAGAAAAATAGGAACACCACATTACTTATATATATTCTTTTTGTAAGTGTGTGGTGTGTGTGTGTGTGTGTGTGGGGGGGGGGGGGTGGTGTGGTGTTTGGGTTTGGAAGAGGAAGACAGAAACCTTTAATCAGAAACTATGTAGCATGGAAGCAGGAAGTGAACCTTAAATGAAATCTATGCTCTTTCAACATTATTCTGAGAATGTCATGACATAAAACAATAATATTTTGTAAATATCCGAGATCTCTTCCTTTCTTCATTTTTCATCCAATTTACAAATCTGATAATAGCAAAATTTATGATACAACCATATTAAAATCTCCATGTTTTCATATTTTGCAATGATAAATATGCTTTAGATCTTATCAAGTAGAGATTTTAGATGGATAAAAGAATCCGGCTCATACGCAATGAAAAGATTCAAGGCCATATGCATCACTATATAAAGAAGGCAAGTAAATGATTAGCTGCTTAATTGTAAAGCACTAAAAGTGTTGAAACATGAGTATGCTTCTACAGAATCCGCATCTCAATTGATAATGGAAAGCTAAAATAAATGAAGACAAAATGAGTAAGAATTGTCAGTAGCTTGGGATCCAACAGAAATTTTGCTTTAAGAGGGGGCAAAAGTTTCATAATGCCATCGAAAAGAAATATTTAAGTGTAGACAAACAGAGAAGCAAACCTGTCGTTGCAAACGCTGGCTTTTTGTCATGGGCAAAGGGTGATTACGTGTTTGAATTGTCATATTTTCATTTAGAGTAGCAAGCTTAAGAATTGCTGCATTCATTAAATTTATATAGGTTGGAGCAGCATGCTGACAAGAACTGTTGTGTAAAACAGTGTACCCTAAGCTCCCATCATCATTTTGGTCATCCATTACAACTGCTCCATACCTGCATATGCACAAGCATAAAGTTGAACAAAGTGGAAAGATGATGTTACAAGCTTATCATAATCAATTAAAGTTTGCAAGATATTCACAAGCTAAATTGCTAAAAAAGGCCATAATCTCAAGACCCGTGGCAAAAAGGATTGCAGAACATACTTTAACTGGATTAGGGTTCCTAGATATTATAACAAGTACTTTCCCGCGATTATCATAACTAGAGTTCCTAATTCTCTAAGTATATAAATCTAGGGTATCCAATGCTCTATATCTAGGGTAACTAACTATACATAATATATGTATATAAATCTCTCTATATAGATATATTTATCTTTAACTTAATCAGTTTCTCTCTCTCTCTCTCTCATGATTTTGTATGCCTAGACTTGTTAACGGGGTGGCATGGGGATGCAATTGGGAATATAAACATGTTTCAGTGTCGGGACGAGGATGGGGATGGGACAAAGTTATTAATAAATGGGGTCGGGTAGGGTTTAGGTAAACCCTTCCCAAACCCGCCCTGTTGCCATTCTTAGACTGCCTATTTAGCATTTAGTACATATCGCTTCAAAGAAATGAACCATTCAAGACCATGTAATTGTCGAAAAGCCGTTGCCACGTCATTTTTTAATAACTATGGAGATCGTGCATAAAATTTTGTTTCTTTAAAATTTTACTTGGTAAACATTGACAAAGGGATGAAAACTGCAAGCATTGATCAATGGCTTTGGAAAAACAGTGGATAGGTTAGATGATGTTTGTAGTATGAAATAAAACAATTTCCCATAGAGAAGGTACAACACAAAGCTAATAAATCATAAAAGGAAGAGAAGCAGGGTACCAAACTCCAAGAATTGGTACTGAATCATCAGATTGGATTACCTATCCATGAAAGTTATGTGATAGCCATGTTACAATATATGTGATAACACAGTTAGTGGTACCACATTTTGAATAATTTGGCACTTAATGCATCCATGTCCCTAGTTTGATTGTCTATAACGGGGCCTTTCTCAACATCCATGTGCTTGGTCATCGCGGTGGTATAAACTCTGCCATCATCAAAAGAACAGCACAAGGAAATAACCTAATAGATTTCCAGCCACTCAGATCAACTAGCACAGTAGAATAGGGGAAACTAATTAAATCTCGCTCAATGGGACTTGAACGATGAGGATCTTCTAAAGATTCCGTGGACAACATCTCACACAAGCAACAAATCCATTCTTTATAATGAAACTACTTCAAAATAAGAAATGGAGTGATTTCAAATAATGTACAAGGCACAAATGAATGAGCGTCGACCTTTAAAGACAATTTTCCACGTGCGTGAAATGAAGGACAGAGAAATTTAGGACAACCAACCTTGATTGGTAGGACTCGTTAAAGCTAGACATTAAATATTCGCTCATGGAGAGTAGAAGTGGACCCAAAGTTGGCCCTGCCGCCTCAACAGCATCAGCTAATGCCTTTTTTGAATCAGGAAATTTATATGTGCTTTTTCTAAACCTTTGAATCCAACCCCCTTCCACATACCGTGCAACCTGTAGTATTAAGAGCACTTTTCAGGGGTGAGAAATTATTGCATATGCACATTATCAAAATAAATTCCAATAATCTAATACCCATTAAATTTAAAGACAATAATATGAAGAAAAGAAGGGAAAAAGAGTGAAAAGACAATCATAATTCAAAAACCTCTTTTGAGATAGGCGAGGACAGATCAAAAGGAATTGGACCACCACCACCACCACCACGTAATAGGGGATTAAAATGAGAAGTAGTGAAGGTCACTGACTGCTGATCAGGATGCGGTTTAAGCTTGAGAAATAGAAGACCAAAAAGCAAGAATACAGCAGGAATTAACAGCTGGAAAACAATTGTTTTCCGGTCTCTCCGAGCAGATATTGCCCTTTTTATGAATAATGCTTTGGAATGTGTCCAGAATGCTGACCTTAAACATATACAAGAGCAACAGCACAGCATACTTAAAAAGTTCATGAAATTCAGGACAATGGCAAAGAACAAACTCCAAGCTCTCTCCATTATGGCAAATATAACCCCAATGACCTTCTTATAATTCCCACATAGTTTTGAAAGGAGCATTTTATTTGGAGCATAATTATGACAGGCCTGAGAATCCAAAGAATCAGGTACTGCTAGAGTCTTACTGTCCTGAAGATACTCAGCTTCATTTAAATCACATCCTGCGACTCTGAGGAATACCTCTTCCAGAGTCGTAACAGATATACCATAACTCTCAATGCCAAGATGGTGTTTGGGCTCATCAGCTGCAGTTTCTGCAATTTGACCTGACCTTCTCATGCAGCCTTCAATTTCCCTGAACATGCTCTCGAAGGAAGATGAAGATGCAAGAGGAAGCTTAAAGGATATCTCAGTTCCGACCTGTGGAAAGGATTCACCCCAAGAAGTTAATATTATTTGACAAGTATGTTCACCACAAAAAATCAGTAGAGTGCAATGCATATCAGCATTAGAAATATCCGGGGACACAACATTTTAGTAGTAAGGATATCTTTGCTAACAACTGGGTGCTCTAAAAAACTTAGGATTCTAAAATAGATGGTTTTTAAAATGGTATCTGAGCAAGGTCTTGTGCTTCAATCACTTTGCCTCCACTATAACATTTAAGTTGTTCTTGTAAATGCCTGATCTGATGACATGCCAGAAGTGAGGAGACTCCCCAATGCGTGGCCACACTACCCATAGTGATGGCAACATGCGGATGCATTAATTTATAAGAGGCATATTATAATTCCAACATAAAACTTTCATCTACTGATACAATGTTAACATCTGACTTCTTAATTAGCTGGTTGTTAACAATCTTTTAGGAGAAATATCATACAACCATGCATTAACATATAAGACAAATAACATAACACATAAAAGAAGAAATTTCTACTTCATTAATGTAATACATCAGGACATAAGGTCAGAAGAGTACCTCGCTCACACATGTTGCTGACGGAATATGACGGTAAACAATATCAGCAGCAACAGATGCACTAGGAGCAGTCTGAACAGCAAAGATACGAGTAAAGCCATGAGAAAGCATGTATCTTTTAAAATCAGGAAAAGTAGGCCAACCAAAAAGACAAATGGGAAAATGAATTGGAACTGAACCACACCTTCACCAAGGTAAGAGTGTAACCAACCCCATACTGGTGCTTTAAGAAAAGGGAACTGTTGTAAAATAAACACTCCAATTAAAAATAATAATAACAAAAATATTGTAAAAAGTACAAGTAACAACACAAGAAAATAGAGAGATCAAATTTTATCATAGTGTGATTTGATTCCCAAAAGAGGGGGGAAAACAACCAAGAAAAAAAAAAAAAAAAAAAAAAAAAAAAAAAAAAAATCTTCTTTTTAATGAAATTTGATTCTCAAAAAGCATGTGTGGGGAAAGTTCCATATAGTATAAGGTTCACTGGCTTATACATCTTCTTTTCCAAAACTCTCGTCTACTAGAGGATTTGGAAGCACATTGTTACATCTCGATATAAGGGTATAGAAGACTACCGGCCATGTCTCTGAGCCTACCACAAACGCTTATATATATATATATATTGATAAGTACAACTGCTTATATTTTTTGGTTACAATATCTTGCTAATTTAAAAGTTACAATTTGCAAACCAGCCCCCTCTTGAGTTATGGTATTACCATTCAAATTGCTAGTAAACCAAGAATTCACAAGGAAGCCAAGCATATAAAGATGACAGTTACTTATGAAAAAGAAAAGAAAAAGATGGACAGTTATTTTGGACATCATCCATAATGTGTTTGGAGACCTGTACTATCAAATATTTCATCATTTCTTCCACTTACTGATGTTTTCACTAATCAACACATGCTTCATAGATCTTCCATTTACTGATGTTTTCACTAATCAACACATGCTTCATAGATTTTCTCCTAAAACAATTAATTACCAAATTATATTCTACAGTGAGTTTGAGGGCACGTAACCTATAGCAGATATATTCGTATACCATAATCATTATTGGGGGTGTTAGCTATAGTAGATATTTTTGTATACCATAATTGCGGTAATTGGTATTTTCAAACGTGCCCTTTTCTCACATTCTTTGCATGAACAAAGTCTTTGCTATAGTAGGTAAACTAAAATAACAAGTTATCTTTCCAAGGTAAGCTTCAATTACAACAATAAGCATATTCTTTAAAGGCCAATACCCTATGCGGTTCCCACTAATCAAGGGTGCAAGGAGGGTGGACTGGGTACAAACCCAACCTTCAACATTATATGTAATACCCCGATATTTTTAAGGATTTATTAATTGGGATTAATTACTTTTATTTTATTTTTTAATGATTTGTTTTATTTAATTGAGTGCTTAGATTAATTGTCTTATTCTAATTAGATTTCTTCAGCGAGTTATTTATTCTTTTAAATTCTTTTTGTAATCTATGCTTGTTTAAAATACTTTAATTGTTTTGATATTCCCTGGTTTTGTGCGCGGATTTGATCAAACCATGTTCCGAAATTGGAGGGTATCACAGTTGGTATCAGAGCAATATATACATAGATTCACATGTTTAAATCTATAATTTTGTAAAGAATAAACATGCTCATATAATCCATTTAATAAATTAATTTAAACAAAAGTAAAATAAAACTATAATTTCGATAATCAAGGTGATAGGCTTATGAGTTCTAAGAGGAGAAGTAGAGAAGAACTCGCCCGTCTCTTCCAAATCTGACGTCCTATTTCTCTGATCCGGCCTCCTGTCAACCTTTCTTCTTCTTCTTCTCTCTCTGTCTCTCTTATTTTTTTAACGTGAAAACCTTTAAACCCTAAAGTCTTATGCGTATATTTATGCACATTAAAAATCCAAATCCTTTTCCAATTAGGTATAGATGATTATTTAATTAATGATTATTTATGGAAGGAATATATATATATACTATATAATAGATATGTGTATATATATTTATTATTTAAAGATTATTATTTTTATTATTTTATTTAGTATTCCTAATCAAAGTTTTCATTTCATTGGGGGGTATCACATTATATGTAGGAAGTCGCTGACACATACTTGAACTCATGTTCTCACGCTTGACATCATAAACTTTTAACACCACACCAAGCAATCAAACAATGACCCTAATAATATTTCCAAGAGCAACAGAGTTCTTCACTAAAAAATTTCTATCAGTTCCAACAAATTTTCCCTTTTTAGTTGAAACTCGGCTGATGTCTGCTCAGTGCTGGAAGGTCAAGATAGTTGGTGAACTAATAATAGATTATTGAATCGCGTAGTGTATTGTTTACTAAAATGTACGCTATATCTAAACAATATGATTGTTTGAGTAGATGGTCGATAAGCAACCTCGCTCACCAACTATTATGAGTTACCAAGGAAAAGTAGTTTCTGCTCCTATTTTAAAGAAAAAAAAACAGACTACAATAATAATTATATTGAAAAACTATGGTAGAAAACATTAAATACAAGCTCAAATATTTCATGTCCTTGTATGCAAAGCTCACTTGTTACCCAACAACCATTACACAAAAAGAAGAGAGGAACATACTCAAGTGATGAACAGGATTTCAGCTATATTAACTTCCCTTGCTTCAACGTAGTTGACGAGTGGCTTGATATTAGCAGTTATCTCAATCCATTGCATGAATAAAGAGTTTATTAACACTTCTGTCACCACACCAGACCTTCATTTTTTTGTCTATTCATGGCTACTTGGGTTCTGTTTATCACCCATTTTTTACCTCACCACACATCCGCATGTGGGCCAATAAGAAGATATGTCCACTATCTTTTTGACCATTGTTGTTTGATCTAATCAAAGAAAGAATGGCACAACATTCTGAAGGGTGTAAACTCTTCTAGAAATTTCCAGATAAATATGGGATCTTCCAAATATCAACCGCTGGTCATGTTTTGAAAGAAAATAAGAATCCAATCCTCAATGGGAGATGTTGTTTCTAACTTGTTCATTCATACTTTCTAAATCATTCATTTCATATCACAACGTGGACAGTCTCTCAAATAGAATTACCGTAACCCATTAGGAAAAACAAGAATTAGAAGAAACAGGTATCAAAGATATAGATAAGATGAGCTTTTTATGCTATGGCAAATGTCGGAGAGAGACAATTGAGAACCTAAAACAAGCGTCACATGTCAGAGAGCATGAATTTGAAAGGCACCATAATTTGATTCTCAAAAGCGAGTGGATCCCACAAAACTATATCAAAGCATCTACGCACCAAAATGAATGAATGTACAAGTAATAATGTAATATTCATCACAGAGAGCAACATATCATTAGATGCTAAAAAGTAAAATATTTACATAATATACACATAAATATTAATATATATATATATATATATATATATATATATATATATATATATATTTGGATCAGGTAAGTACTAACAAATACACTGCCCACGCCGGAGCTCGAACCCCTCCCCTCCTCTTTTTGAGGGTACAGAGGTTATACCATTGGGCTAATGGCCCATTGTATACACAATAATATTACTCTTGTAAGGGACAGGCACATACTTGGTTCTCATTGGGTGTAATAAGATGCATAGTGAGCTCTAGCCGCACGAGTGTTTGGATAGTTGGCCAAAATTCCGGATACCAGATCAACAACCTAAAAAAAAAAAAAGAGATGTTGCGGTCCGAATATAAGGTGCCAGGTCGCAACAGAATTTGGTGTCGGGACGCGTTGCGACCCGCTTATATATATATATATATATATATTTGGATCAGGTAAGTACTAACAAATACACTGCCCACGCCGGAGCTCGAACCCCTCCCCTCCTCTTTTTGAGGGTACAGAGGTTATACCATTGGGCTAATGGCCCATTGTATACACAATAATATTACTCTTGTAAGGGACAGGCACATACTTGGTTCTCATTGGGTGTAATAAGATGCATAGTGAGCTCTAGCCGCACGAGTGTTTGGATAGTTGGCCAAAATTCCGGATACCAGATCAACAACCTAAAAAAAAAAAAAGAGATGTTGCGGTCCGAATATAAGGTGCCAGGTCGCAACAGAATTTGGTGTCGGGACGCGTTGCGACCCGCTTACGACCCGTTGGATGAGCTTTGTGTGGGTTGTGGACCCTAGTTAGTACTCTTGTAGCCCGATATATAAGGGCACTTAGGGTTTGGAGTGTATAATTAAGAGACACTGAAAATCGTATAGAGAGAGAGTGAGAGGCTGAAACTTGTAATCTCCAATTTTAGACATAGTGAAGACTTTCGCCGGATCTCCACCATGGATGTAGGCTTTGCCGAACCATGTATAAATCTTTGTGTTCTTTGTGTGGTGTGTTTATTTTTCATTCGTGTTTTCGTAATTGTTGCTTGGTTCGCTGCGTTTGTCGTAACAACACACACAAATCGTAATACGCATAGAAAACCCTAGAAAAAAAGGCATAAAATTTTCAGTTTTTTCAAGGAATAAGGCATATTGAGCCTGAATAGAAAAAACAAACCTTCCACAGCATTTCAAGTAACCATTAGCCATGATAGCGATCCGATCTCCTAACACTTCAGCCTCATCCATTGAGTGTGTTGTTAATAAAATTATCCTGCCCTTCTTAATTTTTTTGATCAACTGCCATGTCAACCGCATGGAATATGGATCCATTCCACTGGTAGGTTCATCAAGAACTATAACCTGTTAAAGAGAAATGGGGAAAAGTTTTAACAAATTCCAACAAGAGAAATAACATTACTGAGTCCTGAAATTTGACTCCACCTTGCTGTTTCCAATTAGTGCAATTCCAAGGGACAACTTCCTTCTCATGCCTCCCGAAAGTGCCCTCACAGCAGTGTTAACTTTATCTGCCAAACCCACCTGACAAAAATAAGAAAATACATGAGAGAAAGAGAATAAATATTGCACTAAAGATGTGGAGAACGTGAGGAAATATCTGTCAAATGTTTAACTGCACGCTGATCACAAGGTTGGGAAGGGATATATGAAAAGATGCTTCTACTGCATGTGAACAACTGATATTATTAAGGAACACAGAGACCATGGGGCCTAGAAATAACTCTATAAACTACGAGTCTATAAAGATCCCTTGCAAGTTACAAGATAAGCCGGACTCCCTTTCTTGCTAGTTCATAAACACAACCTAACAAGAAGAGAAAATGAAACCTTAGGGCTTTCGTAATACTGGAAGTAAAGGGCTAGCAAAGGTCACAAGACTCCCACAATTGGGGGTCTGGGGAGGGTCAAATGTACACTGCCTCACCTCTGCAAGCGGAAAGACTGTTTCGTTGTTTTGAACCCGTGACCTCCTCCTGGTCTATCAAGCAACATTACCATTGAGCTAATGCCCGCCCTTCGTAATAATGGATGTAAAGAACAAAATTGTACGGTCTTAAATAGAGATTGACAGATAATGGTCTGCCATGAAATTCGAAATCTGGTTTTTATACTAAAACGGACAAGTTCCAACATAAAATAGACCCAAATATAGGTCAGAATTGCAAAAGATGCAGTCTTCTTTTCTTCAAGAGAGGAAAAGTTGGCTAATCTGAGGGACTTAGGCTCATTTTGGAATTTAGCAAAGGCATGTCTAGGACGAAGAACTATGCCAAATGTTATGTCTGTATCCAGTCCACAATCCCAGCATCTTGCATTAGCAAGACCAGCATTGGCTTTTTGACTTGAAGCAGGAATAAGTGTTCTTGAAGACAACCCAAGGTGAGGTCAAGCTGTGCACCTTAGTGGTTGTGGCTACTGCTGCGGCAGTGGCTATTTCATTTTTATTTACTTTTTTTTTATAAGTAAAGGTTTCATGGAAGAGCGCTCAAAAGGGGACCGCATCACGACCCGACCCAACCCATGTAGATATTGTCCGCTTTGCACACTCTCCTCTCAATGCACACGGTTTTCCTCAAAATGCGTCTACACAGTTAAGAGGTGACTACACATATTTGTCCTGTGTTGTTGGTATAGCCTGAGCTCATTAGTTTTTTGTTCTTTGAACTAACTTGTAATGCTTCTTACCTAGCCTGGGGTTTGCCCCCTTTTTTTGCATATTTTTTGGGTTTTTAACGCTAATCTAATTGACCAGAAAGGGAAAAATAAAAAGATTTGAGAACTCCTAGCTTTTTAGGAAACAGTGATTTTAAGTGCAGTTGAGCATCCAGATAGATAGAAAAAATTATATATAGGAGCTCTCTTAACTCTTATTCAAGCTTGCCAAACCAATACACTCCCACATTTTATATCAATTCGAGTAGAATGGAGGTCATTTGGTCTAGAACTGGGGAGTCCAACAAATTTCTCATTAGGCCAGGTAAAAGATGGTACCAACACCCCATGGACAACACCTTGAGAAATTAGATATAATAGGAGATGTGGCTTAAAATAGAAAAGTATGGAAAGTGACAATTCATGTCGTTGACCCCAGTCAAATTGGGTGGACCACATGAGGAAACACTAATCATACCGCTCCTTATGCAAAAATCACTTCAAAAAAACTCATATGCTAAGTAACAAGCAAAGCTAGCGTGTACAACACATCCAATGTCAAAGATGGCTATAAATTTTCGTGTATTTTTGTAACTATATAAGAAGTTACATCAGAAAATGTGATAACATCTGCATTCAAAATTCTCAGTACGAAAAGAACTCACTTCGTCAATCATTTTGGTCACAGCAATTTCCAGAGATTCTTCTTGCACACCCTTCAGATTAGCAAATATTACCAAATGCTCCTTCACCTGAATATGTAATTAACCAAGTCAATTTATGCCACAATATGTGGGCACAACATGGTAACAAGAAGTTGTAAGCTTCTGACTATTTAGCATCCCAAGATTCGGAAAGGGAACATACGGTAGAAACATAGAAACATGTTTGGAGATTGTAAACTGGAAGTATAAATAAAAGATACGAGAGAGAAGGGAGAAAGATAAAGAATGAAAAGAAGAGTTCCTGTTATGGATCCCATTAAACCATTTATAATAATAATATACAAATCTACCACTAAGTCATAACATAGAGTCGTGATTTCCCAAAAAAAATAGCATTGAGATTTGTAATAAGAGTAATACCGCTGTTTTAACATAGATATAATCAACTGATATTGATTGCTAGGAGATTAACATTGTATCCTACTTCCTAATTAATCTACAATCCATCACTGAAAATCATAAGCTTGTCTCGCAGTGTATTGTTTATATGGTGTAGGATAATTCATACTTCCGCATATATAAAAATTCGAAATCACCACATAAAAAGGAAGTGGGTAATAATTGAATCATTTCAAACATAACTTGATATCATCATTGATGATTTCTCCACATAAGGCTAATGTCAATAAAAAAGAAAAGGGCAACAAAAAGGAGGAAAAATGAACTGCCAATACGGGAAAGACAAAAAGTAAACAAAGAACATATTCTCTCAAAGCCACTATTAACCAATTCCAGATCCATCCCTCAATCATCATGTTGCAATTCAATGCATAATATCCTCTGCAGTATATTCATTTCCCTCACTATAACAATCAAGTTATGATAATGAAAATACTCAGCCCTTTTGGTATTCCAAGGGCATCCATCTCCATTGCGGGTATCCCTACTTTTACCAAAACTACATTCCATATATTGAACCATCTTAATTTATAATTAATCTCCAGAAGTTGATTTTAAAATAAACCTCTTACTTTATTTTCATCAATTAAATCATAATTTTTTAATAATATACACCACAGAACCTAATCATAAATGGATTGAGTCAATTAATTCAAAATTGGTACAAAAAGATAGAAGACTTTAGGATTTCACTTGTTTCTGTTATTAGAACCACAGATACATTATAGATATATTATTTCCAGTAAATACATATTAGTATTATTATTATTTTCCCTGGGTCAAATACATATTATTGATCTCTCATGTGAAGATCTGAACTAATTTTCTGACACTACCAGTTCAAGTTTATATCAAAAAAAAGTTTTTAGTTATTGTCCATGGCATGACTATAACAATGAGTCTTAGGTCTAAAAGCACCTCCCATGATGCGTCTTGGGCACCTTTTTCTTTTATCAACGGTGATGCAGAAGTAGGTGTTAGTTATGTCCGGAGTAGTCTTTGGGTTTATGGAATTATAGCCACAAAATGAGTGCAATTCAAATAAATCGTCATAATTTTACAAACAAAGATAATCTTCATATTCCAACGTAAGAAGGAAGCATCTGCCGCGATGACTATTAAGGCCATTTTTATCCACCTAGAGCTTCCTTTTCATAGTTAGGGGCTGTGCATGGTAAGGTTGCCTAACTTCAACAAGTTTCTACTTTGTAGTGCTGAGATGCGCTCTCGTATCTTTTCATGCTTAAATGATTCATCAATATTTTGGCACTTTGTATTCTTTTCCTTTGCATACAAAATTTCTGTTTTCTAATACAAAAATAATAGTAATACCAGAGTATGCTTTGCGGTACTTCTTCATCATCATCATCCTTATCTTAATCCTATATGAATGGGGACAGTCGTATGAGTTCTCTTTTTCCTTTCTTTTCTATTACAAGCCAACTATCCAGTAATATGTAACTTTTTAAAGTCAATTCTAATGATATCACCCCATATTAATTTCAATCGCCCTCTCTATCTCCTACCTTCTATGTAAATTAGCATTTCCCTTCTTACTGCTTCGTCTATAGGCTAGGAAGCACAATTACTGTCCCACAACATGGGTACAATGAGATATGGACATGACGATACAACAAATCTCAAAAAGATAGAACGCGGATACGGCAAAGATACAGCAAAAATAATAAAATAATATATACAAAAAGAATTTTTTTTGCTCTCATTTTAGTTATATTATCATAAAAGAACTAAGTAATTTGGAGCTTAGAGCTAGATGTTTGTTTTTGTTCTCTAAAACTTCATATTGTTTTTTACTGACCATAATATATTTTAAAATTGCATTAGAATCCCCATTCTACTAAGAAAATTAATAACAAAAATCCCGTGATTCCTGAAAGTGTCCTAATTTCCCCCACTTTTTGGTTTCTAACACCATCTCATCTAACCGCTCCTATCATCCATTTTAGTAATCCTCATTTCTACTACATATATTAGTTGCTTTTATTTCTTTTTTAACGCCATACACTCCACACCATATAAAATAGTTGGAATAACAATTGTCCAATAAAAATTTTCTTTTATTTATTTTTATTCGTTTGTAAAATAAAACACCAACAGTCTGCCTCCATTTTGTTTATCCTGAGCTAATTATACTAATCATATCTCCATTTATACCTCCTGATTCTAACATGTTTCTACACCTTTCTAATTTTATTGCTAAATTTTCTTCAGATGTGTCCAATAGCACTATGTCATCAGCAAACAACTTATACCATGAAATATCTCCTTATAAGTCTTTTCTGATCTCATATAGAATTTTGTCAATAAATATGGACCTCGTGCAGACCCATGCTTCAATCCCACGCTTATAGAAAAATAACTAGTCTCGCTGCATATAGTACGAACTCTAGTATTTTGTTCAAGATATAGTACACACATATCCTGAACAAAATATATAGGGGAGGCCAGTGCCCAGCGGTACCAAGCCCCTACTTCTCAAAGGGAGGTCAGGAGTTCAAGCCTCAGTGGAGGCATGGGTGTGTGAGTACCAAGTACCAACTAAGAAAAAAAAATTACATTTTTGCCACTCAAGCATTTTTCTTAGTTATAATTTTTTTTTTTTTTTTTTTTTATAAGTAATAATAAATTAAAAAAGGCGTTCAATAGGGGAACGCGTCCCATAAACATTAGATCTTAGTTATAATTTTATTAAACAACTTTGTTAATAAAGATGCATATAATTTTTGAAAGAAGAGTGCTTGAGCAATAAGCCAACGATTAAAACACACCATCTTACACATTTTCTACATCGGACGCATTGATTATACAAGGGAAAAATCCTACTTTCTTCAAGATCCCACTCATATACTGCTTAATTTGTGCTTCTGTCCAAATTTCATTCAGTAACTTCACAAAGTAACTCTTCCATCTCTCATCATCCTTCACCAAGACACTTAAATGTCACTTGTGAAACATTCAAATATAATTAAAATCTCTAGTAATTCGCTCTTAGCTTCACAAATTCACAAGTTGAACCTTATTTTTCTCCATTTCCGTCATACTCAATACAATAATCATCAGAAGCTCTCAGAAGTAGACAATTGATTCATAAGCAAAAAATTGATGCATGAGTTCAGGAAAAACAACAACAAAAAATCGAGTACGGAAAAGACCACAACCTAAAAACCTTTTATACGCACCTATTTAACATTATACAAACCAATAGTTCTAACTAAAGAGTTAACCTAACTTTAGAATAATTGATAATAAGTAAAAGCAACATTTTGAGATAAAAGAAAGTGGTAAATGATGTAATTTACACAGGACAAAGGCCCAAGATTGTGAAACCAGATGTAGAGAGAGAGAGAGAGAGAGAGAAACGGAATGAGGGAGAGTGAAAGGGAGAGATAAGGAATGAGGGAGAGTGAAAGAGAGAGATGAGGAACGAGAAAGAGAGTGGAAGAGAGAGAGAACATATTCAGTTAAATAAATTCCAGAAAAAAACCTCTGATAGTAACACCTCATTTTCTTAAAAGCAATGCATAACCAAACTTCTCCATTACAATTGAAAGTAACTCCCAGACTATTCCAGTTATTTCTTACTAAGAATTAATACTGAATATAAAACGAGACCAAAAAGAAAAAATAAAAATGAAATAACTCTTACTTACAGTTAACTCCGGAAAAAGAATATCATTCTGAGGGCACACCCCCAATCCTTTTCTTATCACATCCTGAAGAAATAACAATAATTACAAAATCGAAAGAATCCATCTAAACAAGATATCAAACATTAAAAGAAGTAAGATAGATAAACGAATTCGGCTACAATATGATGTGACCATCAGAACTTACACCAATAAGATTAGCTTATGCATTCTGCAATTGCTACAGTGAGTACAAATGAATGCCATAGAAATGGGTACAATCCATATAAACCATTTTGAAACCTCCACTCGTCAGAAGAAATAATAAGAAAGATAAGAAAGGAATTTGAATCAACCAATAAAGAGGGAAGAAAAGAAAAGCATGATCTACCCAAATGTGCCTTAACATATTGATCAAATAACGCTGGATCGATTTATAGTTGAAATGTAACAAATTTACCATGCAAGAACCAGAGCCATTGTAACATGGACCAAAAACCAGAGTACTCAACTACTCATATCAACAATGGAGAGCTTCAGGACAAATGTCCAACACAACTCCGACCTTATAGACAATCAGTACCATGCTTGCGTAGCTAATGCATCACTATGATGAGAAGTTAAAGGTCTGCATTCACATCTTTAGCTTAACAATTAATCAAGCAAGAACAACCAACTAACTTAATGTAAGAACAAGAAAGGTAAGAAACAGAAACAGAAACAAGGAAAATGCACAAAACGTGGGCTGAGAAAAGGGGTGTGGATACATCTTCTATTTCTTCAAGCGTGAAAAACAAAATGTTTTATTAAAAGTCCTATTTTGCTTATATAAGTTGTCCAATCACTATGCATTTCGTCCTTCCTTCCAGTTGCAGCATAAGAATAATGAACTCTAATACTTGGATCTTTTTTATCCTCAACCCTACAATAACTTTACTAAAACCACTTAATGGAAGACAAAACTACATGTAGCAGCACTCTGTGAAGCTTTTTGCATGCAAGCTGTTGGTTCCAACTTAGTGCAAGGAATATTTGAGTGTTTATGGTGATCCAAATGATCCATAAACTTACAGACAGGCTACGACAGAAGCTACTTTAAGAAAAAGGAAAATAAAAAGAAAGCAACTGAAGGAGATAACAGAATTTGGTTGCAAAAATTAGAATCATAAGACAATATACTAGCCACAAAAGAAAAAACTTCTGAAAAATAAAAATTACCATGTCAGTTAGAATATTCTTCCCGAAAACCAAAGCATCCCCTGAAGTAGGAGGTAGAAGCCCAACAAGCATAGAAATTGTCGTGCTTTTGCCAGCTCCATTGTGTCCTTTAAAAGAAAACATTAAAAATTGCCTCAACACTTAGATCATAAATCATAATATATTGCTTACAAGTAACAAATAGGGGGAAAAAAAAACAAAATGAACTTGCCAAAATCATGTAAAAGAAAGGAAAAAAGAAAGCAAAAGTAATGCTATTTTTTTTAATTTCAACTGTCAACTAAATTTCATTTTCTAGCTTAGTTTTCTCATACATTCTATGCTTAACAACATGCAAATAAGAGAACGGGTCAAAATTAAGATGAGAAAAAATTCTATGACAATGATGGAAGATCGTTTTCCTCTGAACTGTAATGTAAATATAATTAAAAACTCCACAACTGGTTCATTTAAGTAAATCTCTCTCAGATAAATAATTAAAAAATATATTAAGAGAAAGAACAATAGAGAATGCAAGGATACGAACAATAGAGAATGCAAGGATTTACGTGGTTCAGCTATGAAGCCCTAAATCCATGAGAGGGATCCCATATTCACTATTTTCTTTTTCTTATGTTTCTTCTAAATACAAAGAACAAAGTGATGCAGAAAACAGAGAAAATTTAACACATTATATTAGTAATTATTCAACGACAAAATAAACAATAGCCACTTGATTGTTACCAATAAATATAAAACATGGTGAAAGAAAGGCAAGTTTTTTTTGGTTGTCTTTATCACAATAAATTAGTCAATATTCAAGGACAAAATAAACAATAGGGTGAAAGAAAGGAATTTTTTTTTTTTTTTTTTGGTCATCTTTGTCTTCGTTCTTTTTTTTTTTTTTTGTTGTGCGCGTGCACGCGATGGGTTGGGGGGTTGATTTGATGAACACGCCTACCTAGAAGTGCAAATATCTGATTCTCATAGAGGGTGAGTTGTAAAGATTTGACAGCAGAACACTTCCCCTTATGAGTTGTATAAACCTTGTGCAAATCTCTAATCTGGATGCATCTGCAAATTGTATGATATACATAAGGAAATATATATATATATATATATATATATAAGCACCAATACTGAGGCACAAAAATTTTAGGACATGCACCTGCCGTCAAGCTCTTGTTGTTTCATGTCTAAGCTTATTGCTTCCACAACAGGTTCAGAAAATTCCTTTCTAAAGAAGTCGGGTTTTTCATTGGAATGCTTATGATTGATTTTGACTTCTGAGCCAGAAGCATCCTTTTTTCCACTAATTTTTTTCCTCCAAAACCACTTTTGAAATATGAAGTTCCATTTGTGCTGCACTCCATTCTCTTTGGGGAGGACCTGATCATAGAAAAATTTCTAGTAACTTTCTATCATATACAAAGAACTGAAAAATAGAAAACTAACTATAAAAGTACATAAAATCGTAAGTGATTTTAAGAAAAGTATGGGATAAAATAATGTCAATTGGTAAGTTATCAGCAGTTGATTGCCTATAATGGATGTTAAATGTCCACACAGAAAATCGTGTCATTGGACAACTCAATATGATTTCAATGAACATATATTAGACCAAGAAAATGAATGCTCACTAAGAGACTTTATCAACTTAGTGAATACAATATAGAGTAGATCTATTATGCACGTAACTTAGACAAACAGATACTCAATTAAAAAGTAAACAGTACAGCAATTCATGGTCAGTCGACAACCTTCAAAGAAAAACAAAAAGTTTGAATGACATACCTTATCTAGGTAAAGGCCAATTGCGCAGTATAATATTGTGTCGAGCACCATCATCAGGAGACAGACCAAAAAATTCACTCCAGATGATGCCTGCAGGAATCATTATTTTGATTTTAGAAGCAAAAAAGAGAGGCCAAATAAATAATAATAAATAAATAACTTAATGTACCTGCCATATGTTGCTCCACCGGAGTCCAACATGAGCACGCTCATAGTCAGCGAAGTTAATTGACCCTAGAGCAAAGGCCGTCGGTGAAAGCAAAGAAGCAATAATTTTCAACATCCTAAAAGCACACAATTTACAGGACTTTATATGCATTCCAGAAAATAAAAGTTTTGAATAAAAGAAATTTGTGCACTCTTGTAATAGCATGAACACTAACATGGGGACAGCCTGGTCATTGACAGTGTAATAAGGAAAGAAGGCCCCAAGAAAAGAAAGGGTGCCAACTGCCACAGCTGTTTTTGCTCGTGTGAAGAATGTAGAAATCAGAAACGACAGCATTATTGCGCTGAGTCCAAACAGAAAGAAGTACATGAACACCACTGACTTATCACTATACTTGAAAAGGGTACCAATCGTGCAAACAGTGATGATTCCGGAAGAAATTGCGAACTGCAGAACAAAATAATAAATAAATGAAACCATATGAAAGTGACATACAATGAAAATATCCCATACCAAACAGCATAGACAAGCAGTTCTCAAGATCAAAGCAATTGTCTATTCACTGAACTACTTTTCACTTCTGATAAAATTGATGGTAGAATATCACATAGCAATATAGTTGTACATGATCAACTTAAGCAGTATCATGCACATTTATCAGAGATTAAAAACTTAAATCAGTTTCCCTTTTTAGAAAATGGAACATACCATTGATACCAAAGTATCACGATTAGCAGATATAGAGTTAATAAGAAACTTCAACATCTGGATGAATATAAAGTTAGGTTGTAAAATGATATTAACCTCCAAAGTTGCTTCTTCTATCTAGGTGTAGAATGACAATTCGGAGACATAGTTACTAAAAAAAATTAGAAGAAAGTTAATAATAAATTTTTGCCACCAAATACTTGTTTGATCCCTTGAAAAATGTGATGCAAAACATCTAAAGAAGAATGGGAGCAAATCAAGAATTCCACACGAAGCCCACTTAGAATATTGCATAATTATAAAACTCTATTTTAGAGTTGTTCTTCAAATTGTTGTATCAGATCCTCCGGTATAATAGAATACTGCACAGACTGACGAATGATGAAAACAAACCAAAACCAAGAACTCACACCACGGGAACCATGATGTAGAAATCATTAGACACCACTTCAACATAACCTGCGCGGTACCAGCAACCCCCCCCCCCCCCCCCCAGCGCAGCTGCGGCTATTCTCCTCAACCCCACCAAAAATAACTTGGAACCCCCTCCCCAACCCACCAAGAGGGGAAAAAAAACTGCAGCATCACCTACCCAAAATTAAGTTCAGCAAAATCAGACAAATTGCTCATACACACCAAGTACAGTAAGCGTACGAGCGATGATTAGACATATAGATATGTTGTTCAGTTATTTGTAGTCATCACATTTAATCATTTTTCTCTCATTTGTCTCACACTGGTAGGAAAAAATAAATAAAAATCTGTTTCCAGCAGCATTGTACTGAAGCAACTCCCTAAACTAAATAGCAGCTCATTGGCATCATATAACTAAGAAAATTGGAAACCGACCCCTCTAAAAAAGCACCCTCCCTGGGGCTGCAAACAAACCAAGTGGAGCCAAGACTTAGGTTTTTGAGCTCTTCTCAGCCATATATTTAGGCATTCATGTTCAGCTTGATCTCGAGGCAAGCTCAAAGAGGCATGTTCAAGCTTCACTTGGAGCTTGGACTTGCCTCGCTTGCTTGAAATTTAAGATATATTAAGCACATTTCAGCTTAAATCAAATTTGAATTAAATCAGGACAACTCAAATGATTTCCCCTACAAAATTAAAAGTAATTGAGTTCATGTTGGATCTGAACAGCTTGCGACTTTAATATAGAGGTTCTTTATGCTTCAAAAGACAAGAAGCATTGCAAAACAACCCATGTTCATGTGCCTAATGAGCCCAGCTTGGATTTGCTCAGACCTTAACAACAAACCACTAGTTTAGGCACGAGCTAGCTTGTTTTACAACAAACTTGAATGATCCTGTTAGCTTAGCCAGACCTGATTAATCGAACTATTCATAATCAGCTTTTTGCATTTGTAGCCTTATTATACTCCAGCTCCATGATAATGCAACAATCTCCTATGTGAAGTTTAGAAATTTAAGATGAGTCTTAACACCTAAATCCTTCTGTCAACTACTACTACAAGCTTCATGTAATTGATCTGACACTCAATGAAAACGAAATCAATGTGTTCACTCAAATAAAATTCAAATACTAATCACTTCCAATTAGTTTTAGGATCAACCTTTGAAATTTGAAATCATGTTATGAACAAAAGTATTTCTATATAATTCCAACAGTAATATATTCAGTTCAAACGTTCCACATATATTTATTGTGGCATCATATTACAGTGTCATCTGCACATCTAGTGACCACAATCTTGTCCAAGCCAGCTGAACAATCCAATCCACCCCAAAAGACAAATTGGACAGAACATACTTCATAATCCAGGTCTACTAGTCTAAGAGGAGCATGTCCACGCCAAACTGTCTTGACATCGACACAATTATCAACCTAGATCCCACCATAACATTACGTATAAGTCCACCCATACCAAGGCCAAGGAAGTAAAAAAGTCCTACAAACATGTCCAAATCCAGGTCCTCATCATCTTAGGACATGTAAAACAGGCTTTATGCCCTTCCTAGCAGAGCAACTTCTTTTAACATTGGTCATACAGAAAAAGGTATACTAGTACTAACTTATTTTAACAGCAAGCATGCAAAAATTACCTGCAAAGCGTATGTGATAAACCAAGAAAAATAGAATATCTCATCTTTTAGACCCATCATGTACAGACCCTCTTTTATTTTCTGCTCCTGAAGCATTAGAATAAAAAATGAGCTCAGCCAAAAAGTTTTTATAAGCAAGGACTACTCCAATTTTGATATTTCAGAGATGAGAAAGACATCAATCTATGCAAAAATGTACAAAAATAAAAGAGACTAGATACATTATGAGTCCATGATTAATAATGTATTACACCCATTACAAAACCTTCTCGAACACAGAATAGCTGATCAAGCGAGAGATTGGATAGAGAAACCCCAGCAGATACCTGCTCACCAATTCCAAGTCGGACAAATTAGTTTGCGCATAAAAAATAATGAACTTAATAAAATTTAAAATAAAATAAAAAACTAGAGAGATTATTTGGTGATAGATACAACATGGACCAATAATAAATTTTAAAAAATAAATGACACATACAGCACCCCCATGACAGTCTTAATGATGGACTGGAACTCATCGTCAGTATATTCCCGAGTTGGAAAGTGAGCTATTCTTATGTTTGAAGGACTGAAATGCTTCCATGGTATCTTGAGTGGAGAAGGTGCAGTATGCGAGTGCCGGAAAGGTGGCTCAACATCTTCATTCACTAACTTAGATACAGTTTCTTGTGCAGCATATATTATGAATGAATCCACAACTTGTTGGAGCTGCAACAAGAATAAAAGAAAAAAATCCAAAAGCAAAGTTAAAGAAGTTGAGTTCACAATGAAGATAAGCCTCCCAAAAAAAAAGGTTTCCTTACTGCCAAGGCAAAATAAAATATAACATTTCTAGTCATTAATAGGAATATAAAGGGTGTCCATTATTGATAATACCATAAGTCTATACAGATTTTGCAAAAACTTGTCCCCTATGACACAACAGAAGCCCACAAAATGAACACCTCTGATCGCAATGTTGCATCAACAATAAAACAGAAATCAAAATCCAACACGACCTTGAGTCTGTCAGTACAAACAACGAAAAAGGGTACAAAAAAGAAAAAAGAAAGAAAGAAAGAGGACATGCAGCAGCAGTTCCAATTATCATAGTCTATCAAATTAATGACTCTTAATTTGCTTCACACCAAGGAATAGTAGTCTGGACTCGCCAGTTGAAAGATAAAAAAGAAGAAAAAGAAAAGAAAAAAAAAAAGAACAAAAGGGGGTGAAAAGTAACACTATAAGGTTGAAGCACATAATTTATTCCTTACTTAAGATACATAACTCTAAACCTACTACTTTTAGTATAACGTGTTTCGTATAATTGATCACACCCAAGTTAGGAGGGTTATAGACTAACACAAGTTTGGTTTATCAACAGATACGTAACACATTTACTGTTTTCTTCAGGTTTTGTGTGGCTTCAAATAGTCTGCTTAGTTCCAGAAATTTAGTCAGGCTGTTCTGTTAGCTGATCCCTAATGCAGTGAGAAGCTGAGAATGATGATTTTTTTAAAAAAGTAAAATGTATTAGAAAGAATTCAAAAGGGGAACGCGTCCCAAGAGCTGTACACGAACCAGAAAAAAGAAAGTGGAAAAGACCTATGGACTCAAAGAGCCCAAAAAGTCCACAATATCCACAACAGATGAATAGTTTCTCCCCCAACCCCAACAAAAAAGGGTACAAATAATAGAAAATTTCAACTCCCCAATGGAGGACTCCTTCCCATCAAAAGATCTTCTATTCCGCTCTTTCCAAAGGCTGCACCAAACACAAAGAGGGGTCACCCTCCAAAAATCTCTAACATGTGCCCCCCACCCATTGGCCCCTCCAGATGTCCAACAACCTCCTAGAGGTCCGGGACATGACCCATTGGACACCAAACAGCCCAAAAATGAAACTCCAACAATCATGGGCCACAGGACAATGCAGCGGGAGGTGATCCACGGACTCTCCATCATACAAAGACAGCACCGATTGACAATGATATGTCTTCTCTTCCTCAAATTAACCAAAGTCAGAATCTTACCCCAAGCTGCGGTCCACATAAAAAATGCCACCCTAAGAGGCACCTTTAACAGCCACATCGTCTTCCACGGGAAGGTGGTACCGTGAAACACAGAGAGACAAGAAAAGAAAGACCGGACCTGAAACATCCCCTGCGCAAAAGGCACCCAAGTCAAGGAATCCGCACCAATGCCCTCCATCTCCTGTCTATACAAGAGAGCCAACAAACCAGTGACATCATCCAACTCCCAATCCTGAAAGGATCGCCGAAACCGCAAATCCCAAGACAACCTACCGCTATCAAGACAATAGCAGTCAGCAACCATAGCATGCTTGTCAATAGCAATCCAAAATAGCCTTGGGAACAAAAGAGACAATGGGCTATCCTTGCACCAGGAATCCTCCCAAAACCGAACATCCGTTCCATCCCGAACTCTGAATCTAAAATGTTTAAAGAACTCATTCCACCCCTTCCCAATGGATCTCTACACCCCCACTCCGACAGTAGACCTGACTGGCCTAGCTGACCACCCCCCTCTCTCCTCCCCAAAACAACAAGAAATGACCTTCCTCCATAATCTATGTCTTTCACTGCCGAACCTCCAAAGCCACTTACCAAGAAGACCGCTGTTGAAAGGGGACAATCTCCTAATCCCAAGCCCTCCCAACTGAAAAGGCCTACAAACCTGCTCCCACTAGACAAGATCAAGTCTTCCAACAATAGAGGAGGGAATCCGAAAAAGCAAAAGAAAGTACGTTGGGAGGCTGGACAATGTACTTTTCACTAAAGTAACTTTACCACCTTTGGAAAGATATTGCTTTTTCCATCCGGCCAATCTTCTCTCAAACCGCTCAATCACCAGGTTCCAACTTCCCATCCTCCTAGCAGAGTCACCCAGCGGCAAACCCAAGTACGAAATAGGGAAATGTCGCGTCCCACACCCTAAAACAGTAGCCAGAGAATCCACCTCCTGAACCTCTCCCACAGGGACAAGCACACTCTTTCCCACGTTGACTTTCAAACGAGATACAACCTGAAAACAAACCAGGACACATCTAAAATACCACAACTAGGACACCTCTGCCTCGCAGAAAACAAGAGTGTCATCCGTAAAGAGCAGGTGAGAAATCTCCATCCGCTGAATCGAATCAGGGCCAATCTTGAAGCCCCTTATGAAACCCAAATCCACAGCCCTTCTTCTCATCAACCTATTAAGGGCCTCCATAACAATAATGAACAGGAAAGGGGAGAGAGGGTCCCCCTGTCTCAGACCACGAGAACTGCCGAAAAACTCGATAGGAGACCCATTCACCAACAACGAAAATCTGATAGAGGACACACGTGACAATCCATTTCCGCCATCTCTCACCAAAACCCATCCTCTCAAGCAGATAAAACAATAAATTCCAGCAGACATGATCATAGGCTTTCTCGATATCTAGCTTACACAGAACACCACTACTAAGTCTAAAATCCACACATTCACTGGCAATGAGAGCGGAATCCAGGATCTGTCTACCCCCAATGAACGCATTCTGAAACTCAGAAATAACTCCATCCAGAACCTTCCTCAATCTAAGCGCAAGAACTTTAGCGATGAGCTTATACATACACCGAATCAAACTGATTGGTCTAAAGTCCTCAACTTTAGAAGCACTGACCTTCATAGAAATCAGGGCAATAAAAGATGAATTCAACGATTTTTCGAACCTCCCCGTAGAATGAAACTCATGAAACGTGCCCATAACCTCGTGTCTAACCACCTCCCAGCTCTCCAACAAAAATCTCATAGTAAAGCCATCTGGGCCTCAATTACAGCTCTTCAGAGCCTTCAGCACCTTCTCCTCCGAAGCTGAGAACGATGATGATCTACCATTTGTTGACATTCTATATTATTGTTATATGTTGCTGACATAACTACCACTAAAACGATCCTTATCAATGTTAGTCGGTCAAAAGAGCACTTAAAGTTGCCTTTGAGATGAAAAATCTTAGACTCCAGTTTTTTTCTTTTTAACCTTGAGGTCACTTATGTTCATGAAGTTATTCTTTCTTAGAAAAGAAATGTTAACAATTCAATTTTTCCATTCATTTGACAAACTCCCGCAATGCTAAGCTTTACGCAAAGCTTCTTCCTGACAATAGCATGTCTCATTTTGAAATGCTAATATCTAACGCCATCTGGTTGTTAATCTTGCATACATCACCATCTATCTGCCCAACATTACTTACAATGTTCATGCGGTTAGTCTAATTGTTGCAGCTTCTCGATCAAGCATCACAGTATAGTCTTACAGATTATTCATGTTTTTCTTTTTTTGTGGCATGTCGAGGAAATGCTCTAACCATCTTCTTCATTGTTTCAACTTCTGCCTATTTAGAGATTGAAGCAGAGCCAGCAATGACTAATTGGTGCCTAAAGATCCGTTCTTTTCTAGATTATAAATGCAAGGACCAGAACTCAAGGCTATGGAAAGCTGCACAAGGTCCGAGCTCTAGACCTAGAGAGGGGTGAATAGTCTTATAGAATGAAATGCCGATTTTAACAACTTTTTAAATTTAAACTGGACTTAACATACCAACGGGCCAGTGGCCCAGCGGTACCAAGTCCCTACTTCTCAACAAGAGGTCAGGGTTCAAGCCTTAGTGGAGACATGGATGTGTGAGTACCAGCTAAGAAAGGAAGGAAAAAAAAAAAAACCTGGACTCAACATAAATTAAAATAAATACATAGCATAGCAATTAATAGAAATCATCAATTCACAACAATAATAAGCATATAAGAGGTAGAGAAATAGACACCAGATTTTTACGTGGAAACCCAAGGGGAAAAACCACGGAACCTAGTCCAGGAAGACCAAAATCCACTGTGAGAAAGACAGTTCAACCTTGGTTAGAGCAGACTCTACCCCAATTAACAAAAAATGGTCTCTACAAGTATGTGAGTGTATATATCAGATGTCATACTTCTGCCCAAGTTGTATATATAGGCAACAAAATAAGATAGAGAGATTAGGGTATGTCGAGTTTAAAACGAAGTTGGAAAATGCTTGTCCAAACAGTATTGATTGAGATGTACATCAATCGATAAGACGTAGTCCAGAAGGCCTCAATTGATCCCTCGATAGATCGAAGTCTGAAAATATTTAGAAAATTTCCAAAACTCTTTTTGATGCATAATTTAGAAAATTTAGGAAATCAAATCAAATTAAAATATGTAAACATAGAATCCTAATTGTGCATGTATAAATCCTAATTTGGCGAGTGCATCAATGTGTTAATTTACCTTTATGCCATTGAAGATGAAGATTACCAAATTTCCCTTGAATGAAGAATGAGTTCCTTCTTCGACCTTTTATTTATTTATTTATTTATTTCTTTACATGGCAAGGCAGGGAAGGGGGAAATTAAAATAAAATTTAGACTTTAATTCTGTTCTACGAAATTCCCAACCCAAGTCCTATGGACCCAGCACTAGAACCAAAAAGCACTAGGATGTAAATATATTACATCCTAGTATAGTACTTGATCGGAGTACCATGCCACGGCTACAACAGCTACTGACATCATCTGATTACGACATTTTTTTCTAGTACTGACTTCTGCCTTCCATTACAGATTCTCAATAATTCAAAGACTAAGAAGTAAGATATTATATCTCAACCAAGCGCAAAAATTGTGTTTTACTATTATGCTATAGCTACTATAATTACTGAGGTGGTTTGACTATAATGCCTTCATGTTGACTTGGGTCACTATTTTCACATACCTCCTTTGTGATACCAAGAGTACTACTCAAATTGCTTGTCATGTGCTATTTCGTAAGTGAATCCAGCATATAGAAATTAGCTGCCATTTTGTCCAACAACATTGTTTTGATGGATTTTTTCACTTACCCATCTTATTAGGTAGTTAATTTCTTTCTTGTTCTTACTGGAAAAGATTTTAGTTTATGATTCACTATGACTTGAAATGTACTCATTATCTATACACACACACACACACACACACACACACACACATATAATTTGTATATCAGAAGTATTGTATAGTCTACAAATCCTAAGCAGACATCATATCTGGCATTTGACTTCATCAATTACGTATGAATTTTTTCCTGCTTGCATACAACAGTAGAAGATCATGTAGAGATGATTCACTTCCCAGAATCAAAGTTTACAGCATCAAAAAACCAACACTCTCTCTTCTTAATATGAGATCAACCGTTATATTCTCCCATATCATTACATTTACCTGTATCAATTAATAAGAACCACCTAAATAACAAAACTAGCTGCAGAAAGAAGTTAGCATAACTACTTGTTTAACCATTGTATCAAGACAATTTGCAGACCATTTTCCGTGGATCAGCCAGAATCAAACAATACTACATATCTACTTTACCACATTCCATACAATAATATAAAAAAATCATAAAAATTGAAGTGCATTGATTGGCAATACAAAACTATCAACTTTCATAAACATGAGAAACATATATAATTAAGGAACTTTAGAATTGGTACAGATACCATAATGAAACCAATCACAGCATATACCTAACTGAAGAGATGATCATACACGATACTTAGAAGAAAATAATTGAGAGGGAATAACGAGACCATACAGTCAGAAATCCACTGTAGCTGTACTGCAAAATTGGCACAGTATTAACACCCAATTCCAAGTCATTGAGATAAGGGCCATTCACGTCCATGATAGTTTTAACATCAGGAAATCCTGAGAAAGCCCAAGAGTGGTTGAGGCGTATGCTATAGTCAAATATCTGAGGACCTTGATCATGAAATACTATTGCTCCTTTGATTTTGGGATTTGAACAATTTCTATATAGAGACGTAAAGAAAACCATTCAATTTCGAAGTATAAACGGCATACAAAATGTAATTAGCAAATATTAGTTGCTCATGACATATATCGTCATATATGACAAGCATAAAAGGAAAAATATATATATACCAATAATTTCAAGCAATTTCATGCTAATCACTCTACATTCTGATTATACCAAATTGAGCACCAAATTTATAATACAACGAAAAGAAGCAAAAATAAAAAAATCATGTGTACCACCTGCCAGGAAACAAAATCCTTATATTGCCTTCAGACAAATCTTCAATTAATTTTATTAAATTTCTTAATAGGTCCAATTATAACTTAATTTTGTTTCCAAGGAAAACCTTGTAGAATGTTCTCAATGTTTTTTTTTTTTTTTTTGATGAGTAAAATTATATAAAAGGAACCGCTCAGAGGGGGAGCGAAACCCAAATACAAAACAAGGCCAAACGCGCCTTAACAAAACAAGGCCAAAAGCGCCTTAAGCCTTCAAAGAGGCCAAAAAAACCACCAACTCATCTACAAAACGAAAATCTCTCCCTGAAACCCAACAAAAAAGAGTGGAAATAATAGAGAACTTAAGCATAGAGATAGGCTTTTCCTTTCCATCGAAATATCTCCTATTTCTCTCAAGCCAAATGCACCACCAAATGCTCAAAGGCGTAGCCCTCCAAGCGTCTCGGATGAGAGCCCCCACTGAAAATCCTCTCCAAGCCTCAATCAACCCTCTAGAGGATCCAGGCATGACCCAAGGGATGATTGGAATTTAAACTTCAAACAGAGTGATGAATCAGTTAAAGAGAGTGATTAAAAGACAACTGAGAGATTGTAAGAGATGGTCAAGAAGGCCCCCAATTGCAGCGGTCAGATGGATTAAGAATACTAAAGTTCTAATTGATGTGTGCATGATCATTTGGAGGATGGAATAGAGGAATAAAAAAAATAACATATTGAAGAGAATTGGAGATTGACCTTGGATGGATTAAATGGAAGAATTGGGTTCTTTGGGGATTACGGATGTTCATAAGCCCCTTTTAGCTAATTTGAATAGTAATGATAAGTCATATGTATAGAGGCTACTAGAGCGGCTGATAAATCAGAAATATTGATTATACAGGGAAATGTTAAGTGACATGGTTCAATCGATTTCCCTCTCAAGTGGGGAGTGTGGAGAGTCATTACCAATGAGTCTGATGACATTAGGGGCATATCAATTCTAAAATGTATCTATTTCCAACCCCAAAAAAAATATTAAATAAATACCCCCCGTGGCAAAGGATTCCTAGGTACTTTAGGAAATTAGGACTTCATCACTGCAAACCGAAAGTCAAATTAATTAGTCTTCTTTTTTCTTTCTTGGGACAAGGCATGATGATATTTTAATTAAGGAGGTAATTATTTTTGCACAAATGTTTTGTGCATTTTTTCATGGTGCAAAAATGTGTAAATAGCATGGTAAAACAAAAATAGAACCACAAAAAAGAAATAGAACAAGTGTGATAAGCGCTGAATATTGCATATTCGAGCTCTTATATGTGCGTATGTCAAGACCTTAAGTGATACTTTTATCCGGTTTTATACTTATTTTAGTATATTTGCTTTTTGCAGGTGATTTCCCGAAGAACGGGACAAAATCGTGATTCTGGAGCTTAAATATTATTTTTGAAGCTTATGGAGATGTACCAGACCATCCAAGGTCAATCTGGAGTTAACTAGGGGATTCTGAAGAAATTCAACTGTTAATGCTCAAGCACAAAGTGGACTGAAGAAGAAAAAATGTCTAAGGCAAAAATGCTCGAGCACAAAATATTTATGCACGAGCATTTCTCAAAATGCTCGAGCACAAATCCCCTTGGGAAGATGAAAAGACGCTTTGAAAGTTCCAGGTTCCAGAGCTCGAGCATTTCTCAAAGTGCTCAAGCACAAGTTCAAAATGCTCGAGCACAAAAATTAATGCTCAAGCATAAATTCAAGAAAGTTCATAAAAATTCAAGTGTCGAAGAAAAGGATGCTTCGGAAATATTTGATGGAAATTTGGCTAAGTATAGAATTAACGCTCGAGCATTTCTCAAAATGATCGAGCACAAGCTGCAGAGCTCGAGCACTGGCCAAAATGCTCGAGCATTATCAATTCAGGAAAATTTTATTAATGAGGGATTAATCCAAAACCTATCCTTTTAAGTCCCAGATGGGCCCAGATGTCCCCAGAAGTCCTAAAGCCCATCCAAGAAGGAGTATGAGTCAATTTCTCCTATAAAAGAAGATGAAAAGCCACAAGAAAACTCTCTACTACTACTTTTACAATTAATTTCAGATCTGGTGGCGGCTTTTACGGTTTTTGAAGTTTCCTTTGAAGATTTGAAGAAGAAGATCCCAAGAAGAAGAGAGTCCATGAAGATGCTTTCTACACCAACAAAAATGATATTCTCCGTCTTCATCAGTAACTAAATCCTCTCTTAGGGCATTGATGTAACCCAAATCCGATTAATATGGTTTGATTATTCTTCAACTTTGGGATTTTTCAATATTTATGTATATTGATTGCATGATTATGAGCAATTGACTTAGATCTTCTAAGCAATTGGTTTTTTAATGGAATAAAATTGGTTTTTGATAAAATTAATATATTGTCTTAGAATTATTTGTTCATTAATCAAAATCAAACTAATCTTATTGTTTGAGATTGGCAGCTAAGGGTTTCTCATGACAATAAGAATAGTGATCATGCAATGGTGCTTAAACCGTTTTTGTGAATGAATGTTTTGATAATTTATGCTTAGGGAAGACGAATTATTCTGCAAATTAGTTTAGAGTAGGTAGGAAGATAATTAGTGCCAACCGAAGATAGGTTATTCTTAACAAACATTCATAATTTATCTTTTTAAATTTGAATTGAATAGAATGTTAATTCATTTAATTCTGGATTATACATAAATACTGAAATCCCTAAAGTTGAATCAGTTGACCATATTGAGAGGTTCATGGTGAAATCAAGCCCTGAGTTCTTCCTCCCTTGATCTCAGTTTATTTTGTTTGCGTATTTTATTTTCATGTTATTAGAATATAATCACAACAAAAACAATTTTTCTCTAAGTTAAAATAGTAATTAATTTTTGACTTGATAAACCACCACAGTCCCTGAGGTTCGACACCCTCAAAGTAGCCCTATCCTGCAAAGGATTCGTTCTATTGCAAGTGGTCTTTTATAATTGAAAAACACCCACATCAAAGCGCGCATGAAAAAACCAAAAATTCATAATATCCATCACTAATTACACACAAGGCCCACACACAAAAAAAAACTACATCCATTGCATGCATAAACTATGTCAATTAAATTTAGAAATGCCTCTTATCCACAAAATGCAACATACATAAATGCATATATATTCAAAGCACACTTCAAGTTAAATTGAACTACAGTAGCACAAAGAGAGAGAGAGAGAGAGAGAGAGAGATTATATTTATTTTTAACTATAAAATGGTTTATTTTTCAGCTTATAAAGAACTAAAATTATCACTTTCATGGACACTAGATCTGACTGCCTCACAAATTGCTACCACCAAAGTCCAGGCACATAACAATATTACTTATTTTCAATCTATAACCACCATGTAAAAACTATACAAAATAACAAGAGAAAGATGACTCACTTGACTTGATTGCCAGCACCATAAAGATCTGAGCGTATGTAAGTTTCAAGCTCTAATTCATCTTTGTAAATTATAGTAACCAACTGTAGCATGACAAGTAATCATTATTGCACCTATAAGGAAAAATAAATATAACATTTGCCATAAAAGAAACTAAGATTCACATCAGGAAATAAGTCGAGTAAGTGTTGAAGTGTTATCCCACCTGGTTTCTAACACACAGAAATTGATACGTGCTAGTTCTAATCATTGTAGTATTGCAATTTGTGATGTACAATAACAGGAACTGAAATAAAATGCTATAGAAAGCAAATTTTAAGAAAGAAGAGGAGGCTAAATTAAGAGAATATGGGTTCATTTGGTTTAGCTTACTACAAACAGAAGTCCATTACAGGGATGGAATTTCTGAAAAGGATTTTAAAAAATATATATATTGCCACATAAAATCTTTTTTTCAGAAGTCCTCTCAAATGCTTCATGGCAATGACTCAAGCACCTATCTTTCGAAAAAACTGGCTCAAGCACCTTTTGCTATTAGAACCATCTCAACTTTGCCTTCAATTAACTTTCTTTTTTCATCTGATTTATATAGAATTTAACCTTTATCACACCCCTCCCTTTAAGCTGTAATGCCAACAACATTTTCCATTGTGTTACAACAGCTCTTGCCCCTTTTATACACATTATGGAATGCATATAAATGAAATTATCAAAAAACAAAAAGAAGAAGAAGAAGAAGAAAGAAAGAAAACGACATTACAAACATTATGTATTGGTTCCACTTATAAATGCAAATATATATGGTCATATTTATGTTGTTGTTACAATACTTATAAATAAGTTGATATAAAGGGCATACCCAATATTATCATTAAGTCGTATGATCAGTGATTTATGGTTGTTTTTTGGAACCAAATTCTCTAATAAGGTGTTCCATGATAAAATTGAAAATTAAGTACTGAAAATTTTAAGAACTGAGTTTTAAGTGCTAGTTATAAACTAAGAATTCTTTTGCTAATTTTTTAAATTTTAAGTGTTCAGTATTTAGTGACAAGTGAAGTATCTGTCTCTTAAAATTTTATTCTATTTTATTGCGTTATCAAACGCACTTAAAAAATGCAGAATATACTCAGAATTAAGTACTGGATTATCAAACAGCACCCAAAATATTTTCAAGGAACTCATGCATTTGTTTATACTTTATCCCCTACAGCAGGATCTCAAAGCTTGAACTTATGAAAACCATGAAAACAGTTGCATAACTACAGGAATCCTCAAAGCAAGCATAAGATCATTACCAAACTAACAACTTCAAAGAATCAGTAGAAATTAACAAAATATAGATTACCTATATGTTAAAAATAAAGAGAGAGAGAGAGAGAAAGCAAAAACCTAGAGCCCAAAATAGGAGATAGTGTGTGTATGTGTGTGTGAGTTTTAGGAGGAGAAAAAAATATATTGAATGGAGAAGATTTATTTTAGAATCCAAGGGTAATGATTGCTGTTAAATCCCATTAGGAACTGTTCAAGGTTGTACCTACTAGCTCTTAATTTATATACACAAACAAACATGTGGAGAGAAGAGAGAGGTATAGAGAAAGACCTGTCATGAAAAATAGAGTGCGAGTCGACATGAAACTCAACTCAACAAAGCCTTTTTCCAGCTACTAGGGGTCGACTATATGAATCCTATTCTTCCATTCACTCTATCTAAGGCCATAGCCTCAGTCGAACCACATGTTTTTAACTCACTGACTCTGCCCATGTAATTTTTGTCTTCCCCTTCTCCTAGCATTACCCTCAATGTGAACCATGTTACTCTTCCTGACTACGGCACTTGGTGGTCTACTCTGCACATGTACGAAAAAACAAAAACAAAAAAGAGAGAGAAAACAAAAAATGGAGGAGAATGACAGTAAGGCAAAGAGGAAGATAGTACTGTCTGCAGATTTTGCCTCGACACTTCCACCACTCTGTTTCTCTACGGCTTCACTATCAAACAACTCCAAAACAGGCAAGGTGGACATCTGACACCAAATGTTAGGGGCAATATTGGATATCTAAAATTTATTACTATGACTACCAACCACCCTTAGAAGTCCATCCATGTAGCATTATCAAACAGTTTTTATTTCTCCAGGAGTAGTTTTGGTGCTGCAAAGTCTATCTAAAGAGCACCCAGTGCTACCTATTTCCGCTAGAATATACCAAGAGGGAACCAAAGCTAATGCAAGATCATTCACTTTTCTGCACATGAGGTGTAATAGCCAAGTACTAAAAGCAAATTGACAATGCAGAAAAAAAAATATTGGCACGGTCCTTCACAAGACACACTGCTTGGATATGCAAATTAAAATGTAGATAAAAATATTGGCACAAGCCTTCACAGGGCAAGTTGGTCTGCAGTATGCAATTAAGTCTGCTCAAAGAATTCCCTCACCAGAAAGTCTAGAGAAAACCCGAAAAGAACAAAGGATACAATGATCAACCTCTCCAAACAAGCATTACCCTTTCATCACTCAAATTTCTGAAACAACATTGATATTGAACTTCAGATACCAAATAACAGAAGAGTCCAGATGTAGCAAGCTATAAATACAACTAGGAAGACGCAATAGCCTTCCAAAATTCTGTTTGCATTATTAAGGGGCTATGACCATGAACTGATGACATACATTAAAACCACGAGAAGGCAAGGACTTGGCTCTTTCTCAGATGGACTTGGAACTATAGAACTGAAAAGATCCTTATGATCCTAATATGTCACTCTTTAATGTCTTGTAAGTAAAAGATACCTCACTAAGCAACTACAAGGCAAATGAAAATTCAATCGGAATAATCACTTTCTTGGTTGATGTAATTATGTTCATACATGCAATATTGTTATAGAGAATAGTGTAGAACAAAAAAAATGAGATATGTGATATCCGTAAGAAAAGGGTAACATAAGAAGTAAAGATATGCAAGAAGGAACTGTGACTACACACAATAACAGGACGCTATTAAGATGGAGGATTTTGTGATATCCCAAATGCCCGTGTTCGCTCCTCCTCTAGCCAAGAATGACCACCAAATTGGCTTGACTGGAACACCCAATGATACCTAGTAACGCAATTCTCTCACACTATGCAAGAATTTCCCATGGGCCATGAAAAGCTAACCAGGCCTAATAATCAATGGGAATAATTAATAGGAAAGGTTTCATACTTAAGAATTAAAGAAGTGATTGTACCAAAGAACCGAATTGAATCCGGCCCTCATTCAAATTGGTAGTCCCAGTTTGTAAGCTGCCACTTAATCATGAAAAAAAAAAAAAAAAAAGAAAGGCCATGCCTCTTTCAGGTTACATAAATGAATAGAATCGTCATCTAAACTCTGATTGCTTGTCGTTGACCAAAACAAATGGAGAGAATAAAGATTGCTGATTATGTGTCTTAAATAGTTCCTAATTATGCCAGCAACCACATACTGAGACATCTTAGTCAGCAAGCAATATAGGATATAGTTTATCTCATTCCCAGAATAAAAATATAATCATAATTTACAACGCAGAAAAATCTTGACTGAAGTATGAAAAAAGTATTTCACAGGGTCTGTCCAAGTAAATGTCCCATGTCCCAACTCACATAAGCAGATGAAACTAAAGATGGTTCTCCACACAAAAATATGCTGATCGTTAAAAGGCAAGGCATGCTGTCCCCCAAACTCTATTTGCCTTCTAGGGCCACTTTAAAAATTAATGCAATATGTTGAGATTGACTACCTTCAGAGTAGGCTATCAAGGTAAAACTAAATTTCCATCAAACAGAAGTAATGGAGTTATGATTAGGACTTAAACTGGAGTGAGTTCAACACGAGATCCGATTGAGTCCAAGTACTCTTAATGGGTTTGATATTAATTTTTATTCTGAATTTTAAATTGGGTTGGAAATGGATCTTCCTTGAAAGATCCACTGCATATCCACGTCAGATATGGATATGGAGAAACATTGAATGGACCGGATTTAGCCCGAAATCCGACCCAAATCAAGTATATAATCATCTGGACACTTAAAATCTTGTTTGGATTGGGTGTGGGTCAAAAATGGATCATCTCCATAGGATCAGGATATTGATCATGACGCTAAATTATGGATCTAGACTCAGATTCATTGTGAATCCAAGACCACATCCGCTCCATTTCATCCCCATGGTTAGCTCAAAAGTCAAAACACATCTATATGAGTTATAGCCCTTGGAAGAGTGATGCTCTAGCTGGTACAGGTATACAAACATCTGGACATCTTTTCTTTCACATGGCAAAACATTTACACAATTTAACTGATGATTTAAGTGGCAAATACTTTTACATCAAGCTTCTCTAACCATGAGAATGCACATGCAAAGACTAGCTTCAGTATTCTCTCCCGAAACTAATAACACACAAACAGTATTTACAACTGAAACAAACAAAAAATGGCAGAAGTCTTCTTACAACAGTAAGCAAGACCAAAGATACTCCGATCACCGTCGGAGCCTAGATTTCTGAAGGGAAATCTGGGGAAAGCCTGAAGATGAGTTTAAAATATGATAAAATCTCAAATTATATTGATCAAGATTGAATACAAAACATATAGAGGTCTGTCCTCTTATAATACTACTATTAGTGACACCTGACATATCCTAGAAAGACTTTTAGAATTCCCACACAACATTAATAAGACTTTAACACTTACCTAAGTGAATACTTAGGAATTCCAAAGCTTAATTAATTACTACCGAAAAACTAGAATGACTCTGACTTTTCTTCAAGGCACTTTCCAAGGCACCATTGACTGCCTCAATCTTGACTAGAGTACCCTTAATGATTCGCATCAGACCCTCCTCCTTGAAGAAAACTCGACCTCGAGTTTGAAACAATTTACCACGATCAATGAGAAGCCCGAGTAAAGCCTTCCGTCCTTTCTTTCTTCTTTTCGCTCGATCAAAGCACGAGAAGTTTTTGTTACTGAGAAAACATATCTTTGAACGAACTTTAAGAGTTCTCTTGTGAAATCTCCAAAACTTGTTTGAAGATAAATTATGAATAAAGTCTTGGATTACTCTGATTTTTACATTGGAGCAACTCCTAGCTGCATGTCGTGCCAAGAACCCATCCCAAATCAGGTCACAGGTATGAAATTTATGATTTCTCAACTCCAAGAACAAAGAAGAATCATTTATAACCAGATTATGGAAGTAAACTCCATCTGACGTACTGTCTAATCCACCTATTTGTTTGTTGACGAACATAAGCTCTGACATTTCTACAACTTGGGAATCAGCCTGATATACTTGCTTCAATTTCTTCAATGGTTCCCACTTTCTCACCTCAAATCCACGATATACAGACTGACTAATGATAGCTGCCTCAGTTTCTGACAAGTTCTCGGCTGCTTCTTCAGACTTTTCCTCTTCTGCCTTAACTGCCTCTTCATATTCCTCGCCATTGTTGTCAAATTCTGGAAGTGAGGAAGTTGATATTTCCTCCAGTGTCTCACCTTCTTCATCCAACCATCCAGTAAGTTCATCCCAAGTTGGAGTGACATCCACAAAATTAACACAATTTCCAACGTCTTCCTCAACGATGAGTTGTTTTGCATTGATCATACGATTGTCTAAAATTATTGGACACTCAGCAGATTTGAATCTTGAATCCTCACATAAAGGACCAAAATTCATGATCTTGGGCACAGTCCGCCTCTGCTGTCCAAGTGTTTATTGACTGTTTAACTGATTTGGCAGCACCTGATTTCGCACTTCTGAACTGCTTCGCTGCTGATTTCTTTCTCCAGTAGGCCATTCTGTCCAATATTCGCATTCATATGCATCCATTTGTTGAGCCCTTTGTCTCCCAATGTCAGAATTAAGAGGTGAAATGATTCCATATTGTTCTAATAAAGTGCTCAATCGAGAAATTTGATTTTGCAGATTTTGAGAGTCTTCTTTTGTGGCTATCTTACTTCCTTGCCTAGCCATAGATCCGCAATAATCACAGATCTTACTAGAAGGCTCTGATACCACTTGAAACAAACAGAAAATGGCGGAAGTCTTCTTACAACAGTAAGCAAGACCAAAGATACTCCGATCACCGTCGGAGCCTAGATTTCTAAAGGGAAATATGGGGAAAGCCTGAAGATAAGTTTAAAATATGATAAAATCTCAAATTATATTGATAAAGATTTGAATACAAAAGATATAGAGGTCTGTCCTTTTATAATACTACTATTAGTGACACCTGACATATCCTAGAAAGATTTTTATAATTCCCACACAACATTAATAAGACTCTTTCCCAAGTGAAAACTTAGTAATTCCAAAGCTTAAATAATTACTACCCAAAAACTAGAATGACTCTTTGACTTTTCTTCAAGGCACTTTCCAAGGCACCATTGACTGCCTCAATCTTGACTAGAGTACCCTTAATGATTTGCATCAGCGACTGAACATCAACCACATACCGTTACCAATTAATAACATCACATATAATCTGACAAATTATTCAAGATCGCTAGCGTAGAAATGAGGTATTTAAAGTTGGCAATCAGTTATATATACAATGATTTATGAAGAAGATACAGTGAAAGAATCCAATTAAGTCTTGAGAACTAAATGCCATTTAATCTGTTTATAGGAACACCATGTTTATTAAATCTCCAAATGTTCTATTTTCCCCCCTAAACAACACAAGAACTCCAAGTCCCCTTGAACCCAAGGTTTAAGCCTTACTCTATTAACCAAGCTCCCCTCTACCACTCAACCTGTAGACCATTGGTTATGTTTTGAATATTCTAAGAAACAGAGCAGCAACCGTTAACAACAATATCAAATGGGCCATATTTGTGTCCATAGTATCAATTCAGATGTAAGAATTTTTAACTTGGAAAAAAAGGTATTGGAAAATTCAATTTATTGCATCTAGTTTGCAAGCATTGTTGTGCTTCTTTGGACAAACCATGTAATTAACTAGTTTTTGAGAAAGAACCATATCATGTAAAGTGTAAACCTAATATGTATATATGTGAATGCATACAGACATTTTTATCAAATTAGCCAACTGACAATCATGGCTGACATTGAGAGGAGAAAATGAAGAAACAAAAAGATAAAGAGAATAAAATATGAATATAGATGTGCAATGTATACCTTCAATAGAGGAAATTTAGTGGAAAGTAAGTTGATCATCATCCTTGTTTCCATTGTATCCGGTGCAAAAGCTAAATACTCATGCTTGGCTGACAATAATTCCAAAACTCGATTGAATGTAGGGGAAGTATCACCTTTGCCCACTTCCACAAACATCCCTTTTCGAATATAACTGCATTTGGTTTTATAAATAAATAAATAAAAAAGATCATTTTTCAAATAGCCATGGAAAGTGTAGAAGTAAAGACCCTACACTACTCTCCAACGACTTTAGCTTGTAGAGTAATAATTTGTTAACTTAATATTAAATGAAGGTCCTGCATTCAAACCCAAAAACCTCCCTTGTGGAAATATAATACACTCACATGCATAACCCACCCTAAAGGAGTATGGCTACATATTAGGAGCTGTGTTGAAGTAAATAAGTGACTCACACACACCTATAACATCTGTCCAACAATTTTTAAGCTTCTAGTTTGACAAGTTGTTGACACTATATTCACAAAGCAGTTTACTTTTTATGGTTTTCTTTTGTCCTTGTTTTCACCCTAATCATTTGTTTTGTTGTTGTACAAGAGATAAAAATAAATCAATAAATTATATAAAAGAAAGAAACAAATGGCCAAAAAATTGTCATTTTTTAGTTCTAAGAACCTGATAAAACAAAACCCTCCATTCAACCATGCCAAATACAATCAATTGGCTTCATTCCTTTTTCCACCATCTTCTCAACAAGACAACAACCAGACAAAAATAAAAAGCTTAAGAATTACTCCCTTTGCGACTCCATCCCAAAATAAGTGTCACTTTTTGAAACTCCAACCTTTTAAAGGACTTCGAAATTACAAAATTAATCCTCAAAAATTTAAAGACTTGCACAACTAATTTGGAAAGAGAATAATTTTGGCATGGAGGGGCAATATAAAAAAACAAGAAAGCTTAAGAAAATCTCAAATACATACGGTTGAGCCGGGTGGATACGCGTATCAACTCGTGTCCTGACAGCAATTAACATCAGCATTATAACAGTAGGAAGTAAAACCTGCCCACAAAAAATAATAGAGGAAATATCAATGCAAAGAACACCAAAAATCCAATTTGGCATCACAATTCACAACATCTCATTGAAAGAAAGAAAGAAATGGAAGGGGAAAAAAAAAAGGCATTTGATTTTAAATGAAGATTGATGGATTCGTAGTTTTGAGCTATAAAGTGAATCCTAGTGAAACAAACAGGTGGACTTTTCTAGAAGAGGACATGCAGACAAGATATACGCAATCGAAACAAAAGCTTACAATTAATCATTTACTTCACAGTCAAAATCTTTTTAACTTGTAAACTACTCCCGAGGTAGATGACCAAACATATTGGAAAACCAATATTTTTTTGCTTTAACCAAATAAAATTATAATAAGATGCCAAATCAATATGAAAAATCTCAAAAAATATATATAATAAAAATAAAAGAATGACCAAGAAGCAGACAGATAATTTGTGCCTACATGATTACAAATATTCCCTTGTTACTTCTTCATTGAAGTGGCACCTTAGGAGGTTTCTGAGTCGTAATTAGAACAATGGTAAGTGTCTTTTAGTATATGTCAGTTTGCAGTCACTTAGAAGTTGTAACTAATTATTTACAAAAATTGTGTGTAAATATTGTATGACTTAATAGACAATGAAGAAACTCGTTTTGGAAAGGGCTTGGCTCAAAGGAGGTTTCTACCACCCTTGAAGGGATACATGTAGGAGGTTTCCACCACCCAACTCATATCTAAATATTTTCTTCCATTTTTCAATTGAGTAATTTGAGTCGGTCTTAATTAGGATCCAATTCTTTCAAACAACTGGGGTTAAGGGATATGCTAAATATTTTATGGTAATCACTAGCAACTTGGGAAAAAGAAGTTTTTCGATGAGAGGATCTAACAAGGTTTGAGTTTCTAATGGATGGTGTGATTTTGTACAATGACCTTATTGTAAAAAGCACTCGATCCATGAGGAGTGGCATGGTGAGTGCCAAAATTATTTATTAAAAAGTGATTTTTTATTAGAATAAATACTGTTATTTAATTAGGATTAATCTCTAGATGGTAAACTCGATACGCTCTCTTTTCAATGCATTCCTTCTTATACACGACTATGATTTCTCTCTATCTCCTCTGCTCAAATATTTTTATCCCTTCAAATTTTATCTCACATTGCTGACTGGCAGTACTCAAGAAAAGGAATACTAAATCATTCCAAATAGACCAAAATTATCTTCCTTCAATATAGTACTAGAATTAATAAATTAAGATAGGGTTATCTTAGGACTAAAATATGTAGTCAGTGGTAGTTATTTCCCTATTCCAGTCTATGATGCCAAATATGAACTCTCCTCCTCTTTTCTTTCCTTTAAATTCGTTAATAAAGTCATCATTCAAACTGCCTGTGAACTAATGCATAAAAAGCATGGCAACAATAATCTTGATGATCGACGATTGAAACGCAAGAAATGGCAAAAAAAATAAATAAATAACAATCCGATCAAATTAAAAGAAGCTTGGGTATAATCCTCACAGTCATGCGATAGAACTCAAAGCAATAAAGAAAAAATTAAGATTGCAATTAAACATATATTCCACAAGAATCAGATAAATATATTTATACACAATCTACAAGAGAATCATAAAAAAACGACAATCCTATCAAATTAGAAAAAGCTTGTATACAATCCTGCAAAGCAATAAAGAAAAGTCAAGATTACAATTGAACACATATTCTACAAGAAACATACAAGTATATGCATATGCGTTTATATACACAGATAAATATATATAAATATATTGTAAACCTCGGCACAAGTATCAAAAGGATGACGAATCTTGAGGAGCCAGTTCTTTCGAAGCATCGTTTTCAACTGTCGGCGTGAGGTTCCCATCTTCTTCCTTCTCTCCCCAAGCCCTAGATTCTTGATCAACGAACCTAAACCTTCTCACTCAGAATTAGAAAAATGAAAAAAGAAAAAAAAAAAAAAACAGAGCGAAGTTTTAGAGTGAGCTAAGTTTTAAAGGAGGAGAGCAGTTTACTTGAGGACTGTGAAGAAGACAAAGGTCTAAAGGAGGTGGCGAAGAGAGAAGAAACGCTTTATGGTTGAGAGAAGGCATTCGAGGACAAGTGCACAGACAGTTTCTCTGACAAATCAACCAAGCTGATAAAAATTAACAACGATAATAACACTAATGTTACTTTTTCTTTTTCTTTTTTTCGGAAGCTAACGCTAATGTTTCTTGCCAAAAACGAGAACAATATATCTTTTTTTTATTATTATTATTAATCTTGTTTTTCCCAATATATTAGTGGAGGTACGAAGCACGCGCAGTAGAGATTATATATCTGCATAGAATAAAAATCTTGATATATAAAAGGCGTCAAAGAAACGCGAGTTTCATAACCACGGTCCAAAATACAAATGGTGTTATTGGTGCGTGGAATGTAAGCAATGATGTTTGAAAGACAGAAATAAAGCAAGACAATAAATTGGAATTATACTCGTAAATAAACTCACATCGGCGACAGATTCACGAAAATGACACGCACTAGTTTGGATGTAGTAGGTGGTGGAGTGGAGTTTTGCCCATCTTATTTTAAGTAACGGAGATTTTATTTTAAGTAAGTATTATATAGAGTTGGTTAAAAAAAAAGTATTATATAGAGTCGGGAAGTAGGGTCCATCTTCGACATCTACTACATGTGTTATTGGCTAATGGGTTATATCTCAAAACCTCAATTTTGTGGCACCGACTTTGCGTGACGTGGCAGTATATATCGGCCCACTCTAGTTTAATAAAATATTAAAAGAAATTGAAAACTGGAAATTAAGATCTATGACGTGAAGTAAGTTCCAACAGACATTAAGACCTAATTCTTATGCCCCAACGAACTGTCAACAATCAGTCCATTTTGGGATGCTTAATTGTGTGAGGACCCGTCCCCATTTCCGAATTTTAAGTGTTAAAGTTTTTAGGCATTTATAAAAAAATATTTTTATTTTTCTATTTTTAGTGTTTAGTGTTTAATGATAAGTGATGTTGGTATTATTTAAAATTTTATTTCATTTTAAATAATGTTTATCATTTTAAATAATATTTAAATTACGTAATTAAATGCACTTAATTGAATTAACACTTAATCTGATTAAAATAAATATCAACGTACCATCTCATAAATGATTTGAATATAAAATTTGATTGTAGTGAATCAGCCCATGATAAAAAAAAGTTGAATAAGCTCAAGAGCTTTCAATAACATGAATATGTACTTTGATTGTATTGAATCAGCAAGTAATTTATAATTCATTATTATTTTATAATTTTTCAGTGGTACTGGTTATAATGTATTAATTAATTTATAAGTAATTAGTGCAGTGGATAATACTTATTTGGTAATTCTTGCTGCACAATTAAAAAAATTAGAAGAAAAAAATGAAATGAAAGTAGGGTCTCTTTTTTCTTATTTATTTTTATTTTTATTTTGTAATTAAAAAATACGCATGCTTTTTGTAATGAGACATAAGTAGTGAGTAGAGAGTACTTAATAACCTATTAATACTCTGTATTATCTATTGTGTTAATAAAAATACTTATAATTTTGAGTAAAAAGGAATATAAGATGGGAATAGCATAATACATTTTTCGTCCCAATTTAAATATCGCGATTGGAAATTGTGTCACGACACTTAACCTGGGATGAGTAAATGTGTAATCAACTTTGTGCTGCTGGACCCTCTTGGGGAACCTACAATTCCATGAATACCAGTCAGTATTGACAACGGAACTAGGAATGGGGCCGCAAACTTTTTTTATTTTGGTTTATATGACTTCTTTATAGGAGTCTCACAAACCATAGTCAGTGACTCGATGATGGTTTCTTATACTCCGTAGTTTATTCCATCTTCCATATGGAATATTCGAATTCATGAAATATTTGTTTATATATATATATATATATATATATATATGCTTATCCGATCGACAAAGAGCGAGGGGCAAATCACGAATGATATTTGTATTATACCGTCTGAACAACGGAGCGGTACTTAAATTCCCACTAATAAAGATATATATTATTTTCACTAGGGTTATGAATCAATAATAAATTATTATTTTTGTAATTTAATAAGTGGGTATTTATTCACCATATTAAATTTAGCAATTAAAGATGACATGTCTATTTATTATTAATTCACATTAATAATGAGAATGGTGTAAATATTGCTCTATATTAAATATGACGGTAACCATTCAGTATAAGGCGAAATTGAGTGTTAAATAAATATCTAACTATTTTTAAGGTATTACTCAATTTTAATGATATAGACTAGTTATTCTTAAAATAAAATAATAATAAATAAATAAAAGGATTGCATGCCAATATAAACAATGTGCATGTATCAAAATTTATTTTTTTCAATCCAAGGCACCAATTTCTCATTGAAAACAAGATTATGGTTTGAATATTCTAATAAAAATAATAATAATGTACGCTTTATTGTTTCTTTTACCATCGAATCATAAATGTGAGTGTTATAAATTACTACGAAAGCCTATAGTTGGTGTTTTATCTTATTCCATAATAATTGTAGATTGGTTAAAAGATTGAGACTTGTGATAAACGAAGCAGGAATACAAACAAAAGGACAAAATTTAGGAAGGATAGATATTCTTCAAAATTCCTCTCAATCCTTTCTTATTTCTCCATTTAAAATAATTTAAATACACTTCACGTTATCAAATTATTTTATTTTATTTTTTCAAGTTCCTCCAAATCATTCAATCTGTAACCTTAATAGGAAAAAAGGTCAAACATGCGGTCTTGAAAAATAATAATAAATAAATAAAGTGCCATGAGTGCATTGTTGTTATTAACGTGTGTTGGACGGAATAACATAATAAAAATATATGGACAATTAATGTTTCTTTCATTGAAGAGGGAAGGAATAAATGGTTAACGAACCCTCTCTCGATGCAAGAACAATTTGTTACTCGTTTTTTTGAAGAAGTGAAAGAAAGGGAGAAAAAAGTAATTTTATTTTTCATTTTATAAAATTTTGTCTTCCAATAAATTTTTTTCTTCTAAAGGGTAGAAATCACGCATTAACCTTTCACACCCACCGTCCCTACCCACTTTATTTTCAATCAATCTTTCATTTTACTCAAATAACAAGAGAATGACCTTCTTCTTTTTTTATATATACCAAAAACAATAATAATATATTTAAGGATAAAATACAAAAAAAACCCTCAACTATGTCTAAATTTACAAACAACTCCCTAAACTATATTTTGTGCCTAAATCATCACATTTAGTTACAAAATGTCCCATTGTCTTACCTATTTTCATTAAATAACCATAATACCCTTTCTTATTAAATTACACTTGATTTATTTTTCTTGTTAAAATAAATTATGAAAAAATTCATATTAATTTGATAAAATATTCTCCATTAAATTTGAATAAGTTTACCTTTAATTTTTTTAATTAATTATTTTTAAAAAATCTTAAATATAAATTTTGAAACAATTTAAGTAATTTCTTAATTTTCATGAATATATTGCATTCAAAACAATATATTTTTTATTTACGTAATTTATTAATTTTTTATGAATATTGTTTGAAAAAAATATATATATTTTTTTATACTAAATTTTTTAAAGTGAGAATAATAAGTTTTATTATAATAAGTTAATCATTTTATAAAATGATAGCTACAAATTTATTTATTTTTTCCTATTTTTATAATCAGTTGATACTGATTATAAAATTAAGGTAAATGGTATAATTAATATTTAAATAAGAAAAAATATAATAAAAAATAATTTAATAACAAATGACAAATTTAATAAAAAATGGAAAATAGTCTTTTGTAATAGGTTTGTCCTTAGCTGCAACAAATCAATAGTTTAGGGAGCAATATTTAGTTTGGGGTTAGTTGCAAAAAGCCAATAATTTAGGGGTTTTTTTTTTTTTTTTTTTTTTGACACTTTACCTCATATTTAATAAAATTAATTTGGGCTTCAAGCCAACCTTAAGCTTAGAAACAAAGTATTGAATCTCATATCCTCCCACACTCTAGTTTTCACATGTTGTGATATTTCATCTCATTTGGATTGTGTTGTTACAAAATATACCATATGATATGATATTGTTCACTTTGGGCCTGCGTTCGCACAGTTTTGCTATTGATCTTTACTCCTAAAAGGCCTCATATCAATTAGAGTGACACACCTACATATAAGCATTTCACATTTCCCTCACTCAGGTAATGTGGGATTATGCACTCGTAACTTGCCCAGTGTCATAGCCTGCCAGTGTCTTACACCCACCCACAATATCATCACAATCCATCCCTCTTGGAGGCCCAACATTGGCGTTAGCACACTCGACATACTTCACCACATGATATGATATTGACCATTTTGGGTCTGAACTCGCACGATTTTATTATTGGGCTTTATTTCAAAATGCCTCATATCAATTCGAGTGACACACTCATATATAAGCACTTCACCTTTCCCTTACCCAAGCGATGTGGAATTATGTACTTGTAACTCACCCTAATTTATCAGTGTCTCGCACCCGTTCATGACACATCCGCCCACAAGACCATCACAGATTGGTTAAAGGTTACGTTGATTAGTGGGTTTGAAAAAAGTTTGTAAGGAAGGGTGGTCTTATTTTTTATGCTTTATATTTCTATTTTATTTGTTTAACTAATAACAATATATCCATCCGCCCATCAATCTTATCCGCGCAAGAGAATGTTAGGTTTGGTGCATATGTCACCCACAAATCGATGAGTCTGTGTATATATTAAAAATAATAATAATAAAAGTATTCAATTATTTTTGGTTGGTAAGATTGAAAAAGAATAATTAAATACGAAAGGGGACCGCGTATCATCAGTTTATGATTATTTGGTGTTGGAATGTGTTTTTGAGATTGGAACAAATTAGGAATTAGGAGAGAGATGATTAATTAGTTGAAATATATATGACAAAATATTTAACAGAGCAACATTATTATTATTACTATTTTTATTATTATTTTAATAGAGCAACATTTGAGCTTACTAGCTTAGTAAGCTTACAAAAAATAAAAATAAAAAAATAAAAAAAATCTTATCCACGGTAACATCACATGGGTTATTTTATTAAATGAAAAAAAAATACATCCAATAATCGAAAATAAAAATTAGATGATAAGAAACAACCTATATTACATGTGAGGTGGTTGGGGGTGGGGGTGGGGGTGGGGGTTGGGGACCTGGGGTGGGCATGTGTAGGTGTTAAGCCTGAGAACACCAAATTGGAATTCCAGACAATTACTTTATTCGAATAATGTCAAAAATAAATATCTTTTTAATAATAGTCTTAGATTAAGGAAATGAGGACAATTTTTCTTTTACCACAATCATTTGTGTAAAGTGTTTGTATCAAAATTCGGTAAATAAGATATATATATTTTTTATGGCAAAAATGTTAGGGGTTAATGGTTGTTAGTGGGGAAAAATATATATATATATAATAGACACAATTAAAAAAATATAACTATTGTTAATAAATACAATGATTTTTAAATATCTCATTACTTTTAGATAATTAAATTAAAAAATTCAACAAAAAAAAAAAAAATTAATAAATTAAAATGGTAATGCATAAAGTGTAATAAGTATATATGCATTTCTACTCCACAATATTTTAGATTTGACGTTTTTGCTCTCATTCCGGCTGACTTAGTAAACAATACCTCAAATTCTAGTTATTTTCATGAATGTTAAGGCTCAAAAAATAGTTAATCTTGATGTCCCTTTTTAACGAAGAGTACTATAGACAAAAGTTACGGTCTAACCAACCTTTCATGCCCACACGTGACTTGGGGAACAAAGGTTGAGCTCCAACCAGGAAATTTCCTGCTGGGCCCAAATTGTGATTGACACTGTTTGGTTGGGCCCTCACTTTTAATCAAAACAGAAACATTGTAGGCTGCTGAGTGCTGGCCGCATTTCCGAACCCTTTATTTGACTGCCGAAAGAGGTGGGGTCCACCTTTGATATTGATAGACTTGCGTGCGTGAGGTAGCTTGTAGCTTTTAAGCTTCCACGTACATAATTCTAGCATTTATTGTGCAGTGTGCTTTATAGTAATAAGTTTTTTTAAAGAAAAAATATAAAAATATGTTTGATAAAAAACGAGTTATAAAGTTTGAAAAATATAATGGCTAGTTTAAAAAAGTTTATTTGATAGTTTTTTAATAAAAAAATTGTATTGTTCATTGTTGTAGAGTTTGTTCCTAAATTGTTAAAAATGTAAAAAAAAAAAAATTATTATTTTGACTTCAGGTCACTATTTATGAAGTGTTTCGATAGTGTACAAAACAAATTATTATATACCAAATATGTTGCGGGCAAAATACCCTGCGCAAAAGAAAAAAAACACAAGGTAAAAACGCATACCAAACATGTCCCAAGTGACCATCACCATGATTCCAGATCATGAATCTCTATGACCTTTACATATTACTATTAAATATTATAAATGCAACCCACTAAAGCCCAAATATAAGGGGACAGACTACGGCCCATTTATAATGGCCCTGATTTACAAAAGGAAACCCAAAGATAGGAGATTTTTTTTTTATATATTATAAAAAGATAGGAGAAGTTCGAAACAAAGAGAACGAGACAGTTCTTTAGCCCAAAAAAAAAAAAAAAAAAAAAAAAAGATAACGAGACAGTTTTATTTGATTTGTTGTAAATAACCTGAACAAACTTTTTTAACAATTAACCCCGTATCTATTATAAAGTGTGCAATTAAGGCCAAATTGAAACAATCACGTTAGTGGCGAGTCTAGTGACCTCTCTCTCTCTTATTATATACTTTTGAGCTCTGCGTTTGCGTCTCCAAAAATGTCAGCCGAACCCCCGTATCACCAACTTACTCAAGCCTATGAAAATCCAAATCCCATCTAAAGCCCTAATGAAACAATGACATTTAATTCTTTCTCTGGACGTCTATATACAGAACAGATACATCGGCAAACCCACCTCTGCAATGAAAATCTTACCTACATTCCTCCGACCAATCTTACAGTTCTACTCAAATCAACCAAAGTCTCGCTATTTCAACACTTCCTCATTAGATGCTATATCTGAAGAAGTTCTGAACATCGTTAACACACAAAGCCCCATGGAAGTGTGTCTCGAGAGGATGGTTTGTTTTCTCTCTCCCGAAACTGTAACTTCTGTACTTCAAGAACAGCGAAATAACCCCGAACTGGGTTTTCGATTTTTTGTGTGGGCAGCGAAAAGAAAGAAGTTTCGGAGCTGGGATTCGCATAATTTGGTTGTCGATATGCTTATCAAGGATAATGGGTTTGAAATGTATTGGAAAACTCTTGAAGAGCTCAATAGTTGTGAGGTTCCGATTTCGTCAGACGCCTTCGCAGTGTTGATTGCGGCGTATTGGAAGCTACATATGGCCGAAAAGGCAGTGGAATCTTTTGGTAGGATGAAGGATTTTGATTGCAATCCCGATTTGTTTACGTATAACATGATATTGCACGTTATGGTGAAAAAAGAAGTACTTTTGTTGGCTTTAGCAGTTTATAATATGATGTTGAAGTCGAATTGTGGTCCAAATTGTTCTACATTTAGTATTTTAATTGATGGATTATGTAGAGCCGGCAGAACCCAGGATGCGCTTAAGTTGTTCGATGAAATGACTCAGAGAGGTATACAGCCTAATAAAATAACTTATACTGTAATTCTTTCGGGTTTATGTAAAGCAAAGAAACCTGATGAGGCACTTAGACTGTTTAATACAATGAGAAGCAGTGAGTGTTCTCCTGATTTAATTATTTACAATGCTTTGCTTAACGGGTTCTGTAAACTGGGTAGAATTGATGAGGCGTTTACGCTTTTGTGGTCTTTTAAGAAGGATGGGTATGTTCTCCACTTAAATGGGTATAGTTGTTTGATTGATGCTTTGTTTAAAGCTGGGAGGTTTAGTGAAGCTCGTGATTTGTTTCAAAAAATGTTTAAGGAAAACATTAAACCTGACCTTGTCTTGTACACAATCATGATCCAGGGGTTATCTGAAGCGGGCATGTTTAAGGATGCATTGGAGTTGTTAAGGTTGATGACAGAGAGAGGTGTGATACCAGATACTCAATGTTACAATACTATGATCAAAGGGTTTTGTGGTATGGGTCTTTTGGATCAGGCTCGGTCTCTTCAACTTGAAATTTCAAAGCATGACTGCTTCCCGGACACTTGCACTTACACCATTCTTATCTGTGGCATGTGCAAGAATGGTCTGGTGGCCGAGGCAAAACAAATATTCAGTGAGATGGAGAAGCTTGGATGTTTTCCTAGTGTTGTGACCTTCAATGCTCTTATTGATGGGCTTTGTAAGGCGGGCGAGCTTGAGGAAGCTCACCTTCTGTTTTACAAGATGGAGATTGGGAGAAATCCTTCATTATTCCTTCGGCTTTCTCAAGGCACAGATAGGGTTCTTGATGGTGCAAGCCTCCAAACATTGGTGGAGAAATATTGCGAGTCAGGTTTGATTCTTAAAGCTTACAAGCTTCTTACGCAGCTTGCTAATAGTGGGGTCGTACCGAACATCACGACTTACAACATTCTGATCAACAGCTTGTGCAAGTCAGGAAACACACCCCATTCAGGAAAAAAAAAAAAGTTAGGAAACATAAATGGTGCTTTAAAGCTCTTCAAGGACCTCCAACTCAAGGGGCATTCCCCTGATTCAGTTACATATGGAACACTTATTGATGGGCTTTATAGGGTTGACCGAGAAAAGGAGGCCTTTGGGGTCTTTGAACAAATGACAAGGAATGGGTGCACTCCCAGCACAGCAGTTTACAGGTCGCTTATGACTTGGTCTTGCCGAAAGCAGAAGAACATTTCTGTTGCTTTTGGTCTTTGGTTGAAGTATTTGAGGAACCTTCCTGGCCGGGAAGATGAAGCAATTAGATTAGTAGAGGAACATTTTGAAAAAGGAGAGTTGGAAAAGGCCATCCGAGGCTTACTTGAAATGGACTTCAAGTTGAGAGATTTTGATTTGGCACCTTATTCCATTTGGCTCATTGGATTATGTCAGGCCAGAAGAACAGAGGAAGCCTTGAAGATATTTAACATTCTCAAGGAGTGTGGGATCAAAGTGTCTCCTCCGAGTTGTGTGGTGTTGATGAATAGCCTCTGCAATGAACAAAACTTGGACCAGGCAATAGAGATTTTCCTTTATACTCTTGATAAAGGTTTCAAGTTGATGCCGCCAATTTGCAACCGGCTGCTCAAGGGACTTCTTCGTTCTCAAGGGAAAGCAAAGCTTGCCCTTGATCTTGTGAACAGAATGAAATCTGTGGGATATGATTTGGATGTCTACCTTTACCCAACTACAATATCCCTTTTGCATGTTCATGGGAATTCACAGGAAATGGAAAATGTGTCTCCTGGCTGAACATGGTTACTGGAGTGCCAATGCAAGCATGAACTGGTTCTTTCACACACTGTCCAACTTCCTGCAACTGTTGTAATTCTCATCATTCCTGCAATCTTTTCCCCTTGTTAACCTGTTTCAACTTTCTAATCCCCATGATGGAGGTGCCTGTGATATAGAGTTGTCAGACATAAAAGGGATGACCCATTTTTTATGCCTGCAAAATTTTCATTACTCTCGTTTTTTTTTTTTTTTTTTTTTTGGGGGGTAGAGTATCATCAATAAATAATAATAGCATAAAAATTCATTTGGTTCTGTATTCGAAGGGAAAAAAAAAAATTTCAATTATGGTATGTTTTATATAGTCATCCGAAATACCTCTCGATATATCCTGGAGTTGGTGACAGATGTAGAACATCATCGTATCCTTGACAGTGCCATCGCACGCATTACTTGTTTCTGCAACAGATTATAAGATCAATGACTATGAGATTAAGCATCGTTTGTAACGTGTGTCTATATTTTCTGCTTCCATATTATCAGGTGATTCAACCAAGGGCCAATTATTCACATTTCTTGAAAACATTTCTACAAAACCCGAGAGTTGTCTTTTGATGCTGCACAATTACCTATTCTTTGCCATTATGCTCGAGTAACATGGATGATATTTAGAAAAGTTACCTATTCTTTGCCATTATGCTCATTTTCAATCAGAAAGAAGCTTCGTCCTTTGAATTTCTATGTAGCTCTAAATTTATATGAACAATTCCAAGTCTGCAGACTTCCAAAATTTCTTCTTCTTTTTTTTTTCTGGCAATCCTAACTTCTGTTTACTCTTTCTAACTTGGTTCTTGTGTAGCACATGACTTTTCTTCCAAATAAAGATCCCAAATGCCATAAACCACATTAATATTCTCCGTATTCCTTTTAATGAAAGATCTAATTGGTACTCCCAAGCTTGAACCTCTAACCTCCCTTTGAGAAGTAAGGACTTGATATGCCGTTGGTTGCAATCAACTCTTCATATTAATGCAATCTTAAGATTAACAAAAGAAATGGAGACAACTTCACATCTAGAAACTGAAATGAAGAAAACAATAAACAGCAGAAATTTCTTAATGTAAATATATATACATGAAGTGTCTGTTGTACCTTTAGCTAGAAAAACACACGCGACTGTTGCCTATCAAGGCGACTGTAGACTCTTTAAAGACGTTTGTGACGTTGTCTATCACTCTTAACAAGTAACAAACACGTCCAAATTTGCAGATACCATTTTGCACTTATTATATGTAATCACGATCTTTATGAAAGAGTTAATACTCACTTTCTCTAAACCTATACCAAAGAGGTCTTATGCAGCAAGACTCAAAATGCGCAACCAAATCCTTCTACAATGAGGGAGAGGGCAAGAAACACCACAATTAACAGTCTCACAGTCCCACAGCCTGAGAGGATAGACACTCTCTCATCTACTTAACAGAAAAGGGAAATCTACTCCGCACCATTGTATGCATGTGTACATGACATGCTCTGAAATATCGCCTGAAACGAAGCTGCATAAACAAAAGAACTCCTGTGTAACATTTTCAAAACATTCAGCATCACTTCTATTTCCCTTCCTTGCACAGCAGAGGCATTAACTTAAAATCCCCATAGTTGTAGAAGAGAAGGACTTGTCAATCCTCCTGATGGAAAAACTTATAATCTGAACCACTTTCAGTCTTTGTAACCTGCATCAAATATGTGATACTTCTAAAAGATGAACAATCAAAGGACAAATCAATGACGAGATAGATTTCACCTTCGCCTCACCAAATGAATAAGTGGTAAGGTCTTGAGGGGGGAAATTTTTAATGATTGACTCGTTTGATGTAACTGCCATTCCATGCCCTATTAGGTGAAGTCCTACCCCAAAGCTATTCAAAGCCATTTCATACAAGAATGCATGACCCAATTAACCCAGCAAATTCTCATAGTATCAGATTCCATGACATACTATTGAAAAGGTCTATTATATTCATATTTTTTTTGTAATAACCAAAATATCAATATGTGATTCCATGTGTACACCAGAACAGATATTATTCAGCTCAAAGCACCATAGTTTTATATATTTGGGGGTTTCATACAAAATACACTTTTATAAAAAATTTACAATAATAATTATCCGAAAGGACTATTCAGGAAATATATATAACCCAAAGGACTGCATTTTGATGTTGGTTCTGTTTAACCTAAAATTGATGTCAATTTTTGCATTAAAACTTTCTTTGTTATGAGTATTTGAATACAAGAAATATTATGTACCTCACACTGTTAAAATTTTAATGGGGTATTTGGAAAAAAAACTTCTCGACTTTATCATGGTGAAAATCCTAGTAATTTCACTTTCTTCATTCTATATTCTAATTTCTGAATGATTAAATGCTTTGATAAAGATAAACCAACCTCAGCAGTTCGAGTAAGGCCAGTAGGAAGAACAGGAGCAAAAGCCGTCCAAAGAATAGGGTCTGCCAAGGGATCAACATTGCTGTAGGTAGTTAGAAGTGGTGCAGACAAGAAAGGAGTCAATGGGTATACATTTCTCTGAAGAGGCAATCCACCACCCGCTCCCAATGCAACTCCAAGTCTCTCGCTTCCGCCATCATGACTGGATTTCTCAATTGCCTTGCCAGTATCCATTTTCTCGATAGCATTTTTGGTTTTGTTCTCATCATTATCGGTATAGTTTTCTTGCTTTTTTGATGCTTTTTCTTGCAAACTCTTGTAGGCTGCAGACCGGGACAAGATGCTCATTGCAGACATGGAGGATCTTTTAAGATTTTTTTCTTCATGGCACACGCCCAAACGCGGCATCTGGTATGGCTCTGTGTGCTGGTTTGCCCATTCCAGTGTTTTAAGTTCACTGCCAATGTCTTCCGAAGAACCATGCTTTGTTTCCTCTGATGATTTTGTGAGAGAATCTGCTTGACGGGATTTGTTGTGTCCCCACCACTTGATGTAACTCGTCAGATCAATCTTTCTATCAATACAAAACCCACCTACAAATTCACTTTCTGTTGCTGCATCATCACTTGTACCTGTAATAATAGACAACTATTAAGTTGATGATAGATACAAGAGGTGTTTGAATGAGTTATTTTAGTGAATTTGATGTCATGTAGAAGCTATCTAATTACATAAAACTCTTTCTGGAACTTCTTCATCTTTCTTACCATAATGTATGCTGCTGAAGTAATCAGGCCCAGCCATACGACTGAATGATGAATCCCATCGATTGCTTTGTGATAGCAGAAAATCCGGACAGAAAGAAGAAGCATATCAACAAATGCAGATGCATGGATATTTTAATAACTTCATGCATCTAAGAAACTAAAGATGGAATCTTCACATAAGAGAAAACTATAACTAAGGCAAATTGAGACTGTGAATGCATTGGATAAGTGTAACGGGTGGGTGCTTCGCGATCCAACCCAAAAGCTTAAGCTATTAGGTGGGGGCTAACACCCAACTCATATATCCGATGTGGGATAAGTCTTCCCTTGTAACATTCTCCCCCACCCGAACTCGCAACGCCCTTGTTGCCGTCGGGCTACCCTTCCTACTCAGGTGACTCACCAGGAATCCTTCCGGACCGGGCGCTTGGCGTGGCACCGGATCAAGGACTGTGGGTCTGGCTCTGATACCAACTGTAACGGGTGGGTGCGTCGTGATCCAAACCAAAAGCTTAAGCTATTAGGTGGGGCTAACACCCAACCCATATATACCCATTTCACTTCCCATCCGAATCCGATGTGGGACAAGTCTCCCCTTGTAACAATAAGCCATATATCATCACTCAATAGCATGCCAACCATTGAAAGTTGCAACTTCTTATCAAAAAACTATGTTACAGTAGTTACACTGTTAAGAAAAGGATGAATTGTTGACATTGAAAGTGATTTTTTTGTTTTTTTAAATAAAAAATAAAAAATCAGCAAAGGTTAAATATCATGAGCAATGTCACAAAGATCATATTGGGGTTAAATGATCTTGCACGGTTTACAATAAAATTAGTTTGGGAAAATCCTCTTACATGTTCATAGTAGGGACCATTGCTTGGAATCATGATAAAAGCTTGGGCTGTGAAAAGTTTGACGGTTGCCACTTTGTATGGATAAACCTAGAGGTAAGAAATTGAATTTGGTCCTCTCAGCATCTCAAAAAGACCAGGTAACAATAGTAATGGCCTCTTAGGTACCAAAACTTCGTGCATAGACATGCTTGAAACAAGAATATTTGAGCTGTGTTCTCAAAAACTTCAAAACTAGTAAAAATTAAAAAAAGCATGACCTACAACATAATCCTTAAAAAAACCAAAAGATACGTTACACAGACATGGGCGCACATACATTTATATATACTAGGAGTTCTCAAAACTTAGAAGTGTTCAAAGCAAAAAATTTGAGCAGTGTTCTCAAAAACCTCAAACTAGTAAAAATCGTAAAAGCATGATCTACAACATAATTCTCAAAGAAACAATAATATTTGTGCATAGAAGTGTTCGAAGCAATAATATTTGAGCTGTGTTCTCAAAAACTTCAAACCAATATAACTCATAAAAGCATGACCCACAAAATATTTCTCATAGAAACAAAATACATGTTACACATATATGCGCACGCGCACATTAATTTGGTGTACAAAAGCATACATTCTTGTGTATAATACACATACCTGGAAAGCCCGCGATATTTAGCGATCCCTCGAGAGAAACCGCTACTTTTTCTGCAGTACATAAGTTATAAGCAAAAGAACAGTTCCATTACAACATGAAGATTTGCCGAGTATGTACACACCTTCGAAGTGATGCAAGGTAATCTTCTCTCGAGACATTCTGCATCTCTTCAAGATCTCTCGAATAATCTGTAACCTGCACCAACCATTAGAGCATTAGCTACAAAAAAGGAAGAAAAACCACCAATTACTACACTGCATTTCAATTTTTTGAAAAGGAAAAAAAAAAACAGTTGATTATTAGAAACAAGTTGATAAGCTCATCAAATAGCACAAGAAAAAAAAAAAAAAGAAGCAAATTTCATTGCTTTTCAAATTTAATTGAAAAAACAATACGAGTTACAGTTATTAGGAATAAAAGAAAATTTTAAAGGATAGAACATGGTGCTTCCACTTGTCTTAAAAATTGAAAGTTTAAATCTTGACGTCTTACTGGAAAATTAATGAGAGTCCCAGGGCCCCAATACTTCAAGGCGGCAAGATCATACGCTCTGGCTGCAGCCTCCTCATCATCATATGCACCTATGGGTATGTGTTATCGCGTAAGAAAAAATTATTTGTTGTATCCAGGCACCAGCAGGTATAAGAAACACATGCATCAATCTACTTACCCAAGTAAACTGCCAAAAAATGGATTGTAACCAAGCAATTTCCAATTTCCATGCAATAAGAGAAAATTAGAGGGGTCAGATTTGATAAGAACCTTGAGTTCAATGTTAGATATGCTTACACAAAATATGAATACATATTCATGAGTGTGTGTCCATAGAAAGAAATAGAGACCTTGCTTTCCCTTTTTATTTTGATTTTGGTTCCAGGTACTTTTGTCCCAAAGATGAGCTTCATAGCGACCAGTCCATCTATGCCTATAATTTCATGAAACGAAAAGCATGAGTCCACAATTTTAAGAAGAAACATAAAAAAAAAAAATACAACCTTGGAAGATAAAAACTTTAGAGATACCAATCAAACTAAAATAGAGTACAAAAGGAGAAAAGAAGATGCAGAGATGAAAGAAATGCCGCAACAGTCTTGGGACTTTCAAAAGCACTTATAGCTCTGATCAGGTATAAATCGACCCTTTACTAACATATACTGTCATATCATCAACCTTGACATAATATATTACGATTTCATGAAGTTTTTGAGGAAAATAATTAATTTTTATATCACATCACAGTCCAACACTTCCAGAAGCAAAATTATGCCACAATTGCAGATTCATTAGGGTGTTCGGACTTCTCAAATGTCAATTAATGGAGCACAGTAAACAAAAAACTTAAAATTTGAAATTCAGGCGCAAGAAATACATGTGTGTATATATATTTTTATGTATGCACCTGGTAACACCACGGTAAATGGAGCTGCGCTTGCCGGCTGCACAAGGGGGCATCTTGCTAATTCGCTCTTTGGCAGTACATCCTCTCTCTTTCTTAGCCTTTTTCAGTCCTCTGTACAGTAAAAGTTGATCGCTTGCTGCTGCTATCACAATCGCTTCTGAACTTTCTCCGCCGCCGCCGCCGCCTTCTGTCTTTAAAGCAGGTTCAGGCGGAGAGGAAGCCATAGTTGACGCGAAACCCTAACAGAGAGAATCAGGAGAGAGAGAGAGAGAGCGAGTGTGTGTTTGTGGAACAGTGGAAGCCCTTTTTTTATTTCACTGCAGAGTATAACTACAGTGAGAGAGGGAGTAGGCATTTGAATTTACGGAAACTTCCTAACTGTTTTGTAAAAGACGATCCGGTGAACGAAAAGGAATTGTAACGGCTATGATAAGAACAAGGACTATTGTGTAATTCGAAAACGTTTTTGTTTGAAACTTGTATGACCGACCACGTGGATCTCACGCCACCTGTCTCCTATACACTATTGAACGACGACGTTCCGACCCAACAAACCATATCGGACAAAAAATTGGACGCTCTGGGGTGGACTTTCGATTTTTTTTTGGGCCGAAGCAACGAGCTATTTATATAATATATATACATATTATATTTAAATCTTCTATCCAATTTATTCATCACAAACTAATAGGTTGTTGATTCATTAAATTTTAAAAAATGAAAAGAAATAACTAAATTATCTATAATGAATTGTAACATTTAAAAAAAGAACAAAATATTTTTGAATCTTATAACTCCCGGCTAAACGAGGACAAAGCCAGGACAAAGGCCCCTGGTGTAAGTGAGCCTGATCAAAAAAGTTTGGACATCAGGCTTAGCTGTTGGACCTCATGCCCGCAGCCAAACCCAAAATTGTGACCCAATAGGTTTAATTTGCCAAGGCCGCTGTCAAGCAAGTTAAGCCCAATGGGACATCTGCCCCAACCCGCAAAGACAAGTCTGAGATATTGATATAACCAGGTCATTGATGATATAAAAGGAAATATTTTTATCATAATATAAAAAATACAAATGTTTAAAAAGTAACAAAAATCAATCACCAGCCCCCATCGAATATCGATCCGCAAAAAAATAATAATAATAAAAAAAAGCCAGAAATATATTACGTACAAAACTTGCTACCAATACCGGACACGGATAGACGGATATTAAATTAAAGTTTTTAGTCTTCTCAAACATACATAACACCTTTCTCCCTCAGCTTTAAAAATTCTACAGTCGGGCTTTTTCCCAACACTCCAAACATATGAGCATTGCAATTCACAGAGAATGCCCATCCTGCTCGGAACTGAGACCAATAAGCCACATATCTATTTGTTTTGTTAACAATGGCCGTTGCATAGAAGAGCAAGCGGTATCCTCTAGAAGCCCCAACCTCATTTTCCACTACTTGAAGAGAAGGCCAATTTTTTTTTGTGGTTCTTGCCATACTCCTCGGAAGCATAGAAGTCCCAAACTCTTGCACCTCCACGCTCATTAACTAAAATTATGTTATCTCCTCGATTTTTTGTGCATGGGGGATTTCGAAGCAGCAGCAGACTTACGAACAGCTGCTTCATTATTTTTGCTCGTTTTCGTCCACTCCATCTTTCTCTTTCCACTATCTAAGGGATGCCTGTTGAAATTCCCCTTTTTGTTTGCTCGTCCTGCCACCGATGCATGATCAAGATGTCTAGCTTTCTTCATCCTTTTAGCACCATCGTCAAAGCCAGCAGATTTATGAGGTTCATTAGTTGTAGGGGTGATAACATCACGGTTCTTCACCCACTTCCTCTTTCCTAGTTCAACTGAACCATTTCCCTCAGTCGAAATATCTGATTCCATGTGCTTCCTCTTCCGCTGCCTAAACAAAATTCAAGTTCAATAACAATGAGAAAATGTGATTTAAAAACATATAATATGGAAGACATGAAGAGTACAGTTGCGTATAAAGACCAGACCTCCTCAGAGATGGTTCTGGAACATTTCGCTCAACAACAGTAGTGCCACTATCCTTGAAATTTATCTTGCCATGATGACTCTGTAGTGTGAAATAAGCATTGTATAAATTAATAATGCACCATCCAGATGAAATCTAGACACATATATAAAGCTCCGTTTAGTAAAGATAGAAATTGGAATTTTTCTGAACATTCTAGAGATTTGGTTAGCAGGAAAAGGAAATATTTTGAGGCAAAATTGCTTTCCATAACAAACTAATTTTCCCATAAAATTTTCCACAAAAAATACAAGAAAATTTTGATTTCTTGAGCAAGTTTTATAAACTTACAATAATGCCCTTTCTTTTATGGTAAGTTTCATGATATTCAAACCATCAAATGGTAATTTCCCAAAATTTTCTTGAAAAAATAAATCAGAGGAGGGAAAATTTATTTTCCTTTCATCCACTTCATTTTCTTTTACTTTCACCCTCCACTATTAATTTCCTAAAGATATGATTCTTGGGCCCTATATTCAAAAAGGATTCTGTTGAATGATATAAACATTCAAGTTACACCCTCTCCAACAGTTTAAGCTTTTGAAGTAGATGGTTGTTAACATGACATCAGAGCCAAAAGTCTCAAGTTCAAACCTCACCGTCACCCTAATTAAAAATTGAAAAAAAAAAGGTGTTGGACCAAAAAGGTCGTCACACCTGAGGCTACACCCTCTCCAACAGTTTAAGCTTCTAAAGTAGATGGTTGTTAACAGATTCAAAACCTTATCCTTTTGTTTGTATGAAGTATTTATTTCCTAAACATTTTACGAATCCACGTAGCTGTATAATAAAGCAATACAGCCGAAGAAAAGTTCCGATGACACAGGATAAAAAATTCCAGTCAGCTGAAACAAGCATCACAACCTTAAGTGTACCAGCTGGACCTACAATTAGAAGAGGATAAAAAATTCCAGTCAGCTGAAACAAGCATCACAACCTTAAGTGTACCAGCTGGACCTACAATTAGAAGTGAATCTGTTCCTGCAACAAGCTTCGACTGTACAGATCACATCCTTAAATTTACACCTGGTCAGGTAAGATTTCTGTAGTAAAGAACTTCTCTCACTACAACGAAAATGACCAAAAATAGTTTTTGGTTGTAGTGATCACCCTTTCCTCTATGGACCAAGACCACTTGCCAATCCCCAAAGACATTTTTTTTTTTTTCTCACAACTGTGATTGTGTTTTCCCTTCACTGATTTTGTTGTTCATAACAAAATGCATGTCATAGCATTGTTAGGTTTCAGATAACAGTAAAATTTTATTTCATCAGATGTTGTTGCAAGTTTACAGGACATCAACATCAATAACTTTCAAGACAAACAGGGACTAAAGCTTAAGCCAATGCTAGCATTCTACCAAGTGTTCGGACAATACTGATTCTGGCATCAAAGGAATTATAAAATAAATAAATAAAAACACGGCGCCCAAAGAGATTACCTTCAAAATATCCTTGACAAAACCCATATATTTCTTTGGTGTAACCAACTCTACTGCAGCAAAACCACACTTCCGTATCATGATCTCCAGTACGACTGTGACCTGTATATACAGTGAAACGTGCACATTTCTAGCGCTTTTCAAGAAAGAAAGGTACAAGCACATGCACAAATATATATAAACAAGTCAATTTATTATGTTATTTTAATCCAAAACTACACATGCCTTTGATCTAAAATGATGCCGCGAGACAGACGACCATGGGAGTACTCCATTAAGAGTATCAGAAAGAAAATTTTGCAGCTCTTCTGATTGAAGGCAAGATACTAATACTTTTGCAAAGCCCAAAACAGCCTGTTAAATTTGTAACAATCAAATCATGAGAATTAACAGTAACATAATGATTGAAAATACAAATTAGGAGATAATGGACACACACCTTAATAACTTCCACTGCTTTAGTTTGCAACAAAGCTAAAACAGATGGAACCAGATCAGGTATCAAAATGACATTTGTATCGTTATATAGTAACACAGACAGTGCAGACACTGCTCCACTTTTTATTTGAGGGGAGGAACTGGAGAGATAGCCCATTATCTGAATATTAACATCATTATGAAACATCAGATTTCATCACAAATTATATGAAAAGGAAAACACAGTTGAAAAATACTCCTAATTACTTGGGATGCACAAGAATTGCAGAATTAGCAGTGATGCACAAAAATATGTCATTGCACAAGGAAGAATTCCTTACAGAGGAAGAACAAGTTCTTTCTTTGACCTTCCCAAGAGCTGCTTCTACTTCATGGGGGTTATATATAGATAGGCTGATTTGGTATTTGAATATTATTTTATCAATAATTCAGCCCTATTGCATATTGGTACTTGTAACTTATCGAGTACAACATAAATCTGCTTCCCTTTTTTCCTACAAACAGAATTGTTCTATTATTACCAACAGAATAGAATAAATAGTAACCCTCGCTCCAAGATAATCCGCTGAACAAGGGAGGTCCATAGCATAGTCATAATATAGTCTTTTCCTTTTCCAATGCAATAAAGTCGCATAGTCAATTTTATTTTTGATAAAGGGGTATTTAGGAAGACCATCTAATTTTCCGTAAAGGATCAACAGAAACCCGCTAATTGATCTTGTTACATGGACCTCCCCTATGGTTTCAAATATTACTCTGATCTACCTTAAAAAGGGCACATTGTAACACAGACCTCCTTTTTCAACGGTCAGAATTAGTCAACGATGGAAATCGCTGATGTCATGCATTTAATTTAATAAAATTCCAATATTGTCCTTCTGGGAAGTGAAACAACATCTGAACCTGGTAAAGTCATGAACAATTACAAAAATGCACTCATCTCTCCAAATATAATTGTTATGCAAACTTTACATCCATTTTCATATCCAGCACTCTCTTTCAATTGATTTTGTCAAAATATATGAAGCTCAGAACTTAAGGAGAAGGAAGAAGAAGATGATGATGTTTCGAATCCCATGGTGCAACCAAAATCAAATTGACCATCTTGATTAGGGCATTTTTGTTTGGAAATTGCAAATATAATTGTCAATTTGATAAGACAAAATCAAATTGAATCATAATTTAAATTTCAAGCAGCCAAATTAAAGAAGAAAATTTAGCAGTACTTTCTGCCCAAAACTGCATCAGATCTGACCCAAAAAAGACCAAGAATAATCTAAATCAACGGCTCTGGGAGGTCAATGCCGGCCTGACTGGTTTGACTCAATTCTCGGCAACAACCCCTCTCTCTCTAAATGGAGCTGTTTTCTCTCTATGTACTACGTATTTACATATAACTAAGTTGTTTTCTCTCACTACAACTGTTCTCTCTCCCATATAAAATACCCTTAAACTGCCATTTCATTAGTTGACCAAATCAATAAATTTAAAAAAATAACTAAATCATTTAATCAATTTCTAGAGAGAGAGATGTAAACCCACTTCAAGAACTTCAATGGTAATGTTCTTCTACACCCATTGTCACAGCACTCATCAATTCACTTTTTCTTCAATAGCATAAGCATCTCTATATACAAGTCAAAGCCCATATTTTTCTTCAATTTTCCTGATTCCAGTTTCCATATCTCAGCTTTGATTCTTTTTTTTTGCTCATGCAACTCTCAGATGTAATCTATGGCATCTCTGATTATCAATGCTTTAATCCATCTAATTTATACAAACCACATCAAATTAATCACGCAATAACCAACCAAAAAATAAACATTCCAATTGTAGTTGTGCTGTATTGGAATAGGAAGAGCACCCAAATTTTCTAACTCTTGACGCGAGAACGGGAGCCCTATTTTCCCCTTTGAAGTTGTTGAACAATGTTATTGAAACGACATGATAAAGATGGACCCTAAAGTCACTTCACATTATTAGTTGAGGGTATTTAAGTAAAATAATCAATTCCGTTAGTCCATTTGACAGTGCATCAGTACTAAGAGAGATCCGTGTTATATGGTTTGCTTTTTAGGGGAGGTCAGAGTAACATTTAAAACTATAGGGGAGGTCCAAGTAATCATGATAAACCTCAGGGGAGGTCAGTGTAATTTACCTTTAAAAATATGATTTTTTTTTCTCTTTTTTGTAGCCCAAAAAGATTGTGGGTACACAACAAGTGTTGCCCTCCCATGTACCTAGGTCCCTCTAACCCGGATGAAAGCAAGACTGGGATCCGAACTCCGAACTCTCGTGACATTTCTTTTTGTATTAAGAAAAAAAAAGTTTTTGATATATTGCCCAACATTTTCTTCCAACTCAGAGTTCCATATAAAAAATCCGTGATTTATATTGACAACGAAAAGCACCAACACAGGTAAGCAAAAACACTAAATCAAAGCAAGATAACAAAAAATGTTGAACAAAATAAAATACAAAAGTACCTTAGGAATGAAGCTAAAAATTACATTTATTTGCTAATATGATGGCTGGTCACACTTTAGTAAAGATTTTAAGTGGGTCCTCTTGGACTATGCTATGTAAGAATGATCTTTTATGTTTCAAAGGAGATGCCGATTCTTTATTTACAGTTCTAGCATTAACCGGTCCATTATACACACAGGACTTAACCCTAGTGGTATCTCCTCCTCCTCCATTTGCTTTCATACCCCAATGGGATAAAAAGGTGCAAGTGTAATTTACCAAAAAATAAAAAGAAAAGGGGAAAAAGACTAAAAAAACCGATACTTTTATTTCGAAGTAAGGACAACGAATGCACCCACCATGCCAATGAATTTGAACTGCGGCTCATCTGTTGTAGCAGATGATGAGTTCTGCAAGCTGGAATTCACCCAAAGGAGCATATCGTAAGCTGCTTTCCTAACTTCATCATTAGACTGCATATTGAAAAAACACAGAATATTAAAACTTACCAATTTTACTATGATGCCAATAAATATTGCTAATGTGCTGCCTTTCTGTCTATAGTTCAAGTAACCATCCAAGATCAAAAATTAAATTCCTCTTCAACTTAGAATAAATCTCTTGTTCTTCAAATGCATTAACTTTCACCTCCAATTACAATTATACTTAGTAAATTACGGAATATGTATCTATATGAACTTTAAATTATATGTACAGGTATAATACAATCTTATTATTTTTAAAGTACCATTAAAAATCAGGTCCCTACTTCCCAAAGGGAGGTCAAGGGTTTGAGCCTCAATGGAGGCGTGGGTGTGTGAGTACCAACTAAGAAAAAAAATATATATATATATATATATATATATATATATATATATATATATTTGGCATAAAAATTTCATGAGAACACTTATATAGATGTATAAGGGAATAATATGCATATTACTTAAACAAATTGGGATAAGAAGTACAATAGCATTCATATATTATTTCTTCATATATGTACTACAATGAGTACGTATTTTTGTCATTTCTTTCAGACATATCAACTATCAACCCCACTGAAAGAGTGATAACAAGAATATATGCAAGTACTTTTTAAGAAATTTTACTTCAGGAGGGGGCAAATTTATTTGCTTAGATTTTTTATTTGTAATTGGGAAAAAGCTTTATTGAGTTTAGCATTTCCTGTTTCTTCTCTCAAATCTAAATATAAGATTTAATCAAAGTACATTAAATTATTGCAATCAAATCATTCAGTAATAATATTTCAAAAAAGAAAAACATAGGTAAAGAATCAGATGATAAATGATTCTAGTTATGACTAAGTCATGAGCTATAAGACCACTGACTTCCCTGCTGAGGATTGGAATGGGAGTATTAAAGTAGTAGACCTTATGTTATTGTAGCGGCACACTGTTAAGGATCCATTATTTGTTCTCACAAAGTTAAGTGGAAATCTTTTAGCACTGCAACATATTGGAAGTTTTTTTTACATATGAAAATCAAGAAAATTCCAAATTTGTGTGGTAATTAAATTTTTTTTTTTTTTTTCAATTTATAAATATGCTCTTTTTGTTCAGTTTTGTATCTTTATTTCTCATGCAAGTGGAAAAAAACTAAACACTTGAACTATTCTAAACGCAAGTTAAAGTTCTTTAATGTCCAACTTACAGTATAACAAGCCTAAAATAAATTAATCGAATTAATTAGGTATAAAAGAGTACACAACAATGCCATAGAACCAACTTTTACCAAACTATTCTGACTCAATCCTTTATCAACAACTTAACAGGAAAGAGCTCTCTGAGGTCCTTTTTATTTTTCATGCTATTATACCTGATCTCTTTTTACATGGTCTGTCACTTTAAATTACTACCAAGTGGCAAAACTGTCAGGTTAAAATAATTGAAACATTGGGATAAAAGATACATAAGAGAAAGATATACAACTAGACAATAAACACTTGATTGGTAAACCCCTGCTGTGTTCTCAATTTTGAACACCAAAAGGCCTTTAAATTAACTTCCCAGTTATCTATAGATATTTTGATTAGCTTCACACTCACTGCATACATCTAAAAGAATTTAATGTGGCTGCAATAATCATTTCTTCATTCCACATTGCACAACAGAGAAGTTCATATGCATGCACAAAGTACACCAATGTACTCGGTATAGGAATGAGAGAGGGAGAACATCGACTTTTAAAAGAAAAAAGTAAAGAAAAAGGAAGGAGGGGGGATTTAGTTTCATCATGTAGATCTTACATCTTTTATTTTGAGGATAATCTCATTGAGAATAAGAAAAGCCTTGGTGTTTTCTTCATCAGAACTTCTCTGCACAAAGCATATTATAGTAGTGTTAGCAAAATTTCCATATTTCATCTGGAAAATCAGAGGTAATTGCACGAGACAAAAGCAAATCAATATCTCAGTCTGGAAGTCCTTATAGGTTAGTATAAATAAATTGTAACTACGACTTAATGAGCCAAAAGACACAGTCTAATTGAAATCCAAATATTACAAGGAACAAAAGCAATTTATGCAAGCATAAAGCTCAAGCAAGCGCTAAAAGAAAAAGGAATGTACAAATGGACTATTAAGGATACAACATGAGTTATGATAATATAACTATAATTAACTAGCCACTCTTCAGTTTTTTTGCCAAAGAAAAAGTAAGAACCAATAATAGAAGAGAGGAGGCACGAGGTGAAGTGGGAGATCTGAATTAGGGTTACTGGGTTTGTAACCTGACTAATATTTTCAAAAGATTGATTCAGTGTAACAACAAAGTAAACCCACTAAATAACCAACCACATGCAACCAACACAAAAATATATACATACATATATATATATATTACATATCATTCGGGTTCATAAGTCGGATTAGTTGGAGTTTAATAATTCGGGACGGTCTCGGGTTGGGCTTCGGGTTGCCTGACACAGTAACCTGAGCCCAGCCCAAAATGAAACCAGGTTGTTACTTTTTAACCAAGCCAGGACCGAATTGCAATTTACACAACCCAAGTCTGTTGACTTTGCCCACTTTAACAGTCAAAGGACTTGCTCTCAAACAAACACTACAAGATAGTCAAGCTTTCGAAAATTAACCAGATGGCCTTAATTCACAAGATTTGGGTTTGCCAAAATAATAGATTGCTTCATTAATGCAATTATGCAATGACATCATCACCATGTTACAGTTCTCATCTAGTGGAATTATGCTTGAGGGAAAATTCCAGAAAGGAAGTGAAATATTCAATTTCAAAAATTTATTGCTTTTCAATCATTAGCTAAAAAGAAAGAATCTTCAAACCTTTATTGTGTGGACCAACAAAATCTGGAAGCAAGCAAAACGGCTTTTAAGAGATGTAATATCAACAGGGGACTTCAGACAAAGTAATAAATCCATCAGCTCAGTGAACTGTGAAGAACAAAACCAAGAATGTTTCTGCACCATAGTAAAACGTAATGTAAGGCTAAGCAACAATGAATAAGTTCTTGAGAATTAATAATATGACCAACAGGCCAGTGGCCTAGCGGTGCCAAACCCCTACTTCTCAAAGGGAGGTCAGGGGTTCGAGCCTCAGTGGAGGCATGTGTGTGTGAGTACCAACTAAGAAAAAAAAAAAAAAAAAAGAAGAGAGAATTAATAATACGATTTTCTTTATAAAAAAAGAAAGGAAAGGAAAAAAATTCAACAATACATCTGTAATACCAAAGTGCTACTACAAACCTCTAAAATTCTGCTCAAAGTGTGGTATGCTTCATGCTGAGCAATCTCATCACTTTCCTTAAATACCAAAAATTAATAAAAATCATATCAGGATGGATTTACGATTCTACCGACACCATAGTGGTGGGTGAGACATGGCAAAGATAATACAGAAATTATGGATTAACAAGTTACCTGCAGAACATTTTTAATGCAGTTAAAGATTAGACCAACAAGATCCTCAGTAGCTCCTTCAGCAAAAGAAGATGCTAGCTCCAATATCAAACACCTGTATGAATTAGAATTACCAAAATTATTTATGAACATGTTTTAGAACCATGAAATTAAGAATATCTTTTGTTGACATTTTTTTATTTATCCACATATGTCCCACTCAGATATCTACATATAGTATAGACGCGTGAAAATAAAATTAAAAAATTAAAAAAGAAAAAAAAAAAAAAAAAGTGAAAAGTTAAAGTCCAACTAGAGGAAATAATTTGAAGGGGATGTGGTACTGAAGCAGGAGGTTAGTCTTTGCCAGAAATCTATCTATGTTACATCTTTATACTACATTAATCTTATTTCACATACTTCCTTTATACTTTCTTATTTTTTCCTTTCTTATTAACAAGAAATTCATCATTTCTTTCTTGAGAGTGCTATTGGAAGTTGCCAATAGAGAAGCAGTAACAGGAGTTGTGATTAAACATTTTATAGTAATAATCCAAAAGTTAGTAAGCAAATCTTTGCCACCACAACAGAAGTATGGCTCACAAATGGCTTAAAGAAAATATGATTCTTCGAGCACTAAAAAAAGTTTGAAATGGGGTTAGAAGAAAATGTTGAAGAACCCAACGGAGCCAAAAATAATTAAATGAACTAAAGTGACATTTTTAATGTCATACCACCACCAACCCAATGAATGGAGTTACAAAACATCTGATCTCGTTTTTAGCACTTAGTCCATAGACAATAATATCAAGATTTCAGCATACTATGTATTTGATTAAACAATTCTCTACTATGTTAATTTAATTTACTTGTTACTGATTTTTTCCCCCCAATAAAGGTAAATTACACCAAACTATCTTAAGGTTTCTAAAATTTACATTGGCCTCCTGTAGGCCTCACTGCCTCGGCTTTTCTAAAACTATACTAACCTCTACTGCCAAACTTGTTGCACTAATAACGCCAACACACTCGGCAGAATGTAACCTTTTTATGTTATCAAGTACTCTATTACCATTGTCCTATCGAAAAACCAGCCAAATCAGACCAAGCACCCATAAATTTCCCAAAAGTCATTGAGACATACCATGGCATTTATGAAATCAAACCAGCCTCAACTATTGAACGTCTTGGCCTACGGATGTTGAAGTAGTATGCAGCTACATCATTAACCACATATTTGAACAGAATTATTGATTAAAAATCAACCAAATTCCAGAAACAAACTGTCTTCCATTATGTAGTTGCAACACATTGCAATTCACTAAATTTCTATTTCTTTCAAATTTCCTCAACTTCACTCGCTTTTTGTATTTTATAATCAAAATTGGATATCATAATCATCACTTGTCTTGGTTGTCTGGAGGTGACCCGAGTTTAGGTTTCAAATTTTCAACTTTTATACAAATGAAAATTATGAAAACAGACTAGGGAAAAAAAAAATTACGAAAACGAACTAGGAAAAAAAAATTATGAAAACAATGACTAGTTCGTTGCCACATCAGAACAAATGGCAACATGTCAGGTGGAAAAGACAATCGGTGAGGTAATCATAGTTGCCACTGATGTTGCCTATCTAAAAGTTTTTTCTCATTTTCAAGACGAAAACTAACTGTGTGCGCGCGCGCGCACCAATTGCAGAAATTAGTCTATTGGTATCAGTAATACATGAAGCCAAGATGTGGCTGTGTTAAAGAGGTGAAGACAGGCAGCAATTTCAAATGGAAGAAGAGAGATGGGGGTAGGGAATATTGTTGGATCAAAAAAGATTTACATGCCCATCATGGAGATACACCCAGGGGCTAATAATGCAATTCATTTCACCAGTCATAGGGTATAATAAAATATTAAAACTGTTAAAAATGAATAGAGAAACAAAGTAATGAAGAACACAAGGCAAGAATATACGTGGTTCCGCTACTAGGGCTGAACCACGGCACACAAAGCCCTAAGGGCTACATCACTTTTATTATAAACTCTCTTTTTCATACTCAAAACAATGGTGGAGGCTCCTCTATATAGGAGAAGAAATGATGATAATGGAAAGAGATAGAAAATAGGAAACAATCTAAATACAAGAGGATTATTTTCCATTGATTCCTCAGGTAACGGTAAAATCTTCAATAATAGAAAAGATCATCAATACTGGAGGATTTTCCTCCACTGATTCCTTCAGTAAATCTTCAACAAAAACATTCATTGACACAATGATAATGGTAAAACTGGCATTTAAAAGTAGGCAATAACATCATCAATTTGCTTTACTAATGGTTAAGGGATGCTAATTGAAGACTGGAACAAGTGGTAATTAGAAGGTAACTATAGAGGCATGCAAACTTGCATAAGGTAAGAAAACGGAAAAACTAGTGACTTTGATCATGTTAAGTGTATCAAAATTGATGAACATGCATAAACGAGGTGAAAGAGCTTTGTCAAAGATTGTTTAAGAAATCACATGGCCCTTACGTTCAAGAAAATTTGTAACATCAAAGAAACTATAGAACAACTTTTCACTGATTATGGAATTTTCGATCAAGGTTGCCAAAGCAAACCCCAAAGAGGCTAGGAGAGTAAAGAACATGATGCCATCTATGTTTAAATAAATTGTTTTTTAAAAAAAAATCATAGACACAAAAATGCTTAATGAATAAGAAGTATTTCATTACCCAGTTAAGAATGAAGGGGATAATTGAAGCTGCTGGAAGACCAAAAAAAATGTGATAAACGAAGTTTCAATTACAAAACTGACACAAAAAAACTGAGAAATACCTCTCTGCATCTTTATCAGCAAAAGGCGTGCTTCCTTGTTCTTTATCAAGTAAAGCATTGGAATGACTCCCCAGCTTTCCATATTCACCTAAATCATTCACGAACTGAAATCGCTCAAGTGACGAAATGAATATCGCTTTGGTTACCGAAGAATCAGTGATGGATGCTAAGCATCCAATTGCATCCTGAGATTAAAATATGAAATAAAATTTTAAAAAATGAAGGAAATTATTATTTTTTTTTTTGATAAGTTAAAAAAAAAAAAAATGAAAGGAAATTATGAACATTTACAAATCATCGCAATGACTAATATTCAAAGATCATCCTAGATAATTATTCTAACACAAGTTATATTTCTTAAACAATAAATAGTTAAGTACATCTGAGAGCAGCTGGATTCTTGGCGAATAAATCATATATACAATCAAGGTAGTATTTGAATAATGTGATGCTTTGGGAGAGGTCACAGCAAAGAAGACCAGCAACGACTCATGTTGAGTATTAATATATGTACAACTGCATGCAATCATACTCCTGAATGTATATTATATTTCACAGGCATTAAAAGACAGTTCAATATTTCAAGTTATAAAAAACAAAGACACGTGCTATGATCAAACTATTCACAGAAAGTATTTAATTTATTACAAAGAAAAAAGTGACAGATAAAATTGACTTTTAGAAACAACTACATATTTTAGTATCGTTTTGGTAAATAACAACAGTTATGCATATAAAAGGATAATGAAAAGAATCAGAAATAAACATAGGAAAATGCACAAAGCTACATATCATGCAATAAGATAGGCTTCAGCAAATCTCATCCTCAATAGAAACAGAGGAGACCATAATATTTCCAATGAGAATAGACAAGAAGAAAAAAAACTTGCACATGATCATAAATAAGGAGCACACAAACTTTCAGTATAAACCATTTCAAAGCAAAAATGAGTATGGTATGTAAAACCTTTAAAATTGCACGCTTCTCAGGAGCTGAGTCAAAAAATATATCCGTTAAAGCTTGCAGCAACTCCTTAGAACATGATGCCAAAGCCCTGATGTTTCTGCTCGCAATTTTCTTTGAATAAGAGGGTTTTCTATCAAATTCTATTGAAGAATCTTTTACTTCGCAGGTCTTTGGAAGTTTTACAAACTCACCAGCACCCTGATTAGATCCAATTATATTTTTGTTTTGATCCACAAGTTCCTATGTGAAAGACATCATGTATTAAGACCAAATCAGATCAAAAACAAAACAAAAGAGACATTAATCTTCCAAGGAAAATAAAATAAAAGCAGAAAATTGAAGAGAAGTACAGAAATTTGATATGGTAAATGATTCAACCCAACCTGCAAAGCGATGGCGATGGTTTTGAGCATAAATGATTCCTTAAGAAAAGTAATTAAAAGGTTAGCTAGAGGTCCAAAATTTTGATAAGTATCAGTCGGATAGCGACAAAAGGCAGGTAAGAGTTCAAAACAGCTAAGAGCATGAGCCTGCATATCATCTCCAGTCACTCTCTTTTTATCTGGCAAAAAGCACAAATTAAGTTCCATACTTAAAATAACCACCAATACAAATCAAGGATGAAACTAGTTCCAAGAAATTAAAAATATGTCGTCAGGGCTCATTAGGCATTACATGCAGAAGTACTGATATTATTCTATAATTCAAAGGGACGTAATCTTAACAATATCCAGATCAGAAAAAGTTCTATGAATATCTAAGCATTTACACCTCCCTAGGCAAATCATGGCGCCACGTAAACCTCGGAAAGTACACACCTTTAAGTTCTGCCACCAAAGAACTATAGAAATTCTTATGGTGACTGATGCATGAACATCTTTCAGTACCAAGTATTAGAGGATTTCATTGGATACATTCTGATAGGAGTTTTTGCTGTATTGGTCAAGTTCATAATGTTTGGTATCAGAATTTTTGCAGAAACACGGGGTCTACGACAGTCCTAATTCCTAAAACTGTCATAGGATTTGATTTAACGTTTGCCATCAGTCCCAATAGTTTTAGAAAATCGATCAGGTTGGTAACACATATCAATCCAAGAAGGGGGGGGGGGGGGGGGGGGGGGGGGAAAAAAAGTCAATACAACTGTAATTGTTAATATGTCACCTGGAAGGGGCCCAGGTGATGCCTGGATTCATAGGGTTCTTCAAAACACCAAGGAGACTCCTAGATAATACTATGATGCCAAGCACTCTTCATTCATTCTAAAGCTTTGTAGGTTTATTTTGGATTTTGCTTTTGTTTCATAAAACATTAAATATTTGTGGACCTGCGACCTGCTTTACAGCAGTAACCATGACAGCCCAATATCAAACGAACAAATTCTCAGAAGAAGATCACTAAGGGCAACAAGATTAATGAATAATGTACCAGAACCAAACCAAATTAAAAGGGCAAATCCTCTGTTTGACGTTTGAACGAGTACCTTTCTGACAATACTGCTGAAAGGATTCTGCAAGAGGAACAACATGTTCCATGTAGAAACCCAAGGATGACCCAACAACATAATTCTTTAAAATTGGTATCAGCCAGATGTTTGAACAAGTTAAATCTTCAGCATTCAGAGAAACAGGTAAAAGCGAAAGTATCTTCTCTGGTCCAACGGCAATAACAGCAGATCCAATGCATTCCTGAAGCTGCAAGTGATATCAATAAAAAAATGATTCATTGACTAACGAAAACTTGCGAAACTGAAAGGTGTCTGTCCATAACTATAAATTTAATAACCACCCACGTATTTAAGCAAAAAGCATGGCCACTAACTCCATATTATTTTTAAAATTCAATTTTCAAAATCAAAGCTAAGAGTACGCAAAAAGCAAATGGCTAAATCGAAAGCGGCAGGCTGAATAATTTATTTCCCAGCACTGTTAAAAACTTAAAACCAACATGGAAGACTTGACCAAGACTATCCCGGTTTTTGCGAGGCAAAAATCCTGAAAAAAAAAAAAAAAAAAAAGGACCATTATGAACTAATCAATCTTGTGTACAAACGGACATAGGGAAAGGACATGAGACAATATGGAGACATCAACACGGTGAATTCTATAGGTAGATAACCAAAAAGGCTTCTCTAGCCTCTCGAAAGAGACAACAAGACCGGGTAGCTTGGTTCTAAAAGCATCATCCCACCCAACAAGTACAGAGATCAATTGTGATCGTGATCAAAATCACATTGATGTAATACCTGCATATACTATCCACTCACTGCCCAATGAATTCATATAACCAAAAAAAGTAGAAGAAGAAGAAGAAGAAGAAGAAGAACTTCCAACCGGCAAAAAAGATCAATCAAGAATAAAAGTCTAAGTCAAACCTCTTAATATTAAAGTCATACCCATCATTTCATCAGCTGGGGGGAGAAACAGATTTTGAAAGACAAATTTTTGAAGGGTCTGACTGCTACAATGGAATCAGAACAATTTAGGTTTCTCAAATACTTGTTCGAGATGATAGAATGCACAGCTTGTCAAAGTCCAAATATCATAAATTATTTATAAATAAAAAAAATAAAAAAACTATCATTACTCCATCTCGCCACCACAATAAATAAAAATTGGATGCGAAAGAAGATGGATGGCTTAATAACAATGCAGATCTAAATTCACTACAGAGCTAACTAAACTACATCTTATACATTTATCATTTCTCTTTAAATATAGAATAACACGTAGTTATTAGTAATGGGAAACAACAATAAGAAAACAGATTAATATATAAAATTGAAGTCCCCATTTCAAACTTAAATCCATGTTAGTATGACTTATTAGCTACAAACAAGGAAACTTCCCTCAATACTTACATGCTTCGTGTCAAACTTACTGCTACAAGCAAAGACCATGAAGTCAGCAAGTTTATGGATTATACTCTTCATATATATATATGAGATCTCACCTACAAAAGCATAAACATAAATAAAAATAAGATAAATAAAAAATCATGGAACCATAATTAAAGAAAGATACACGAATGCATTAGAGATTGTGACTTACATTAACAGGAATGAAGGAAAGCAAATGAAGGGAAAAAAAGCAACAACAACAACAACAGTAAAAATGTCTACACGAAGCCATAATTAGAGAAATAATATTTTCACTACGTAAAGAACTTGAGATAATTAGCATGCCCATGAAGTTTTTAGAAGAAAAAATGACACAGCAAAAGAGGACACATTAAACTGTGGGTGTGCTCTTCAAGAAACGATCCATCTTAGGTCCTAACTCTCAGGGTCGTTTCGAGGTTAGGTTCCTTTTTAAGTGCCTTTCGGTTGATTCTGGAGGCCCTTTCCCTTGGAAGTCTATTTGGCGATCTAAGGCCCCCCTTAAGGTTGCCTTTTTTGCTTGGACTTCCGTCCTAGACAAGATTTTAACCCAGGATAATTTGAGGAGGAGGAATCAGGTGGTGGTCAATCATTGTTATATGTGCTTGTGTGATGAGGAGACAGTTGACCACCTTCTTTTGCACTGCAGCATGGCCAGAGACTGTTGGGATTTGATGCTTGGATTATTTGGGATCCATTGGGTTATGCCTTGTTCCTCTAGAGGGTTGATTAAGGCTTGGAGAGGTGTCTCTGTTGGGGTTCTCATTCAGGAGGCTTAGAGGGCTACGCCTCTTTGTATTTGGTGGTGCATTTGGCTCGAGCGAAATAGGAGATATTTTGATGGAAAGAAGAAATCTATTTCTACGCTTAAGTTCTCTATTATTTCCACTCTTTTTTGTTGGGTTTCAGGGAGAGATTATAGATCTATTGAGGAGATTATTGTATTTTGGCCTCTTTGAAGGTTTAAGGCACCTTGTGGCCCTCGTGTTTCCAATGGTTCCGCTCCCCTTTTGAGCGTTTTTATAAAATCTTACTAATCAAAAAAAGAAAGAAAAAAAGATCCATCTTAAAAATGATCTACATATTGTTATAGGGGTTCTACAAATAGATCTTTCCAATCAATGCAATTGTAGATACCATATGCCTCAATTTATTGGTCACCCTGATCCTTTGATCAGTAAGCAATTTGTAAGGACATCCTACTTGAAAACTTTAGAAATAAAAGTTTAAGTAGCAAAATTAAACAAATAAAAGAGGGAACCGGCTAAGATAGTTTGGCTATGTGCATAGACTGCCAGTAGCTGTACCAATCAGGAAAGTAACGTTATCCTTATTGAGGGGTAATGAAATGGGAAAGGAAAGGCAAAACAAACATAGCTTGACAGATATAGAAAAGATGTGACAGCATGTGACTTGATTGAGACTATAGCTTTAGATAGAATGGAATGGTAAAACAAGATTTACGTAGCCAATCCGAAATAGTTGGGAAAAAGTTTTGTTAAGTTCAGTCTAATTAGCCTATCTGACAATTATGTCAGCTTCCGAATATCACTAATACAAAAACTAACTTAATGAATCGGGTCATGCTTTCAGAAAGTTAGGAATCAACACACAGCAAATATTGTATTCTACAAGCATGTGGGCTAATCAGGATGAGGGATGAAAAAGGGAAAGGAAAATTAAAAAGCGTTAAATAACGTAACCTATGAAAGGAAATATTCTAACTCCTCCAATTTGGTTTGGTATAGCAAGAACAAGAGAAGGAAGGTAAAAGATGTGTCCTGATTTTAGCATTATGCTACAATAATAAAGGAATGAAAAATACTCAATTCTAACAAGAGAGAGAATAAAATTGAGTCTGAAAGCAACCATTTTGTAGAACTCTTACCAAAGGTTAGGTTTATATCTAGTCTACCTCTTCCAATACCCCACATTGACAAAACAAATAGATAAGTGTTTTACTTTTACCTTTCTGTATAAGAAGATACGTGTTATTTGAAGTGCCAAAACATTAATAAATAATAATAAATAAATAAAGGAAAAGAAAAATCCTTCCCAATCCTAATTCCCATCTAGTTCTAGGTGGAAATCATTTGGTGAACCTGAAGGGAAAGTTCACCCTCCATCTTTACTTCACCATTGCCTACCTAAATTTATGTAAGACCCCAGGGATATGAGGGGCAACCAAGCTACAAGCATAGAGCTGATCACATGGCAGAAACTATCAGCTAAAAGACTCGGGCTGCAAACTTGAATCTGGTGAGTTAGTAATGGAAAATTCGTCAAAAGGCCCTCAAGAAGCAATTATTTTGCCTTGTGTCATAAAAATTAAGCTTGCTATCTATCCTTTCCTAGTCTGGTTGAAGCTAGTCCACTCAACACTTGTGAACTAACACATTAGCAAGAGCTATAATAAATTAAATGAAAGAATCACAAATGGGGTTCCAAAGTAAACTTATTAGTTGTCTGAATCCATTTAAGTAGTTGAGTTGCAATTAAAAAGTTTCCCTTCATCTTTAACTAGAGTAATTATATCCGAAACAAGATAGGTATTATTGCAGCCTCAATAACGGTGGTGGCAAGACTAAGATGATAAACAATCCATCAGACACAAGGAGAAGTCAAAGATGCAAAACTTGGTGCAAAGGATGGATGAGGTGATGCTAAGGTAAATGGATTTATAGAGAACTGAACAAAAAGGTCAATCTCATCAACAGTGATCAAGGTAGATGAAACATAAGCACAATTTTCAAGAGGTTGAGTGCAATATGCTAATGTATTTCTATCACAAAGGACAGGAAATAAAGAAGCACAAAACATTAGACTTAGAAAACCAAATAATTCTTGGACACCGAAAGGTGAATAGCCCCAGTTCAAAATCAAAATATCAACTGCAGTATGCTAAATGCCTAACTGCAAAAGCCAATGAACCTGAAAATTACTATCTATTACATCAGTACAAAATATTTCATGGTTGTGGGTGGTCAGTTGAGTATTAAGATAAATTGAATCCAATATTCCATGTAGCTTTTAGGTGTTAGACTGGATAACTCCAAATCAACTTAATCAATGGATTCGAACAACCAATGCAATCAGTCAATAATTTGATTAAAAGTTCAAAGCAGTACAATTGCCTCAAGGTCACTCTATACATGTCATTTGTAACTTTACATAACTAATAGAAACAATTAGATAACATCACAGGAATCAGTAACACGGATGCAGAAGAGACAATTTCCAATGGCATAAAAGCAGTTTAATGTCGTTATCTCTGCAGAAAACCACATACCAAGTTTAAGGAACAAAACAGATACAACTGCCAAGATATACTCATTTGGAATTCCACCACGGGTGCTTAGCATATGATCAAATATACCACATATGGATTTCAGAGCACTTGATTCCATGCTAGAATTAACTTCACAGTCGACTGGTTGGTCTTCAACGATCAAACAACCTCTTCTATCAATGTGGCAATTAATCAATTCTTTTAAAATAATTGAAGCATGTGAAGCTGTACTGGCATCATATGTCAGAAGACCTAAAGGATACATGCATTAAGTTAGTACCTGCAACATGCACAGTATGAAAACATGGTGTAAAAACTGAAAAGTGAAAACAAACGGCAATTCACAGAAATTAACTGAACGATAAAATTTTTTTTTTTTCGATCCAATCTCTCTAATGAAAAAACATAACCATAAACATAAATGTTCATTAATCAGAATATCAGTTTTTATCTACACAGCGTGTGCGAATTTCTTACATGTACAGGAAGTTTGGATCTTTTAGAACAGTCTAAGCAAAACTGTTTGAACTTTCTATGGATTAACAATACCAATATAACATTTTCAAAGAACACAAGATCATACCCGCTATAGAACCAAAAACCAAAGGAAAATTGCTGATCCATTTGCTCGCTGCACCAGAATAAAGTTTGTTGAGACCATTTTTTAACAATGTTGCTGCAGATATAAGTGTGTCCATCGGGTTCCTCTCCCCATAAGACAAATATGATGTGAGAGATTCTATAGTTTCTTCTGCCTCTTGAGAAATATCATCAGTGCTTGAACTTTCTAAAATTGCCTCAATAGTATTAAACACGTGCCTTGTCAATGCTGAGAACTGGGAACTCATAAGTTTATGCAGTTCTCGAAGAACTTTTAAACTGACTTTCAAAGAAAGATAAGGAATGCTAAGTTTCAGTAAATTAAGTATATAAAGGACCTCCAGGTGCTCAGGTTTTGACAGCGCTTCTTTAGGTCCATCTACAGGTGAAGCACTTATTTTAACCGCCAGCGGCATGTAACTTTTGAGCAAAGAGAATACCAATTTACTTGCCTCTTTTATAACAGCTGAAGACTTAAGGGACTTGAAAAACTTCACAAGACATTCTTGAGCACATCTCCGCACCTGCAAAAACATAATCAGAAGTAAATACAAAAATCAAAAGACCAATATGACCAATTTATAAATAGTTCACACCATTCCTGACGGATTTACTTATGATCCCGGTCCCTGCTGTCACATCTTACTGAATCCATTCAATTTAAATTGGTGTTTTACAGAGACCAAAGAAAATATCTTTTTCTTAACACTTTGATATTAGACCAGCACTAACTATGAATCATTTAATCTTGCTGCTAGCTATCATAAATATGTTTTTTGAACCTAAAATTATATTTAGAGCAATTGTTTGAAAAGAAAATTAATGGAATTAAGTATTGCAAAGCAACAGAACAATTACAGCAATCTTAATTGATACAAGTCATGTCACAATTGAGTAACTCTAACAACAATCAAGAACTAATATAACATGTGAAGATTGAGCATTATTTACTTGTACAATTCCTAAATACCCAAGAAAATAACCAATTCGACAAATTATGTACGATATTCACATAACATATGTTTGTATGTACAGAAAGAGAGAACAATACCCTTGGGTGTTTATCAATTGACAACACAAGAAGTTCTGAATCCCAATTTAATCTATTCCAATCCTCCAAATCACAAAACCCCCAAAATTGACTAATAATGCAGTTGTTTGACACAAAGAAACAGACTTATTACGGCAACCTTAGTTGATACAAGTCATAACAGAAGAAAGAAACTCTGCTGAAAGCCGGGAACTAAAATAACAAAAGAAGAGCGAGCATTATCTAGTAGACAATTATTAAAAACCGACCAAAAACTCGGCAAATTCAAAAAAATCATTAACGTATATGCATATGTAGGGTTGTATGTAAAGAAAGATACTGTAGAATAATACCTTCGGACGCTTGTCGATGGAGAACTTAAGAAGCGCCTCATACCCTAGTTTAACCGATGCCCAGTCCTCCAAATCACAAAACCCCACCAAAACCCCTAAACACTTAACTATGGCCCTCAAACTCGCAGTCGACACCGCCTCACTCGGCGGCTCCAGCATGTCAACAAGAACCGATACTGCGTCTGCCGCCTTTGCAGGCGCAATCGACTTCTCAGGGACCAGCGGGAGCAAAATGGCAAGAAACGATGAAAGGGCATTAATGCCATTGGAATCTAGGGTTTTAGAGGACTCGGCGATGGTGGAGATGGTGGCGGCGAAGTAAGAGAAGGAAGTGAGGGGCAATGACTCCGATTGAATGATGGAGCGCGTCACGGCGGCGGTGGCGCAGAGGTGGCGGTGTTGTGGGGCGGAGGATTTGCCATAACGGTCTAAAAGTTGCTGGCATATGTCTGAGGAGTCTGTGAATATTGTTGCTGCGTCTGCAATTTCATGGTGGTGGTTTTCTGTTTCTTCCACGGACTCGGTGGTGGTTTTCTGTTGTTTCTTCATGGCGTAGTCTGAAGAAGTGTGAGACACAGTCGAGAAGGGCTATATAGGGTTTGGGCTAGAACTTTGAAAGGTTTTAAAGCGGGGCTAGGGTAGAACCGGCGAACACCCGGTTCACGAAAAAGTCATATTAAAAAATTTAATTAATTATTAATTATAAATAAAAAAAATTTAAAAATGGGAAATGTAACAAAATGTATGGAACAGAAACAGCTTTTTATGATTTTTAAAAATTTAGAAAACAAAAAATTTGAAATGAAATGCTTTTCCACAACTATATATAATCTTTTTACAAACATTTTTGACAAAAATACAAGAAAACTTTGATTTTTTTTTTAATATATAAAAAGTGATATAAACTTACTATTATGCTATTTTCTTTTGTATATCTAAAAAAATATATCTGTGTGGATATTTTTTTTTAAAGAAAAAATGGTTTGATGATTCACATTTCTTAAGATGTCTTAAACAGTCGTTTATTTAGATTCCCAAATTACTTTTTTTTTTAAGTTTAATATATTATCGATTCAAGACAAATTTATGTAAACTTGTAATTTCATTTCATATGTAAGGAAAATTTAGGTTAGCAATAGTATTCTTTTGCAAATTTAATGCTGTATAAACAATGAAATGAAAATCAAACGAAATGAAAAAAAGAAAAAGAGAGATGAAATCAATGGTAAATCAACTAAAACTCTATGATCACAGAACTCTTATTGAATATGTTTATTCAAGTTGGACCCACCCTATAAATTTTTTGGGTGCAATTGTAGGAACAAAAATGAAGTGTCATAGGTTGTTGGCGTTGGATCATTTTATGTAGGACGGTTCATTGGTCGTTGAGATTGGTAACATCAACCTTCAACCTGCAAGGGGGGCCTTTTTAAGCGAAGTGATATAAGTGGGAGATCCACAACAATTCCCTAAATGGGAAGACAATAAAGCTCCATCTTGGATATTCCAACAACCAAACAAGATACTGATATATATTTTGATAGGTCTTTCGACCTTAATTGTTGACTCTTCATTCGAATATAACGTGATTGAATTCCATTGGAACTCTTAAAAAAATTCTCGTAAGTTTCTCTTTCTCTTTTACTCATTCCCAACCACGTTATATTTAGAGAAATAGTTGACAATTGAAGTCGGAAGATCTATCACTTCTCGTTTAAATTTTGTAGGTAATATATATATAGGTGTGTAATAGTGGGGTCATTTTAATTTGTTAGTCATACATTTTTTTATTAGAAAATGATTCTTGTACAAATAGTTGCATTGAATTCTTAGACCTACTTTTTTAATTGGTCAATTATGCAACAAATAAAGAAGTAGAACCCTACACTTAGTTGTATTTGGTATAAATAGTTAATTAAAAATTATTCAATTAGACCATTCACTGCAAGTGTCCGTGTAAGTATCACTACACTTTTATATTTTATTGTGTATTTTTAAATAGTAGTATAATAATCTAGTCTTGCTTTATACAAGTCTGAACAAACAAGTCTCACAGCTATATGGCCCAAAAGTTCTTACCAAAACCGAATACTCACCGGTAAGACTTGTGTTTCTGTTAGGCCCAAGGTCATACAGTCACTCAATGTAGTCCAGTTGCTCCCTTTTTTATTATTTTTTTTACCTCCGGAAAAAAACATTATGGCATATTCACTTTTGTGCTTACCAACAAAATTAAATATTTATCCTTCTACTTTGAAATGTGTTATAGGCTACAACCATTTGGGTTTAAAATATTTATAAAAATAAAAAAATAAAAAAAAAAACTTCTTAAATTTATCGATTACCTTTATCAAATTATTTAAAATGATTAGCAAATTTATTTTGGTTTCATATCAATATTACCAACATCAAGGAACATTACATCGCATTACAGGAGATAGTAACCCTAATATTGAGATTGGGGGAAGCCAGAGGGCCGCACCATGCAGAACAAATATTAACACCGTTTTTTAATAGCAAAAACACATGTTTCATGAAAACATTATTGGGTACCACCGTCCGTATATACTTTTACATGACCCAGAAAGAAGTCATCGGTCCACCAGACATGATGATCTCAATTGATCGCACCTGTCAGATATTTTGTCTTTGTTATGTTAGGTACCACTTGTAATGACGCTAACTAAAATTCACGGCTTTGTAAATTGTTGGTAAATTTGTTTTTTAATATTTTTGTCGGTGATGAAATTTGTTTTCTAATAATTGAAGTTCAACAAAATTAATTTTCAACAATAGATCAGCTTTTTTGGATTGCGTTGGTCCACTAATAATAAATAATTTTCTCTTTATTTTTATCACCGGAAAGTATAGACCACCTAAAATACATTAAACAGTTTGAGAATTATAATAGTTAGCAGTAAAAGGCTAAAGACAAGTTAGACATGTAATCAGTTTTGGCATTAATTAATCAGTATAATTAGATTTTTTGCCAATGATTTAGTGTGTGTATATATATTGTTCTGTTATTTTTATTTGGTAAAAACTTTTCACCGAGTTCAAATCTAGGGTAGCTTAATTTAATCTTAAGTTTTTTTATTTTTTATTTTTTTTATAATAGAACCATATATTAGGAATCAAATAGTTATAACCTTGTGGGAAGTAGGAGCATTTCCCTTGACTCTTTGTGCATAGCTTTTTGTATTCAAATTGCGCGTTTGGTATTACTTAGGGGTGACATCTTGAATATTCGAGTCGAGTCGAGTCAAGGTTAGAAGAAAAGTAAAAGAGGTATGATCGAGCTCCATTTTTAGCCATGGTAACAGTTTTTACGATTATGTCCAATTCCACAGCCTCAATAAAATAGATTTTTTTTTTAATAAAAACTAACTACCTCGGTTTTTCTAACTGAGTGTAACGTGTGATTAGCATCGGACGGAGTCACCTATTTTTGTCTCGTTAACAAACAACCATACTGTATTTAATGTCTACAGCTATATAAGCATCCACAACTCAATAAGTCAGCTGCAAGTGAACTTAAGAAATGATATATGTATTAGTCGAAGCGTGACACCTCACAGTAACCTTTACCACAAAGTCATCTCAATCGTTCAAGTGGCACACATCCAACTAAAGACCAAGGATCTTAAACACTATAAATGGAACCTCCCCATAAAGATTTTAAGATCCTCCACTTATATAGCTATTTTTATACAACAATTCGCCCCGTGCCTTTTATAATACTTTAGCCTTACAATGTATAACTTAGCAACGCACTTCAATACATCTACATTAGCTTGTAACAATAGATTTACACTATTTTTGCCTTCTTTTTATAAAATATACTCCTATTACACGTCTTCACTTGTGCTTGTATTTCAAACTTGTAACTGTTGAGAAACGTGCAAGTTCTAAAAACTTTCTGAGGGATTTTCATACATAGATCTTGATTCATCACATAGAGACAAGTTTTATGCAAAAATAAAATATAATATATCGTTTAATTAACAGATTGAATATTTACATCAAGGTTTGAGTAAACCTTAGATCTCTCCTTTAAAGTGAATGTTCTCACTTATTGTAAATCCCTTTCCTATATACATTTTCCTTGAATCTCTATCTTCTTGGTAATAGTTTTGCCTTTAGGAATCACTCATAAGCCTCCATGAATGACCTTGAAAAACTAGGCTTGTGGGAGCCTCCATTAGATGAAAACACTAACCCTAAATTTCTAGAAAGAAAAAATATATATTTATTTTTCTTCAAAAAGTCACCCTTAAAATATACATGGACCATGTATATATAGGTAACATAAAGATAAGGAAATGAAACAATGAATCATTCTCAATCTCTAATTACCATATCTCTAATATAATAGGATTTCAATATCAAGTTGGGATATAAGTGAAAATCCTTTGAGCTTATTATTTTATTAGCTACAATGAATTAATAATTGACCCGATCCATAAACCTAATTCAATTAATTCATAAATTAATTGAACTCCAATTAAATAATAAATAACCTCTAAGTCAATATTGCACTTTGACCCCTCTATGCATAGTTAGTTATCGGATAAATAAAACCATCAATCCGACTACTTAATTAATATATTTATTTTGGAACCTTTGATTATTTTCGGCTTGATCACAATAAAACATTTGTTTGACAAAAAATAATAATTTAAATAAATAAATATATAATAAATCATTTTGTCTAAAAACACACGAAGGTCTTCGAATTTACTTTGTGATCAACCATAATCAATACAAAATAAATACAAGTAGTAATGATGCAAATATTGAAAATATAACCATTTAACTATTAATTACATAATTATCCAAAGTGCCGATTTAAGAATTTCGAAGATTCCCCCGAACAAATCAAAGTAATTACTAATTAATAAAAGAGTTTATACTTCTCTCATACTTAAGAATCAAATGCCATGACGGTAATAGGGAACAATTGCATACGACGGTTCTCGCAATATATCTCAACCTAACGCGGATCCAGTTCAAGTTTTAGTTAATAATGAGTTCATCCATAATTACCGACTATGAACAATTTATGATTACTATTTATATTCATGTATTGATCGCCATCACATACATTTATAAATATCTCTTGTAATCAAATGGATATTATCAATTTCATAATGAATCGAAACATAATACATTGAATTCACCAATTATATAAATCATAAATATTTCAGATATGTCAGAAATATATGTCACTATAATCTAAATAGGAATTTGCTATGCCAGGGCATATAAATCCCAACAGCTCCCACTTGCCCTCATAGCCAATTCTAATTGCATCTAACTCAAATGTTATCCAGGTGATGATCAAAACTATTAATCGATGACACATTTGTTAATGGATCAACAAAGTTGTGCTCCAATGCAATGTTCTAACCACGAGTACATTTTCTTACCAGACAATATCATGTAGATACTTCTTCTCAATATACCTTATTCCTCTATAGAATCTTGGGTCATTGGTTTGGATTACTTCTGCACTATTGTCACAATATAGCTCAATAGGCAGGTTAGTATGCTCCACAACCTCTAAATCAGTGAAATC